ATCATCATCATCATCATCAGCCTATCACAGTCCACTGCTGGACATAGGCCTCTCCCATTGATATATACGCGGGATATACAATCTCATAACTGATGAACGTGGGTGTTGCATTCGGGATGCAGTCAGCAGTGTACGGACTTTCCTGTCAAGGGCATCTAATTTGGTCTGAGTCCGTCTAAGTATACCAAAGGAATACATCAGAACCGGCATGACACATCATCATACATCAGATCTCAATGGGGTGAACGTAATCGCTTAACTTTTGCACCCAACAAAACCTTCCAGCTACTTTTAAAAGGTAACCTCAAATCACCGCCGAGCATTAGATTTGACAATATTACTGTAAAAAATAAAACCGCAGTGTGTTATCTAGGATTAGTTTTAGAAAGAAACTTTTCATTTATCGAACATATTAAAATAGTTAATGAAAAGTCTAAAAAGAGTTTCTGTGCATTGACAAGGATATCAACTGCGACATGGGGACAATACATTAAAGATCATATACGGAGCTACTTATTTAGGTTCTATGTGCTATGTGCACCTGTATGGGCCGATAGGGCGACCGTAGGCGCTGTCCGTCGCAAACTGTCACAAGGCCAACGACTTGCACCGATATTCTTGTGCAAGGCATATAGGACGGTTAGCACTGAGGCTTTGCCGGTGTTGGCGGGTGTGCTTCCGGTCGATCTCGAGGTGCAGAGACGTGCAGCCATGTACTAATCAAGACAAAACATGGAATGCGATTTCTTGGGCGCGCGGGATCGCGGTAAAATTACAAGATTGCTTCAACAGCAGTCCGATGTCTATAATGACCTCATAGACGAATGGCAACAACGCTGGGACGAATCATCCAAGGGGCGCCATCTTTACCAATTTTTTCCATCAGTTCGCGAACGGTTGTCGAGGACATGGCTTGAGGTGGATCACTGTGTCGCTCAATTTCTTACGGGTCATGGTAACTTTAAGAGCAAGTTGTATTCATTTAAATTAGTCGAGTCACCATTGTGTCAATGCTCAACACCTAACTCTCATTATGAACAATCTGCTCATCATATCCTCTGGGAATGTAGTCTTTGGTATAATGAACGTAATATAATGCTGAATAGCTTGCAGGTGACATCTGGGGCGGTATACTATGGGGATCTTGTGTCAACTAGGGTGAATTTCCGTGCGTTTAGGCGATTCTGCCATACATATTATAGAAATCAAATATAGCTCATGTAGGACCCGTAATATTTTGTGACCTGTGCTTCCCTGTTTAAAAGGGTGTATGCCTATTTTACTTCATTTTATTTATTTATTTTACATCTTCATGCACTTATGTACATCGGCGGACTTAATGCCCTGGGCATTCTCTACCAGCCAACCTTTAGGTGGTGTAGAAATCTTGTAGGGTAGGTGCACCGAGGTTACGATTGTATCAATGATTGTAAATAATTGTTTATCTAAAACTAAGCAAAATCTACAAATATTATGCATATAAGTTATAATGTAATACAAATATAATTACACATATATATAGAAATAAATATAGATATAAATACATATTATTTATGTTTGTACACTGTGAATGCTTGAATTTAGGAGGTGTACCATTTGTTAAGTCACTTCCGCCATCTCCTCAAGAAGGTAATTATGTACATTCCTTTTAAATGCGAAACGGTTTGTGGACATCCTGATTTCGAGTGGGAGCGCATTCCAGAGCAGAACTACTTGTACAAAGAACGAGGAGTTCACGAAGTCTGAGTTGTGGGGGGGACACAAGAGAAGCAAATTATTCGTTGATCTAAGATTTCTGTCGTGATTAGAGGACAAGAAACGGATGTAAGGATCGAGGTAGGTGGGTGAAAATGGGCAGTTGAGGAATGAAAAGAGAGAGGTCAGCGCTCGCTGATTGCGACGCAAGCGAATAGGTAGCCATTTTAATTGGGAGCGTAAAGCAGACACATGGTCATACTTGCGAAGATTGAATATGTATCGAATGCAGTTATTGAGAAGACGGTCTAGCTTATTGAGGAGGTCTGCATTCAGGTCGAAGTAACACACATCACCATAGTCAATTATAGGAACAATTAGGGACTGCATGAGAGAGGTTTTCGTTTTAGTGGGCAAGAAGTTTTTAAGTCGGTATAGTGTTCGCAGGTTACCCGTTACTTTTTGGCTCACATGAGTAACTTGAGCACGCCAATCTAGGGTTGAGTCGATGAGCAGGCCTAGGTCTTTGACTACCGGGCTCCAAGGTATAACTGAGCTGTTGAAGATGACTGGTGGGACTGATGTAGTATCCAATCTTCCAATCATATGTTTGCTGCCGACTACGATCGCCTGGCATTTAGTAGGGTTTACTGACAATCCGAATCTGATCGACCAGGATTTTATAAAATCAAGGTCTCTGTTGACGTCATCGATGGCTCGCGTTATATCCTCCACCCTTGCTTGTGAGTATATCTGCAGATCATCGGCATATAGGTGATACGCACACTGAAGGTGTTGAGTTATGAGGTTGATAAAGATAGAGAATAAAAGAGGAGATAAAATTCCGCCTTGAGGGACTCCAGCGTGGAGATCGCAAAAACTCGACGACACGTTCTGAACGCGAACACACTGCTGGCGCCCCTGAAGATAGGTGGAGAACCATTCCAGTGCCTCTGGGGACATCTTAAGGTATTCAAGGATTGATAGTAGAATTTCGTGACTGACGGTATTAAAAGCGTTAGAGAAATCAACCAAGACCAGAACTGTAACTTTGGTGTCTTCCATGCCCTTTCTAATATCCCCAGTCACTTTGAGGAGGGCGGTAGTAGTGCTGTGGCCAGGTCTAAAACCGGACTGTAGGGGACTTAGCAGTTTTTGTCGGTGCACAAATTCTGAAAGCTGCTTGTATACACAGGCCTCGAGCACTTTAGACAGGAAGGGAAGAATAGAAATAGGTCGGAAGTGTTCGGGTAATGAAGGGTTATTTTTTTTGGGGAGAGGGATGATGTTCGCCTTACGCCACAGAGAGGGAAAGGTTCCTGAGTCTAGAGAAAAGTTAATTATGTGAGTAATTACCGAGAGAGTATAGTCCAGGATGGTGACAATCATGCGTCGGCTAATGCCATCATGCCCCACAGCATTAGAGTGGATAGATAGGATAATCTTCTTGATGTCCCCAGAAGGCACCGGAGAAAATTCGAATGAGTCGATACTGGGACTGGTAAGACCAGATATGTAGTTCAGCGTTTGATCCTTGGTTTGTAGATCCAGCGTGGGTGTGGATGAGAAATGACGATTGAGATCGTTCAAATCAATTGTGTTCTTAAACTCAGGTTGTTGTTTATTGCCAATACCTAGAGTACCGAGAAATTTCCAGATACTGGATGAAGAGGAGGACTCTATGTTTTGAAGAATGTGTTGGCGTTTAGAGTTGCGTATCACCTGATTACACCGATTCCGTGCAGTCTTATAACTGTTCCACTTATCCTCGCACCGGTCTCTCTTAAATCTAAGAAAGGACTGGTCCCTCCGCCTCATTGCTGTTCGGACCTCCTGTGTTAGCCATGGTGCCGGGGCACGTTTTATTTTAATTGACTTGATGGGAGCGTGGACGTCGTACAGTCGCTCAATTGTGTCATTAAAAATATGGACTTTGTTGTCCACGTCGGTAGCTGCTGCCACACTCGTCCAATTTATCTCCGCGGCATCTGCATGTAATTTATCCAGATCTATGCGCCGGAAACTACGAATTTGTAGAATTTTTGGAGGTGATTTAGGAGGTTTCAGGATATAAGATAGGAAGATCAGGTCGTGATGGGAAAAACCGGGGGCAGGAAGTTGACCGTGGGAGAAGACAAGGTTTGGGGAAGAAGTGAGCATTAGGTCAAGCCAGGTGTCCTGGTGTTGGATGTTATGATGAGTGGCTTGGAGCGGCAGGATGTGGAGACTGGTTGATTGGATGATCTGAAGGAGGTTGCGAGCACGGGAAGAGTTTAAGGCTAGGAGGTCAGTGTTAATCATTTTGTCTCCCGCTTTGCTAAGGAGGGAAGTGGATTTACTGTATTTCCAACTCCTCCAATTTTCTTCTGATTAATTTCGTTGCGGGTTCCAAGACAGTGCTCTATTATAGTACTATACATACATGACTGCACACTTGTCTACACCAAATTCCATTTTCATAGAATTACTAGTTTTCCGTCACCTTATTATTATTATTATTTAATCCTATGGTGCAAGAGTATATTCTTTTTGATTATCACTGTAATGTGAATGTTTATATGTGTACATGTGAAATATCGGCTACTAAAATCATAAGCAAACAAAATGAAAACGCATTATAAAATACATATTTTTTTATTAAAACCGTAACTGACAATTTATCAACGAAATGTGGCTCTACCAAAACATAACAATACAAACGGATCACATCGTGTCGCCATCAACACCTTATCACGTAGATTTAACAACATACAACATCTACAATTTAAAAAAAAAAACCCTGGAAAAATACTATTTTGGTAGAAAGTAATAGTGGCAACCCTGGTGTAAAGGAACTGCAATTTTTTTTATATCTTCTACGCTATACAGATGGATTTTTTAAAGAGAAATAAATATTTGCTACCAAAATAACAAAACTAAGAACGCTTGAAAACAAGATTGTAATATGAAAGACACAAGGGTTACATTCCAATGATACCAGAAGGTCAATTCTCGTAAAAAAAATCCTTTAAAATTCAGTTCCGATCTACTATCGATTTCACAAAATGTTATAAAAGGAATTCTCGTTGTAAAGTATTAAGCATCTAACGTTGACTGTAATAACATTATATCGTATTGTGACCAAAGTTAAATCGGAATTCTGTTAATCGTAGTAATACCTTACTAAGAGAATACCTTTCATAATATTTGTGAGCGCGTGAGTAGTTCAGAACTGAATTTTCACCAAATTTTTGGCTGTGAGAATTGACCTTCAGGGTTGTACGCAGTATCCAAGAAGTGGTGTGTGAAGCGACACGATAAACCAGCTAACGTTCATGCCGATTTAGTCTTCGCAATGTTGTCACATCCATGCCGTATATTGAGAATCCAGCTGGCTGCTCGAAATGCACCTGAAATGATATCATCATCATGTAAACTCTCGTCTTTTATCCTAGAAGGTTACTTTATGATAGAGGGGGCTCAAACGAGCTAACGGGTCACCTGATGGAAAGTGACTGCCGCCACCCATGAACGCCTGCAACTCAGGAACCGGCTCGTTGCCGGCTCTTAGGAAGGAGTACGGTCTTTTCTTGAAGCTTTGAAGGTCCGGTTTGGTTCGGAAATACCGCAGACGATAAGTTGTTCCACAGATTGGGTTGCGAGCGCAAAAAGTTTGGTGGGTGGGGCGGGTAGTCAGAGAAACATTAACCCGGGGGAGGGGGGGGGGGGGGGGGGTTAATGTTTCTCCCTGTCCCTCCCACATTTCGACTGATTCCGACTAACTTATGTCCGAGGTGGCAAACTTTCAATCGTTTATGGAAACAGTTCTATATATTTCTAAATACATACATATCTATACTTATATTATAAAGCTGAAGAGTTTGTTTGTTTGTTTGTTTGAACGCGCTAATCTCAGGAGCTACTGGTCCGATTTGAAAAATTCTTTCAGTGTTAGATAGCCCATTTATCGAGGAAGGCTATAGGCTATATATCATCACGCTAAGAGCAATAGGAGCGGAGCACCAATGAAGAATGTTTCAAAAACGGAGAAAATTTATTACTATTGAGAGACGCAGACGAAGTTGCGCGGGTCAGCTAGTCTATACTAATATTATAAAGCTGAAGAGTTTGTTTGTTTGTTTGAACGCGCTAATCTCAGGAAATACTGGTCCGATTTAAAAAATTCTTTCAGTGTTAGATAGCCCATTTATCGAGGAAGGCTATAGGCTATATATCATCACGCTAAGACCAATAGGAGCGGAGCCCCAATGAAGAATGTTTCAAAAACGGAGAAAATTTATTACTATTGAGAGACGCAGACGAAGTTGCGCGGGTCAGCTAGTTATAGATAAATTACACCCAAACACAGAATGTGTGACACAGAGTGATCATGTACATCACATAATTATTTGTCCTGGGTTGGAGTCGAACCCATAACCTCTGGCGTAGCAGTCAGGATCAATAACCACTAATCTAACAGGCTAGTCAACAACGGCAACGAGACTGAGTCGGAGACTAAGAAGAATACTAAGATAAGATATTCTGCAAGTCGGAAAACTGAACGGACTGAAACAGCAGAAGTCCGTTCTGTGAAAGAAGATGTCAAATGAACTCTCTGTCCAATATCAACTGACTCACCTCTTTTTCCTTGTCTTTCTCCTCAGCTGTTTTCTCTTTCGCCTCCTTACCTGCTGGCTCCTTTATGGTCGTGATCTGAGAAAAGATATTAACATAATTGTATATTGATATTAAATAGAATTAAAACATTTTTGATTCATATTTACTGCACGGATTGCGTAATGGTTTAAGGGTTCACCTCGCCGCTGCCTTCTGCACTGAATGTTGTGGATTTGATTCCCACATGTGACAACACCCTGTGATATTTTCTGTGAGGCCTTGGTATCACGCCGGTCTAGCCGGCCCATTAGTGCCATGGCTCTGCCACGGTTAAAGCAAGTCAAAAAAGAACAAGCAATGTTCTTCTTATACTCAATACTTTATTGCTACCATAATGTAAATTTTACAGTTGGTAAAAACTTAAGCTAGGTATCAATTATGGACCCTGTCGGGCACAGCATAGAAGAGAGAGAGAGAGAGGGGAATGATTATTACTAAATTTATTTATAATATATTATTAATATATATTTAATCTGTATAGTCATTATTTTATTTTTATTTAAATATTTAATAATTATTTATTGCACTAAGTTTGTATTATTTGTTATAAAGGTTATTAGTATTATTGTGATTTATTTTGTTCTTGGCTTCATGACTTATCTTCTTTAGCGTTCTTTTTGATATCACTTTAATTAATATTTCACAAGAAAAAGCACTGAGAGAAAAGTATGAAATAAAATTACCTCGATAGCATTCTCTGCTTCTACCACTGGTGGTATGTTGGGGCCTAGTTTCTCACACAATGATCTGACCTGAAGACAATATAATATAATAAAAATAACTTCATACATCACACATACGACAGTTTGACCCCATACTAGCCATGTCTGTGCCTTTTGTTCGACCGTCGAGCTAAATAATTCATTAAAAAATAATTCTACTACATTTAAATATTTTACAAATTTCTTAATAAAATTAATAAACACTTGTTTCGTTAGATAAAGTTTAACCTAGAATTTTTTTTTGTACAACCGAACCGAACCAGCCTGGCTGGCCGCGGCCCAACGGTTTATGTTGAGAAGTTGTATATATGCTAATCGGCGAGAGAATTGGTAATATCGCGATACAAGGTTAGCAGTTACTCTGTAATTCTGTGTGGCATCGATAGATGTGCAAGTCGCCACAGACTGTACAGCATTGGAAGTGCATGTTTTTTTTTTATGTTAGAGGGGACAGACGAGCAGACGGGTCACCTGATGGAAAGTGACTATCGCCGCCCATGAACGTCTGCAACTCAGAAGTCACAAACGCGTTTCCTGGCCTTTTAGGAAGGAGTACGCTCTTTTCTTGAAGGTTTGAAGGTCGTATCGGTCCGGAAAGACCGCAGACGATAACCCGTTCCACAGATTTGTTGAGCGGGGTGTCTCGAAAAGTGCACAGTAGTGGAGCGCCAACTATCCAGGTGATGAGGATGAAAATTTTGCCGTGTGGCAAACGATAGCGGAAATTTGCGGCTGGTATTAGTCCGAACAATTCCTCGGAGCACTCTCCATGATATATACGATAGAGAATGCAGAGTGAAGCCAATATATACAATAGGTTCAATAATATGTCAGGTAAATTATACAGCACCAGGGACTTCCTTTCTAGGGTATACCTGGTTCCCCGGCTATTAGTACCCGGCGACGGCGTGCGGTTTTAGTCGGTTCGAGTCCGACATGCCACCGACAGGTGGTATCCGAGGGGATCTCCGCACGGAAAAAAAAAAAAAAAAAAATTTAAATTATACATACGTTAGGGTATTGAGAGAAGCAAGCCCTCGCCCTTCCAATGCACGGCGGGGCCACGGCGCGCCCGTAGCGGTCTCGGTCCGCGGCGTCGAACATGTAGTAACCTGCAACACACATTAAACCGCTAAATAGGACATACGAAGAGGCAATAAATAAATTTAATTCAAAAAGCCCAATACAAACATAATTCAATGGTATTTACAATTTTTATGACAATCGTAAGAATTTTGCATAAAATTTTGTATCCTTGACGCCTAAACTAGGACACGTCCTGTATCTTAGGCACACCTCTGTGAGGATTAATTCTTGTGATCCCCTAATAATTAACTTACATACTATTTGAATTTAATACCAAAATATAATTACAAATTTTACATTATTAATTATGTGCTGGACTGTGTTTGTGTATGTGCGCGCGTACGTGAGAGTGCGTGTGCAGGTGTGTTGATGCCAGGGTGTGAGGGTGTTAGAGAGGACCTGCAACCACATGCTCTGGATCCTTCCCAGATTAGGGCGCCTAAGGCCCAGCGGTCGGTGTAGTTTTTAGTAGAACACCACAAACTTCCCGCTACTGCATCCCTAAGGAGCCGTAGATCCGAATTTATTTTCAAAGCAGAAAGAGGATGTGAGGGTGTGTGTTAGTGTGTATGTATAAATGTGATAATTAGCGTGTGCGTGTGCTTACACTACTACAATGTGATAAAGTCAGAATTTTGCTAGAAAGCTAGAATACTAAATTAGCGGAGTGTATGTAAAAAGAAAGTAAATTAAATATACTTATATTAGTACCTATATGGAAAAAAAACTATTTCATTTACCTCTAGGTGTCTTAAACAGTGCGATGGCAAAATCTCCCTTGCCAGCTACAAACACGCCTGCCTTTTCCTCCCGGAAGAACTCATCCATCTAGATAAAGAATTAAAAGAGATGATGTGCTATTTTCCTTGGAAAATAGAAAGAAAAAGAAGAAAAATAATTTTTTTAGTGCACCTACATGTGGACTGGTGACTAGGCACACTTGCCTGAATAATTAAATACCTTTGTTTTCACCGAGTTCCTGAGGTTATCAGATGCCAAAACCCTTCCACTTTAATCAAAGGGCTTCTACGCACACAACCGTGTATCTTCAATTGAACGTTAACAGGGGCTGATCATCAGGCTGATCATCAGGCCGCTTATTGAAGTTTCAAATGCAAAAATCTCATTTGCTAACAAATCGAATTTGAAAGGGAAGTGGTGTCCAAGCAGCTATGGAACTAAGTAACGATACAAAGATCTTTGTGTCAAGAAAAAATCACTGTTATATATGATGGCATTAATATAAACATATATTTCATAACTCGCAGAAATTCGTGGATAATTGTTGGTAAAATTCGGATGTTCAAAAGTCAAATAACATATTTTCGATTATAAATACCTAGCATAACTACCAAAAACCTACGTTTCGTCGTCTATTTCATCAACCGCCTATACTAGTCCACTGCTGGACATAGGCCTCTCCTTCCAAAGGAGGTTTTGGCCTACTATACCACGCTGGCCAGACGGGTTGGTATATTGTTTGTTTCAAGTTTTCCTTCTCTTTGCAGTGCTGTTGTCCTGCTTAGTTTGCTCCCTTAGTCGGCTCTTACGACACCCACGGGATGAATTGGGGTGGTGACAATTTGTATTCTTAATCCGTCATTTTCAATTATTTTTCCGATTATTTTCAAAAGGGTGTACGTGAGATCCAAGGAGCCAGAGTATTATACGTCACACCAGTAATGATTGTAGACATGAAGTTCAATACAAACCTTGTCAAAGAGGTCCTTGTCCACAACACCCTTCTGTCGAGCTTGGAATATGACGACGCGGCACACACAGTTGCCCGGCGTGTAGAACTTCCGAAGAATCTGTACAAAGAGGAAGGTGGAACATCAGGTGAGCTCATTGTATGAGAAGGGGAACAATTTGAAATAATTGGTTTATGTTAACCTGAGATAGTGTGTCCGTCGTTGCCGTTGTCGACTGACCTGTTAGTCTAGTGGTTAGTGACCCTGGCTGCCAAGCCGGAGGTCGTGGGTTCGATTCTCACCCAGAACAAATAATTGTGTGATGAGCACTATCATTTGTTCTGTGTCTGGTTGTAATATGTTGCCAAATGTAGCCTATAAATACAATTCTGTCTATCCCTTCAGATATACAGGTGTGAACGTGTATAATATTTTATAACTTACCTGTTCCATAGCCAAAATTTTTGATGACGGCTTAAAGTGCAGGTAGCTGTCCTGGTAGAGCTGGTCTCCACTCTCCAAGATCTGGTCAAGAGTGCCCGGGCTCCAGCGGCACACATCTTCAACCCGAGACATAGCTATTGCCATCACGGCGCAGGCCAGCGCCTAAAAAATAATTCCAATTATTGTACACCAATTGGCTTTAATTATATTGGGAATATTCTTCCTCTTATCTAAACTTCCATACTTATATTGCAAATGTGGAAGTGAGCTTTTTTTTTGCTCATTTACGCCTAAGCCAATAAACTTATTGTAAAAATTTTTTGACCTCCTGAGACCGTCAATGTTTCCGATTTTATAATAAAATGTCAAATAATATTCAGGACTTGACAAATTTAAATCCGCAATAAAACGTGAATTGTGTCGGCGAGCCTATTACTCAATTGTAGATTACATAGAAGACAAAAATGCTTGGGATTAATTTGCACAGGCTATTTGTTAAGTAAAAATGTGGTGTGGGCTAGTGTGTTTTTTATAATTATTATTTTCTACTTTTATATTTCACTTCATTTTCTCTTTTATTCGTTTTTTTTTCTTAACCTTGTTTTCTCTTCATTGTCTTTTTACCTTTCAGTCTTTAATAACAGACATACTGCCACACATGCAAACAGTGTTGTGGTATATTTAATGATGCCATTGTTTCTATCTGTAAATTGGAAAAGAGTGGCCATGAGTTTGTTTGCCCTTTCTTGTCATGAGGCTCAACCCCTTGGAAACAATAAGTTATATGAATATGTTGATAAGAATAGATTGTATTGTATTTCTATAAGGTTCTTTTTCTTAAATTTATTTTGCTTACTTTGTGACATGACAGAGATCGTTGATATTGTGTGTGTGTTGATCTTTATAGTCTACCTAAAAGACGATTTTCAAACAAGTATATTCGAGTAATATTATTTAACGGGAATTAACGCGATCTCTTATTTAGGGTATTACATTACATTATTAAAAGTTAGTATAACTATATTCGAGATTTCCAAAAAGGTGGTGCCCGCACTTTTGAAGGGAGGGATAGGAGGGATCCGGAGTCGTCAGCTACCCAAGTACGACTATGTCTCGGGCGGCATGAAATGTCGTGCGGAAATTCGGAGGGGTAGGTATTAGGGCCGCTCCCGGGAAACATCGGCAACGACTGGTGGCTCCGCGGTGCCTTTTTAGATTGGGCCGCCGTCACATGTTACGCGGACGACACGCTCGTAACGGTGTGCGGTAAGGCGCACCGTAAGGATCCAGCGGCTGGTTTACGAGGTGTCTCTGCACAAAACTGAGCCTCGGAGGGTGTCACCCGAGGGATCCAGCCCCATAGTAGTAGGCACTCACATTGACATCGAGCCCTCGATGAGATATCTGGGGCTCGTTCTGGTTCGGGATCCTGAGACTAGAGAAATCGAGGCCCACAAATCCCAAATCTGTCGGGTCCTCGTGAAGGAGTGGAGGGAAAGACTTAGGCAACCAAGCACTGGGCACGCCATTTTATGAAGGATTGGCTCGAGAGAAAACACAGCCAATATGAGAGGGCTCGGATCGTCTGACGCAAGCGATCACCTAGGTCTGATCCGCAAAGAATGAACGCCTGGGTTTAGGCGCAATCGCGGTGCCCATCTATGACTTTTAGAGTCTATATAAAAGACGATTTCAAACAATTCATTTTATTTATGAAATGAAGAGAGTTTAAGGTTGAGTTTGATGTATGGGTGATAGAGATGCGGGGGGCGCTGAGGAAATGTTTGTCTAGGGCACTGCATCTGTCTCTTTACGCTAAGCTAAATAACTTGGTTTAATTCATTTACATCAGTACTGTATAGGGGTTGGATATAAACTGCTTCCAGTAGAGTACCCTATTTTACCCTTACTCTACTACAACATAAATCTTAGTAGGGTAAAAGACCTACTGGTACCTGGCAGTTTTTAGTCCGATATAACCACCCCACTCGTAGGTGATATCCCAAGAGAGGCACAGAAAAAAGGTTTTAGTTCAGGGGCCTTTGGGCCGGCAGGGGCAGTTGGTCCCCGATTGGAATAAAATTTTTGTTTGTTATGTTAAAATTATTAACTTAACACAACTTACCTGATTTCCTCTGGACGCAAAGGGGAACTTCTTGCAGGCAATCGAGTGGCCCGCGGACATGAACTGACTGCCATCGGTTAAGACGAGCCACCCGCTCGTGTTCCGTTGTCCTAGACGAGAAGGTTTAAAGTATTTTTAACACGCTTTTGTTAGCTTCACCTGTACCTATGTATGTAGCAGAATCTTTGAGCTCGATTTTTACTCACTATGAAAGGTTAGGTTAGTTGACAATTTTGCACACTTGTCAAGGATACAATAATTTAATAAGTTTGTCCATTTATCCTGATCAGAGGGTCCAAGTGCGAGTTTATTTTACTTCTACTCGATCATCACTGTGACCGCGTTCGGCGCTACGATTGGTCCGCACTGAAATCTCCACCAATCACAACGCTAAACGCGCTCGCCGTCGAGAGCGAGTCGATGTAAAATAAACTTGCACTCGGCCCTCAGAACGACTACTTCCATATCTAAAAATACGGAAGGGTCTTGCGTCTTTAAGTTAATTTTCTCTGACTTTCTTTCTTTTAATGAGGGTACAAAGAAATGTGGGAGAGGAAATGACAAAAATAATACAGTTTGTTATGACGCCAAGTAACCAAGATTCGCAATATCTGTATTATAAAAGATATATTACATGTGTCGTGTTACAAATTTAACAATTATGATAACAATTACGTAAAAACTACATCATGCCCGCCCCCAGTAGGTTTATGTTTGTTAGTATTTATTTGAAATTCAAATGATTCAACTGAATGAAGTTCAACTACCACTAATGAAGTTAAACCAGGGGGTAAGTCTTACTATCAATGGAGCACTATGAGGATTAGATGGGGAAAGAAAAGTAGTTTTGCACTATGATCTGTTCTGTGAAGTAGGAAAAAAAGGAAGGGCGGGAGAACCTGAGGACCTCCCATATCCATCCTTCTTAATTTACCTTCTTGTTGAGAAGTGGACGCCATCCGACATTAATTTTAAAATATAATATGTATAAATACATTTAATAAAGTCACATATATCAAGCTTAGCTGATTTTTTGACGTTGTCAATTTTTTTTTACGTCATATATAAACGGTTTCGATGTGATCTCATAATTTTTCATACTAAATATAACCTCTATGATCAGGCTTGTCACATCAATGACAATCCAGAGCTTATGACACCTGATGCGTATCAGGCAGGCGTGCGTACATGAACAATATTGATATATTAGTACAGTATTGTCACAATACCCTAGGTTGGCTACCTTTTACCTTACTTTTGAGTTTTGTCTACTTTTGAGCTTAGTTTTGAGTTTGCCTCCCTTTGAGCTTGTCTACCTTTGAGCTTAATTTTGAGTTTGTCTACCTTTGGGCTTTGTTTTGAGTTTCTCTATCTTTAAGCCTACTTTTGAGCTTGTCTACCTTTGAGTTTACCTCCCTTTGAGCTAGTCTACCTTTGAGCTTAGTTTTGAGTTTTTCTCCCTTTGAACTTACCTTTGAGTTTCTCCTGTTCCTTGTCAGCACGTTCAGAAGCGCGCTGTGCGTCGAGGCAGGTGGCGCTGCCAGGCGGGTGCTTGCGGTCTTTCTCCATCGCACGTCTCTTCACGCCTTCCACGTTCACCTGAGGGCCAACCATATATGCTACTAACTCTCGAACTCAGATCAATTCGACTGCACGGATGGCGTAGTGGTTTAAGCGGTCACCTAGCCGCTTTATACTGCGATGAGTGTTGTGGTTTCAATACCAATTTCAATAAGAAAAGATTTAGTAAACTACTATACCACGCTGGCCAGACGGGTTGGTATAGGATTTGTATCAAGTGTTCCTTGTCTTTGCAGTAGTGTTGTCCTGCGTAGTTTGCTCCCTTAGTCGGCTCTTACGACACCCACGGGATGAATAGAGCAGCAGTGCCTTAATGATATTACTGACATGTATGTTATACATCCAGCAGTGGCTAGAAGAGGCTGTTGATTACTGGCTGATCCTTTTTGTGTGAGACAGAAGAGCGAAGAAATAAATATACTACTTGGATCAACGTTTTTCATTGGAAAAGTAAATAAGAGTAAAAGAGAACATAAACGCACTTCAAGTTTATCGAGATTGTCTCATAAAATAAATAAGTAGAAAGAAATAAACCACTTTATCGATTAGAGCAAGTAGATATACATATGAACAGGGGCTAGTTTAGATGAGTGAGGTGAGTTAACATAATTTGAGCGCTGTAAAGATTGTCGGGTGAGCATAGGAGTGTAAAAAAAAGATGCTAGTTTATGAAACAGGAGCCAATTAATGAAACCCGGGCGAATGAATAAAACTGGGACGATATAATGAAACTGGGATGAATGAATGAAGCTGCGAGTTAGGGAAAGTAGGGCGACTTTTATTTAGTAGAGCGATGTGACTTACCTTACTAGTAGCAGGTACTAGAGTGACACCTGGTGGTGCCGTGCCTTGCCTCACAATCGGTGGGTCGACTCCTCCCAACTTCTTAATCGGTTGAATCACCACAGACATGGAGTACAGGTGGAAAGAGTGTTTGGGGCGCTCCACGACAGGTATGTTTTGAAGATACCTGAATGAAACATTTTCACGCGTTAACTACTCAACCGATGATCAGAAAATTATGTGTGTTCAGAGGTACAGAAAAGGACAGTATCAATAGTCCAGTGAAAATGCCATAGTGTCTGAAATGATTGGTAAAAATTAGCACTAGATTCTTAGGGTTAAGAAATTTTTACCTTCCGAGTCAAAATCTAAATTGACCAAAAGCATATTTTGACCTCAGGTAGAAAAAAACAACGAGCTACCGTCTGGCTTTTAACTCTCAACAACCGTGTTACACATTTTCGTCCCTTTTTATGAAATCAATGCCACAGATTGCAGGAAAGCGAGAAGTCGTGTCACACACACATGTGAAAAATATTAAAAAATGATAAAATTAATGTATTACCCAAACGCCATCAATTTAGCCGACGTAAAAGTGAGTACGCAAGCAGCACCATCATCCTAGAAGAAGTAAAATAGTGTTATGGATTTTTCAGATTGTTCATTAACCGCGAGAAAACCGCGAACCTCCTCAAATTACTTACTATTTATTTGGTTTGGAATCAAATTCTAAGACAAGAGCTTTAGTGACGCCGAAGCAGTCACGACGTATGTCTTAAATACTTCACTATCGGTGATTCGCGGTTGAATCAAAACTCCACAGTTTATACAAGTCCATTTAAATCAAGATTGAATTAAATAATATCGTCGCTCGACTTGGCCAGACCCAAACCTCCTCCCTTATTCGGGGAGGAGCAGGCACCAAAGTATATAATAATAACTATAAAATAAGTAAATTTAATGATAATATAATCTGGTACCACTCATGTACTCGTAAGAGCGTGAGGGGTACCAAATTATAGTTTGCAAATGGCAACTTATAAAAGTAAAGTTAAGTTATGATTACAGATATCGAAGTTGTTATGTATAGTATTTATTATTAGGCTACAATGAAACTGGCATGTACTGTTTTCAAAACTTCCTTAAAAATAGAAGAAATTAAAAAAAACTTATCAAAAATTTAACAACGGTGAAATTTCGTCGTACCTGTGCATCAATTCTCAGCCCAGTAGGCCCGCATGCGTGCGGCTCCATCATGTAGAAGGGGGGTGCTCCCTTCACCTTCCACACAGCGACAGCATGTGGTACAGACCAGAGGATACCGTGAGTATAGCTTTCGAAAAATCGCTCTAAAGCGCTCCTAGAAATTGATACATACATGTGTTATTCTATATTATTTTTTCTTCTTTCGAGGTAGGCAGAGAAAACAGTCAGTATTGTCTATTTTCAGGTACTTTTGATCTTTATTCTTTAGCCAAAATAAATTTATAGTCACTAAGTCGGGCATTCGAGTCCTATATTTATTCTACTCGTCAATATGATTGGTGTCACTTGAACATTGGCAAAGCTTTATTAGATTCCTGAGGATTTTTTCCTATCTAGACTATAGATAAATTGAGTTCTCGCCTGTGGGCTACAGGGGCGGTACGGGTGGCGGGCGTATTTTAACTCAAACTCAAAATATCTTTATTTAATAAAAAAAATTAAATTGCTTCAAATCGTCAGATCAACACACACAATAGCAACAATCTGACTGCACGGTGCAAACAATTTGACTGCACGGATGGCGTAGTGGTTTAAGCGGTCGCCACACCGCTTCCTACTACGCCGAGTGTTGTGGGTTCAAACCCCACAAGGGACGACACTTTATGTGATCCACAAATTGTTATTCCAAGTCTGGGTGTTATTTGTGTCCGTTTCATGTATGTTTGTAAAGTCCCCCGCGACACAGGATATTTTCCTAGTGCGGGAGTTGTCTTTTTAAACAAAAAAAAAATCTGTTTTGTCAAATTTTGGCAAAAAAAAAATAATAAAATTAATACTTATACAAAATCTATGATATGCCTGTACCGATCGACAACCGCCCATTTTCAAGGGGTTGAGCTATCAGTCTCATTTATGGGAAATTCAGCAGTATGTTGGTTGGTGCTAACGTTGGCGCGCTCAGTACGGACGGATGGCGTAGTGGTTTAAGCGGTCGCCACGCCGCTTACTACTACGCTGAGTATTGTGGGTCCTATCTCCACATGGGACGACACTTGTATGATACACAAATCGTTGTGCTGAGTCTGGGTGTTCTTTGTGTCCGTTTCATGTATGTTTGTAAAGTCCCCCGCGACAGGATATACTGATTACTAATGGATTTGTCTTAAAAAAAAAAGAAAAAAAAAGTTTCACATCCTCGTTGTTTAGACAGTAGTTATATTTACTGTAATCGTCGCACTTTGTTGTAGTTTTCCATTAATGGCCGAGTTAGGGCATTTGGCTGTTTTTCTTTATAGGACTAAGACTTTACAGATGGTTTTCGTAGGTTCACGGTGTAATAGTTCATCGGGTACAAACCACGGAGGGTTGGTTATCATACGCAGTACTTTATTTTTAAATCTTTGTATGATTTAACCTACAGTTTAAAAAGTAGAAAAAATCCGCAGTAATTAGATGCTGTTAATACCTGACAGTCATCTCACTTGGTTCCCTCTGGTCCAGCTTGCCAACGTAGATTTCTTGCAAGTCGTAACGCACGTAGTTGACGCCGAGCACGAAACGTTTTACAACCTGTAATGTAGCTTTGTTTTGAGGAACAAGTCAAGAAGTCAGGAAAATTATGATACGACCGCTTATCTCGACTGAACTTTGTGTCAAATGATTGCTAATTCAAGACATTATTAATTGCGACCGTTCCGGTTCTTTCTTGGGCATTAAGAGTAATAATTTAAACTGGCTGGTAGAACCTCGCTTTGTGTGGGACCCTCACACTAAGTGAAGAGGTACTGTAAAAGTGGGCAAAATTAGAGCAGCTCAAGTAGCTAGCTGACAATCGATTCACTTGATGGTAAGTGACTACCACCGTCCATGGACCCCTGCAACTTGACTACTGCTTTACATACTTTAGGTGCCTCCCCTAAATAATTTGGATCTCCAATAACCATGACCAATTGTGTTCAAAAGCATGATCCTCTCATGAGAACAAGATGTGATGATTTGGTGCCCAAAATTAAAAATGTTTCTACTTCTGACCTGTTATTATTAAATACAAAGCTGAAAATACAATCCATACAGAGTGATAGACCCAACCATAGTCCATATGAATAAAAGTAATGGTGCAACAAGGGGCTGAGAGAAGATCACCTGCAAGGGCAGAAGCACATCCTCTCCAGGACGAAACTCGTAACCGAGCCCTCCAAGGGAGGCGGAGAACAGCTGCCCAGCGACGCTCATGACCTCGTCCACAGTTCGACGCGTCCAAAGGGGAGGGCGGCGCACGTGAGACATCGCCACTCCCACCACCGCGCCTGCCGCTGACTGCAGCAACGCGTCGCGAGTGAACCTGGACAAGGCACCAGGTTTTACTCTGTTCGGTATTGATTAAGACCTGCTAAACATTCCTAAACAGCTCCAAGTTTTAAGTTCTTCCTCTAATTTTCTTAGTCGAGTAGTAGTACTCGTAATCTAGTTTTCCAAACCTGAGTCTAGACGTAGACCCAAAGACAGTCTTACACCATAGACTTTGCATTCTACTGGCTAAATAGAGATGCAATTTCGCCAGATCTTTGGTCTAACTCATGTAGGATGCTCACTCACTCATAAGTCTATTATAAAGGACCGGGCACTTCGTGTTTGGTAGATAAGAAGAAAAGGCAATTGTTTGATAGTGATATTGCTTATTGACACCGATTGAGGAGTATAGAGCTCGCTCAGGTCTAGCATGACAATGATTTGGGTGTCCAAATCATTTTCTGACAAATTATAAATCGATTGGAGACATATTAAAAATAAAAAGGACTATTTATTTTAACCGTAACACTCTGATACCTTCGGACTTGTTTTTTTTATACATTCACTTACAAAAAACTATCAAAAATATTTTAAATTACTTCAGTAAATCTGGTGGCCTGGTTCCTCGGAGTATTGTCCGTCCTCTGGCCGTCTCCACGTAGGCGGTCAGGACCTTCCATTCATAGCCCTCGTCAGGTACGGCTCCCTGGGCGCTTACCGGGTGGGCGGTCCTGGAGTATTCCCAGAACACCTTTACAGCAGATATGGAGTAGCTGAAGCAAAAAAAATAATACTAAAACTTGGGATCAACGAAAAATTATTTTTGATCATGGATAAAGTTAAAATGGAATTAATACATCACGTCTCATCATAACCCAACCCTTTGTAATGTATTTAAGTTGGAATCAGAGTTCCGTTTGTAAGGTGTGTTGAACTCTGATCCCAAACTGATCGTTTGATCTTGCTATTTCACTCTTTTTTCAAAGAAAACTTCTGAACTAGGAATATGTTCCTGTATCACGGGGAACTTTACAAACATTCATGAAACGGACATAAAGACCACCAAAATTCAGAATATTTTTTTCGAACTTTCGAACCCATAACACACAGCGCGGTAGGAAACGGTGTGGAGATCGCTTAAACCACTACGTCAACCGTGCAGTCAAGAGACTGATAAACACCCATGTATATTTCTAAATGCACCAATCCGTGTGGTGACGGATTAAGATTACAGTGTGTCACCACTGCTATTCCTCCCGTGGGTGTTGTAAGAGCCGACTAAGGGAGCAAACGCATGACAACAGCACTGCAAAGAAGGATAACTTGAAACAAACCCCATACCAACCCGTCTGGCCAGCGTGGTATGGCCGGGAGAGGCCTATATCCAGCAGTGAACTGTAAAAGGCTGTTGATGATGATGGTGATGATGTGATAGATAGCAGATGATCGTGCTCATCATATAATTTTTGGTCCTGGGTGGCAATCAAATCGGTCAGGGTCACTCCAGAATTATTGGTTATTGCATTGCCCTGAGCTGAGAAAATCTCTAACAAACAGCAAACCCTGCCAAGTAGACCTGATTGGAATTCTGGAGAAAACACAAGCATTGTGGTAATAAAGTTGTTACCCATAAGTCCCTGGTCTCTCAACTCCGAGATTTTCAACGTTGGACTTGAAGGTGTCGGCGAGCTCGTCGGAGGTGGAAAAGAGCACGACGGAGGCTGCTCCGGCGGGGGAGGACTTGCCGGTGGGGCCCACCGCGTGCGGCTCCCACATCAACACCGACCCCACCGTCCACACCGCCACGCAGTAGTTCTTGGCGCAAATCACGCCGTATTGGTGCTACGGTACATTTTATCCATTAAAACATTCGAGCAATTATCAGAGTTTTAACTAGTCAGGTTAGTTTAACTATCGCAATAAAAATCTGATTTCGGGACGTACTGCCGCCATTTGTTTATAAAAATAAATAAATCAATACAAATAAATAAAATTGGAGTGTCTGTTTGTAATATTAAAATAACAGCTTTTTACTAAATGCATATGTATGTTTACACGGTACATATGCCAAAATAACATTTTTTACAATTTTTGTCTGTCTGTCTGTTTGTTCCGGGTGATCTCTGGAACGGCTGGACCGATTTCGACGGGACTTTCACTGGCGGATAGCTGATGACATAAGGAGTAACTTAGGCTACTTTTTTTAGACTAGCTTCGCCCCGCGGCGTTGCCCGCGGTCATAACAACAAACGCGGTTAACACCGCGGGTCTCAGCCAGTTTGTACATATAAAAGGAGCGTAACGTTCCGCTCCTTACACTCACAATTACATGATACCTTCATTTAATTGTGCGTCTACTACAACAAATATATATTTTACTTATTACCGGCAAATTAGTTATTTAAATCTCTTAATAACAATGAATTATTTATTAAATTTTGTCATCTGCAGCCAAGCACACTCTAAAAGTCTTACAGACAATGAATTTTGTAAAAAATAGATTTAATAAAAAGCAGTCATATTTTTTAATATTTACTGTTTATACTGTTAACTTCTTTAAGTTAATTTTTTTATATATTACTTTTATATTTTTATATATTTAGGTTATACTGTTAAGTTAAATATTTTGAGTATTATTGTGGAAGAATTTCTTTTTTGAAAGAAACTTTCTTTGGACGATTTCTTTGTTAGTATATTTTGAAGGTCTCATCATAATTATATTACTATAGCTTTTGTTTGCTACTTACTTCAGCTAAGAAATTGGCAAGCCCTCTCCTCAGATTCAGAAGTCCTCCAGTTTCACCAGCTTTAAGGTCCCCTGTAACTACATCGGGTTCCACCTCTAGTCTCACCTGAAAGAGATAACAGATTAGAGTAAAGCGTTTGACACAAGATTGCTAACTTTAATAGACCTGCAGAGAATAGGTGACATCTGTTTCTTTTTATAATTCTGCCGAGCGTTTCGCCCAAACTAGGTTGGGGTCAGCTTTAAGTATACTCTAATACGGCTGAACTTTTCATGTGGAGCGACTCTCATCAGACCTCCACAACGATTTCCACACGAAAGTACTAGGCGATTTCAATTTCAGTAGTAAGACTGTTGCCGAACTTTTAGGGATCCAACTATCATACACATACAAAGATGTTCGTATGGCAACCGGGAACGACGGCTTAACGTGCCCTCCGAAGCCCCGACGGGTGTCCCTGTGTTAAGAATGGTCACCCATCCATACAGACCTGGCTAGGATTGCTTAACTTTGCGAAGTGTTAACCCATTCGGTGAAGTCCACGAGTCTCTCGTTTTCTTTTTATATTTAGAGAAAAATTACGCAGCGTAAGCAGTGTTATTCCCGCTGTCCCATCTGAAGCATTCCCAACGGAGGATTAGCGTTAGGTGGCTGGCCATAAAAAAAATTGCCAAAACCAATGGAACTTATAACCCTGTAAGAATCGTACCTGGATTGATGACACTGTGGAATGCCATTTGGCGTTTGGCACTACTTAAAGCTATGCTTATCTGCCTTTTAGGTGGACAGAGACAACAATAGCACAACACTTCTATCCCTCAAAAATTTCATTAAATCTTTCAAGCAGCATCAATCTCGGGTACTTCTTAATTGTTCTCTGTTCAGAACATGACCAATTTGATCAGCGTATGTTCAGCGTGGTCTATTGCTAAAAATACTGTTAGATTTATTGGCGAAGAATACAAAAGACTCACATTAAAGTTGGTAACGTGGAACTCCGTAACAATTTCTCTAGGTTCAAGGTATGGGGGCTTCTTTGCATTCGGTATGGACATTGTGTACAGCCTGTCACCGTACTTCAGTACAGCATCCACTAGTTCCGGCTTCCAATACGTGTAGGGTTCTATGGCCTCAACCACTATTCCCATCACGGAGTTGGCTGTATCCTGGGAAAAGTACAAAAAACTTTCACCACTTTACTCATGGTTCTTGCCGTGTGTCACCACACCTATTCATCCCGTGGGTGTCGTAATAGCCGACTAAGGGAACTAACTAGGCAGGACAACATTACTGCAAAAAGAAGGAAAACTTGAAACAAACCCTATACCAAGCCCCGTCTGGCTAGCGTGGTAGCATATAGAAGGCCAAAACCTCTTTTTTAAAGAGAGGCCTATGTCCAGCAGTTGACTACTAAAGGCTGTTGATAAAGATGATAACTCATGGTTCTTCAGATTATACCAGTCTTGAATGACGAAAACATCTGCTTCTTAACTGCTGACAATGACCCTATTAATAATAATGAGATACTGGTATTGTAGGATTCAATTCTTTATGCACTCGGTCCCATCTCTCTTGTAGCTTCAGCAAGAAAATGGTGAAATACATGCTAAAGAATTGTGAAGGTTTGGCAGCTTCTCAGTAGTTGTAGTCGATCTTTCGTTATCGGCCATCAAGTCTTTTTTCTGAAAGACAACTCCCACGCTAGGAATCTATACTAATATTATAAAGCTGAAGAATTTGTTTGTTTGTTTGTTTGTTTGAACGCGCTAATCTCAGGAACTACTGGTCCGATTTGAAAAATTCTTTTAGTGTTAGATAGCCCATTTATCGAGGAAGGCTATATATCATCACGCTAAGACCAATAGGAGCGGAGCACCAATGAAGAATGTTTCAAAAACGGAGAATATTTATTACTATTGAGGGACGCAGACGAAGTTGCGCGGGTCAGCTAGTATATAATATGTCGAAAGGACACAAAGAACACCCAGACTCAGAACAACAACAAGTAGTTGAAGTCGATAACAAGTGTTGTCCCATGCGAGGATCACAGATTCACGCAGTAGGAAGCGGCAAGGTGATCACTTTAACCACTACGCCATCCGTGCAGATGTAGGAGATACTCCCGTGTCTATAGTTAAACCGCCGTAAGCTTGGCCCTCCTGATGGTTTGCGGGACGCGGGGCGGGTGATATCTTCAGATTTATTTGTTTGAGATTTAATCTACACACGATGTAATAAAAATCGAATTTATTTCCATGAATTATAATGTCAGTGTATTGTAAGTTTTTATGATTAATTGTAAAATTTAATACATTAAAATAATTTTAATAAAATCACCTTATCTTCATCATGTAAATTATATTCAGATACAATTTAAAAATTAAGTAAAATAAAAAATATTCTTTATTAGAACTTTAACAGTAGAACCTTTGTAAGCCGAACTTCAAGTTTTTAAATCTTTTTGTGACGCAGAGTCGGCAGATTATCCATGTTGCAAAATAATCCCGTGTGTAGCAGTTTTAAGAAAAATAACACGTACGACCATGCTTTCACGTCAGTCACTGCCGGTGGACAGCGACGCACTAGCTAATTGGTTGAATGCACCCGCGCCCCGCGTCCCCCAAACCATCAGGAGGGCCAAGCTTACGGCGGTTTAACTATAAGAAACCTGATGAGTTATGAAGCTTTAGAGGTAGTTTGAATGTGGCGATAGCACGTTCGTGATATATATATATGTGTATGGTAAACGAAGTCCTCTAACCTGATTGTTCCTATTGGGATGATCCTGGAAGTAGCTCTCCCCTTGAGAGACTCTGCCCCTCAGCGATGCTGTGGTCCTGTTCATTCTGGTAAAGTATTTGCCGATGACAGCTTCTTCCAACTCTGGGACCAATTCATCTCCAGCTTCTTCCTCTAGAGTAGTAAGATAATGTTGAGTGAAATGAAATGAGTAAAAATCTCAACTTAAATACGGTTCAGTAGCTTTCCTTGAAACTGATCTACGTAAGGTTTCAGATACATCCTTTTGATTCACCTTGCTGGAATAAAAGGCACTTTCATAGTGTGCATATATTTTTTTCTACTTACCGTCTTCTTCTTCGGCCTTCTTGGCTGCTCCAGGCTTCTTTTCTTTAAGCGCAGAGGTCAATTCGTTTGTGACATTGGCGCGGTACAACCAGCAAGGACCCAGACACTGCTTCTTATCCAGACCTGATTGAATGACTAAGAAACAAGAGATACATTAGTGAAACCATCTCCAACCTTTTGTTCTTGTTACTCATTGTGGTTAAGGGGGGGAAGTTGCTCGGATGGTATAACGTTGAATCATATTGCGTGGACTTCCAAACCTTATAATTCTGGACTTAAAAGCTATCGTCACAAAGGTTGCCCGAAATAGGCCAAAGGCTCCGCCCGCGTGTATGTCGTTTATCGCGCTAACAACTAGCCTATGTTACTCGCTGAAAATGTGGCTTTCCATTGGTAAAAGAAATTTGAAAATCCGTATAGTCGTTTAGGTGTGAAAGCGTAACAATCAAACAAACAAACTCACTGTCACATTTAAAATATAAGTATGAAAGTATAGATGGCAAAACCAGTAGACGTTCCTTCCTTTTTCAAGTCACATAACCATCACACATGTCATGCCTTTACTTCTCTTTTTATTAATTCTTTGATCAATCACATCATCAACAGCCTATAATAGTCCACTGCTGGACATAGACCTCTCCCTAGAAAGGAGGTTTTGGCCTACTATAGCACGCTGGCCAGACGGGTTGGTATAGGGTTTGTGTGGGGTGCTGGGCTAGAAAACCTCCTCGTGGTGCACCCTGGAAACGCTGGCGATGGTACTGTTTCCTCCTTGTCCTCTTGGAGGAGAGGATTATCGCCAGCGGCCAATATTCTAGCAGAAGAGGCAGCCGTTCATCGGCTCTCGGGCAAGGCCTGGTCCAGCAGGGTGGGCGTGTCTGCCGGTTGCCCTGCTGGCTCTTCGCTCTTCGGAGCATGGAGGAGGAAACCTCGGTAAAAAACCTGATGGCGGGGCCCTGTAGGGGCCACAGTTTCTCCGCTGATAGCGGTGGAGAAAGGAGGACGGGCTCGGCGTGTACTCACACTACCACCGAGCAGGCAGGGGGACGTAGTCTCCCTGTCAACCGTCGGCATATCGTAATCCCGAGAAGAGCGCTGTGGTTAAGTCTCGCGGCTCTGATCGGGGGCGAGGGTCTTGGCTTAACCGCCCGGACCGCGAGGAAGATAACCTCTCTAAAAAATTCCCCGAATCCCGTGTTCTGGTGCGTGGCCAGGGGATGCATGGCTGATGGGAAGTTCAGTCGCGAGCGCACTCCAAGCCGAGGTACCTGCGGACCCCTCGGTTGGGTTAAAAACTTACGCTTGCCCGGGTAATGGGGGATCTCTGCCCGGGTGGACCTTTAGTTCTCCCCCACTCGTGGGATCAATTATGGACAATAATCAAACTCAATCAAAGAAAACGATCGGAACAAAAAAACAACAACAAAAGGCAAGCAAAACGGACACTGCAACGAAATGTGCAAGGGAGAAGAGGAACAGTGGAGCGGATGGGTCGTCCACTGAGGGTGAGATGGTGTCAGGAACGCCTATCTCGATGGGGCTCCCAGAAGTCAGTCTAACGCTGGTCTCTGGGAGCCGAAGAGCATCGGATCGCATTCGTTCCGGATCCGCCGTCTCCTCGGATGGCGCGGAGGCCATGGAGGCGGAGCGAAGCGACAGCCGAAAACGCGGACGCTCAGGGGACGTGGAAACCGACACGTCCGGCGAAATGATGCCACCAAAGGTGGCAAGCAGCCGCCGATGGAGGGCGCGCAAACCGGCCTCGGCCCCGGTCTTAACCCCGTCAGGCTCCGCGTTCTCAAACGCGGAGTCCTACAGAAGTGTACGGGTGGACGGCGAGGCCGTAGCGGAGGAGGAGATCGCGGATCTCCTGCTCAAGGTTCGGGAGCCGGTGGGGGGAAATGCCCCCCAGGCTCCCGTGTCCGTGCAGGAGAGGGCGAAAGCGGCGGTGGCCGTCATTCACAAGGTGGCCACCAAGTCCGTGAACCTTAAGGGCTCGTTTGTGAGGGCCCTTAAGGACTCCTCCTCCGCTTTGTCGGAGGTCGTGGAGGGCCTAGTGGGCGACGTTTCGCGCCTACAGGTGGCCAACGAGAGGCTGACGGAGCGGGTGAATGAGCTGAGTGCTCAGTTCGCCCGCTTCCAGGCGAACCTCCCCGAGCGGGCAGCCCCGTCCGCGTCCCAGCCTGCCCCTACCACCAACTCAGGGGCATTTGACTCCCAACTGCGAGAAATCCTCATCGCAGTTGGGAATATGCTGGACGGACGCCTGGCTGGCCTGGAGGCGAGACTGCCCCCTGCGCCGATTATGCGCCCCCCGCTCGCGTCGGCACAGCGGCCTAAGGCCGCCGCTCCGACCGCGCTCCCCGTTGTGGGCGGCCGCGTTTCTTACGCGGCGGCGGCGTCTGCCCCTACTCCATCGGCTCCACAAAGGCCGAGGAGGGGGGCCAAGGCACCGGCCCAGGCGCCGGCCAAGGCACCGGCTAAGGCGCCGGCCAAGGCACATCCCCAGGCGCCAGCCAAGACGGGGCCTAAAACGGCGCCGAGGAGCGGAGTGGCATTCCCTCCGCTCCCCACTCCGACACCCCTGACGGGCCCCTCCGCACCTGCCCCCTCCAACGAGGGTTGGCAGGAGGCGAGGGGCTCCAAGAAGTCCCGAAGGCGGGCCAGAAAGGCTGCCCAAAAAGCAGCCCAAGCCCAGCCTTCGCCACCGGTGGCAACGGTCTCTGCAAAGAGGCCGCGGAAGCTGCAGCCGCCCAAAACCGCGGCTGTAGTTGTGACCGTGTCCCCGGAGGCGGCTGACGGCGGGCTGTCCTATGCGGCCGTCTTCAAGAAGGCCCGGGACAGCCTCGCCAACGAGTTTGGGACGGGGGGGGTCAGGATGCGCCTCGCCCAGACGGGAGCTCGAGTTCTCGAGTTCCCTGGGGCTGAAGGCGCAAAGACGGCGGACTCCTTCGCTGAGAAGCTGCGGGGAATATTTGCAGCCACAGATGGTGTCAGGGTCGCCAGGCCTACCAAGTGCGCGGAACTGCGCATCTCGGGCCTGGACGACTCAGTGACGGCCGAAGATGTCCGCGCTGTAATCCGGGAGAAGACGGGGTGCAGCGCGGACAACGTCAGGGTCGGCACCATCCGCCCCGGTCCAGGAGGGCTTGGCGCCGTGTGGGTCAGCTGTCCCGTAGCGTCGGCCAAAGTATTGGCCGACGCCGGCAGGCTGCTCATCGGTTTCGTGAGCGCCAGGATCACAGTCCTGGCGGCGAGACCGATGAGATGCTACAAATGCCTAGCATCGGGACACACGCGCGTCAAGTGCGACAGTTGTTTTGACTGCGGCGGACTGTGTTTCCGCTGCGGTCAACCGGGGCATAAGGCGGCAGAATGCTCTGCCGCCCCTCACTGCCCAGTGTGTGCGGCGGGCAATAAGCCCGCCAATCACCAGATGGGGCAGAGAGGCTGCAAGCCTCCCCGCAGTTCTCGGCAGACGTCGGGGGTTAGCCAGTCGACCCAGGCTGCCTCCGATGTAGTTCGTGCGTCGACGTCGTCGCCCATGGAGGAGGTTGTAGAGACGATCCAGTAATGGATCAAGTCTCCAACCTCCTGGTCCAGACGAACCTGAACCACTGTGCCGCGGCGCAGGATCTCTTCCTGCAAACCATGGCACAGTGGTCGATAGGTGTTGCCGTAGTCGCGGAGCCCTATTCTGTCCCTCCCCGTCCAAACTGGATGGGTGACTGGGACGGCTCCGTGGCAGTCGTCGGTTCCACGACGGCTCATTCCCCGCCCTTGTCGCTAAGAGACAAGGGCACTGGATATGTTGCCGTCGAGTGGGGGGGGATCACCATATATGGTGTCTATTTCTCCCCCAACCGGAGTTTGAACGACTTCGAGGTTTTCCTAACCAGCTTGGAGACCTCGATACGGCGACTAGCGTCTGGGCACGTCCTTGTGCTGGGGGACTTCAACGCAAAGTCCATTGCGTGGGGTTCCCCCAGGACGGACGCCAGGGGCGGGGCCGTAGAGGAGTGGGCGGCCTCGGTGGGCCTCTGTCTTCTAAACAGAGGCGCCACCAACACGTGCGTGCGACAGCAGGGGGGGTCGATAGTGGACCTTTCGTTCGCTACCCCTGCCCTCGCCGCACGAGTAAGGAACTGGTGTGTCCTGGAAGAGGTTGAGACGCTCTCGGATCACCTGTATATCCGATTTGAGCTCTCCCGGACCCAGGACTCCAGTAGGGGTCACGTGGCGCGGCGTTTATCCCGCTTTCCGCGGTGGGCTGTTGCCAGGCTGAACCGGGACCTACTAGAGGAGGCAGCCATAATTCACTCGTGGCTGTCTCCTCAGGCTCCGACCGAGGAGGTCGACGTGGGGGCTGGCCGCTTTCGCGATGCGATTACGCATGTATGCGATGCGGCCATGCCCCGCGTTCGAGGTCGTCGGCCTCCAAGGAAGGAGGTCTACTGGTGGTCCCAGGAGCTGGCGGACCTCCGTGCGGCCTGTACACGTGCCCGGAGGTCCTACACGCGCAGTCGGCGGCGTCACCGTGGAGACGGTGAGGAGGACCGGCTTCATGAGGAGTACCGACGGGCGCGGAAAACTCTGAAGCTGGCCATTAGCCGCGCCAAAGAAGAAAAAAGACAGGAGATGCTGGAGGGTCTTAATCGTGACCCCTGGGGTCGCCCTTACCGCGCGGTGCGACAAAAGCTCCGCGCGTCGGGCCCCCCCCTTACGGAGACTCTCCAGCCCAGCTTCCTGCGAGAAGTGGTTGAGGGCCTTTTCCCGCAACGAGCGGAACACACTCCCCCGGCGATGGCCTCCTTGGCCGGAGACGACGGGGAGCACGGGGAGGAAAATGTTCCGCCCGTCCGTGATTCGGAGGTAGGGGCGGCTGTTCTACGGATCCGTTCCAAGAACACCGCCCCTGGGCCAGACGGGGTACCGGCCCGAGTGCTGGCCCTGGCCCTCAACCACTTGGCAGACCGCCTCGGGGAGGTGTTCGACGCTAGCTTGGCGTCGGGACGCTTCCCTGAGTGCTGGAAGAGCGGGAAGCTGGTCCTATTGAGGAAGCCGGGACGGCCTGCCGATTCGGTCGCGGCCTATAGGCCCATCGTGCTGCTGGACGAGGCGGGCAAATTGTTTGAGAGGGTTCTTTCTGCCCGCATCGTCCGGCACCTCTGCGAGGTGGGCCCCGATCTGTCGGACGCCCAATTTGGTTTTCGGGCGGGGCGTTCGACAGTCGACGCTGTGTTGCGCCTGAGGGCCGTGACCGAAGAGGCCGTGAGCTGTGGCGGCGTGCTGTTGGCGGTGTCATTGGACATCGCCAACGCATTCAATAGTCTGCCATTCAGCTGCATCAGGGAAGCACTCCACTATCATGGGGTGCCAAAGTACCTGAGGCGGCTGGTGGCAGACTATTTAGAGGAGCGTACCGTCGTGTACGAGGACCGAGAAGGTAATTTGAGGAGTCGGCCCATGTCGTGCGGTGTTCCACAGGGGTCTGTTCTTGGACCCCTCTTGTGGAACATAGGGTACGACTGGGCCCTTCGCGCCGATTTCCCCCCCGGGCTGGGTGTAATCTGTTACGCAGACGATACCCTCGTGACAGCCCGGGGGGCAAACTTCCAAGAGGCGGCGCGCCTGGCCACAGGGGGAGTCTCCCTGGTGGTCGGGCGCATTGAGGCGCTGGGCTTACGGGTGGCCCTAGATAAGACGGAGGCCCTGTTATTTCATGGGCCCCGTCGTGGTCCACCCCCTGGCGCCTCAATCGTGGTCAACTCGGTCCTCGTACCGGTTCGGGCCCAGATGAAATATCTGGGCCTGATCCTCGACGGGAGGTGGCTCTTCGACGAGCACTTCCGACAGCTTGCTCCAAAGCTGGTCGGCGCTGCGTCTGCCCTAGGGCGACTTTTGCCCAATATGGGTGGACCCAGCGTCGCGACAAGACGGCTGTACACGGGGGTTGTCCGGTCAATGGCGCTGTACGGTGCACCGGTGTGGGCGGCGGCTCTGACCGCCCAGAATAGGGTACGCCTCTGGCGCCCTCAGAGGGTAATGGCGGTCAGAGCCATACGCGGTTACCGCACCGTTTCTACGGAGGTGGCATGCGCGTTGGCCGGAACTCCCCCGTGGGATTTGGAGGCGGAAGTGCTCGCCGAAGTTTATCGGCGAGTGGCTGACTCCCGGGCGGAGAGCGGATTTCGCCCTCCGCCCGAGGATGTGCGCGAGTGGCGCGAAGCCGCTCGCCGAGCCACGATGGCTCGTTGGTCGTTCCGGCTGGAGACTCCACGCGCTGGCTTCGCCGCCGTGGAGGCTCTCCAGCCGGTCATCGCCGAGTGGGCAGGGCGGCAGCACGGGACCCTTTCCTTCCGACTGACGCAGGTGCTTTCCGGGCACGGTTGCTTCGGAAAGTACCTGCACACGGTCGCTAGGAGGGAACTGAGTCCCGCCTGCCACCACTGCGACTGCAGTGAGGACTCGGCCCAGCACACGCTGGCGGTCTGCCCCGCATGGGCGGCGCAGCGCCGGGCCCTCACTGCAGTCATCGGAGTGGATCTCTCGCTACCGGCCGTAGTACGCTCCATGGCCGGTAGCGACAGTTGTTTTACCGCGGTCGCAACCTTCTGCGAGGTAGTAATCTCGCGGAAGGAGGCGGCGGAGAGGGCCCGGGAGGACGACCTCCACTCGGACCCGATCCGCCGCCGGCGAACCGGGCGGCGGAGGCCCGCCTACCACAGCCTCATGCCGCCCTGAGTGTGGCCGCGGGTGGACGGGGTGGGTTTCCCCTCCACCCGCATTAGTTGGCCAGCCGCGAGGGGGCGGCGTCCGCGTGTGCCGGACGTCGCCTAAAGAGAGGAACATCTACAATGAGACGGAGCCCGCACCAGGAGCGGGCTGGCGCTAGGAGGGGTCCGGATGTCTTAACAACAGCTGTTCCCGGATCCCTCCTGTTACAGGCGCAGAGTGGCACACCGTGTGGTTTTAGTCGGTCCGAGTCCGACACACCACCCCGCCGCAAACCCCGGAGGGGTGACGGTCCGAGGGGATTTCCACACGTTAAAAAAAAAAAAAAAAAAAAGGGTTTGTGTCAAGTTATCTTTCTCTTTGCAGTGCTGTTGTCCTGCGTAGTTTGCTCCCTTAGTCGGCTCTTACGACACCCACGGGATGAATAGGGGTGGTGACATTCTGTATTCTTAATCCATCACCACATTCCACAATTCTTTGATACATATTTCTTACTCCTCAATTTTGTAGTAGTTAATAGTCGCTTCTAAATTATGCCATGGTTTTCCTGACTTACTATCTTTCATCTAAGATATAGCAGGCAGTTTCTACTACACCGAACACCTATGGTATCGCACAGCAGAAAGAAAGATGTCGTTTTTTTTATTGCCATTAGAGAAACGAGTTCAAAATAGTGTTAGTATAATTGTCCGACTAACCAAGTTTGTCGATGAACTCTCCAGGACTGGCAGCCACAATGAGTGCAGGACAAGAGTCTGGTGGGACAGGTTCTGGCTCCGGCTCTGGTTGAGCCTCACCCTCTGCAATTCAGAAAGAAATAATAATGGCAAAGAGACCAACCCAATTGAGCTAATATTTAATAATAATTTAACTTCACACATCTAACACACGGCAGTCTGATCCCTAACTAGGCAGTATGTGCTATGGGTATCCAGACTGCTGATAATCATACTTATATATATTTTCTATCGATATTTCTAAATGCACACATATTGTAGATAAATTACACCCAAACACATAACTAATGAGCTGAACGTGCTCATCACACAATTACGCCCGTGAACTCCAAGTTTAGCAGTCCCAAGGCGATCGGCCATAACATTAAAAGCCAGAACCATTTTGCAATGAACTGGGGCTGCGTAAAAGAGGATGTCGAGTGATACAGAGCGTGGAAGAACTCCTTGCGCTGTCCTCAAACAAATTTGGGAAGATGATGATGGATTAAGCCCATCGAAGGATCTTTAGAATTATAACTGAGTTGGGATTTGGGCAAGGATTGACATTGTCGCTCATAGCCTAGTCCAGGGTTTGAACTACCACCACTGTCTTCAAAGTAAGTCTCTCCGTTTTCCAAAATAATTTGCAAAACGTTCGTTCAAAAAGTCTTTGCCAGAACAAAATGGATTCTGATCAAAATGTTTATTATCCTTTATTTCTCTATCACAAATCGAGGAAATAGAAAATGATATACCTCCACCAGCTTCCTCGTCCTCTTCAGGCTCACCACCTCCTTCAGTTGCCATCTCGTCTTGAATACGTTTGAGACGGAGCTCGTCGCCTGTAATCAAACTCGCTTATAACAAATGCATTCAGTATTCAGGTGAAATCTTGTTTTTTTTCCTGACTTAGGTGGGTTTTGAGTACCGCATCAGCTGTGAGTGTTGAATGTATCTTGTTGAGTTTCGAGTTAAAAAGACGCTGATTTATTGAGAACGTTTCTATTAAGAGTCCTCTTGGTCTTTCAGAATACTTATAAGAAATTATACGCAAATGCATTTTCATTTCTTTTCCTTGATTGAAGTACGCTTTTGTATTATTCGAAGAACATGAAAAAGAATGTTGCGTTCGAGGTAAGCTGGGTGTGAACGAAACATATAAATACCTATACCAAGTCTAGAGATGTTCAGAGCAAGCTATGTGTACATGGCACCATTTTTTTACAACGCATTACTTGAAAATTTTAAGTCAACTAAAGAAATACGAGTAGCTATAAGAACAGTAATGAATTCCTGAGAATTTGCTTTTTGATTTTTCGAGTATAGAAATGCATTGTAACACAACTTTTTAACTGAAATTGTGTATCTATGCTTAGTTTTTATTTAACCTTATCAACTAAATATTTGTATGCCATCTAACGGTGAAATGTGCCCTGTTCTCAATGTTCTATCTACTTATCTTTTGTACCACATTATGTGCAAATAAATTCATTATTATGACTAGCTTGAATGCAGTTTTAGCTTTTCCTTTGCCTAAAGTTTAACCTTAAACCTTAAATCTTTTGAAATGGAGGGCGTTCTACCTTTCATTATCCTATGTGAAGTCAACATTCCCTTGTGGACAGTGGGAGCTGGATCGAAAGCCACCACCCTTCCTCCAGCCTGCATCCATAACCCGAGCTGGTAGTAGTCACCCAACAGCAGAGACACAGTTGTGGGATTGGTTTGATCGTACCACATTTTAAAGAGGAGATCCTTCATTTCTGGTAACAGGAAAAAGCAAAAAATTAAGGATGTGATGTGAAAATCTTGTACATTGTTTTTTTTATATGACTTACGTTTCATAACTTCTGGTTCTTCTTCTTCGAGCATTCCTTCTTTATCTCCTCCACCTTCTTCGCCCTCCTGATGATTTTAATAAAAGGAAGAGTTAGTTCATCTTAGACAAGAGAAGAGAACAGAAAAGAGTAGTTGTTTCGAAGACTGGAAAACTGTACTTGTCAGAACAGCTTAGTGACAACTTCATTTCTTATTTTGTCTTTCATTTTTGAGTCTCTCATGCTTCGGTCTTTTGATACTTCTCTATGTCGCTTTCCCAATTAGTCTCTATTTGTGCTCACGCTTTTTTATTTTTTACAAAAGTTTATTGTACCAATATTTCAATCTATCACCATCTGTTCACCATACGACGTTCACATACGTTTATTGTAATCTGTGCTAAATAAAAATAATCACACACGGCCTTCTGATCCCAAACTAGGCAGATCCTGTATTATGGTAACCAGGCTGCTTATAAATATACTTATATATTACTAAATACATACATACTATATATTGATAAATTACTCAAACTGTCACACTATTATCACACAATCATTTGTCTTCAATTCAATTCAATTCTTCTTCTTCTTCTTCTTCTTCAAGTCTTGAGTGGAAATCGAACCCGAGACCTCCAGCTTAAGAGTCAGAGTAACTTACAACTAGACCAACAGACCCGACAAATATTTTATAATTTAAGAAATATTATAATGATGGTGTGTTTTTATTTTGCCTCACTATTAAACCTTACGCTATCTCTACGCAGTCACATCGCATCTGTACAAAGATCCACTCACCGGAGGCGGCTCGTCTGGGAGTCTGAGTGGTAACCTCACTGGTTCTTCCAGTTCTATGGTGTAGGTGTTCGCACCCATCTCAAACTTTTCAGTCAGATCATCCACAGTCATCTCTTTTCGTCCTGTCCTCTTCAAGTGGTTCAAGTAATATTCAGCTCCCGTATCTGACAAGGAAATTTATGAGGATGAATTTTTATGGTATTTTTGAAATGACTTCCCTAGAAGGGTTGGTCTTTCCGGCAACAGACAGATCAAGACCCTGACATATTTGAGCTATCGCTTACGCATCTATAAAAATAATAGCCTTTTCTAACCATTACTTTCCCAGTTTATCACCTTTTCATTTTCTACTGAACTTAATTTTTTTCCATCTGATTACTAAAGTGTCTCGGCGGCAATAGGCTGGCCTCCCTGTTACGTAAGTGGAACTAAAATTATAATTGGCACCATGTGGGCGTGGAATACCAGTGGGATTTGAATCGAGCATCCTGGGATCGACTCCTTTGGGATCGTCTGAGGAGCTCGAGAAGGTTACACCACAGCATAGTCAAGGATTTTGGCACATCATCAGCGGGCAATCATTAATTTCTATTTATATATCTAGACAGAAAGATAAAAGAGTGGTGGGTTACCTAAGAAGTTGTACATATGATCCTTGTGCATATGCGCGGGGGGGATGGCGGTGGCGGCAGCCACGTAAGCCGCGGCTGCTGGCAGTCCAATGTTGCGGCCTGCCTTGTCGTCCTGACAACATAACAGTAGTTGTTTTTCCATCTTTACTTGCCTTATATATTATACTTCCAGTTTTTCATTTAATTCAAAAAACTGCCTGATTGCACATCATCAACAGCATTTAATAATCCACTGCTGGACATAGGCCTCTACTCACCATACGAATTTATCACTTAACACCCTATCACAAATTGATCCGAAGTTTTGTGATCATATTGGAAATACTTACATCAGATATTCCTGCCCTCTCAGCAGCCTTTCCGATTGCAGCATTCTCTCCGCGAGGACCCATCATTATAGCTGCTGTGCCTTTCTTTATCCACTCAAACGCTTTACTCTGAAAAAAATGTTGACGATTTGTTTCATAGGTCGGTTTTGCAAATCGAAAGCGAATAGTTATGGAGGGTTAAATACGTAAGGGATGGGGATAAAAATTTAATACATAAATAAGAATATGGGTATTTATTACTAAAATGTTTTCTTTCAAATTCTTTGAAATTTACACGAATATCAAAGAATTCAAATATTGCAAACGTAACAAAAATTATTGTCTTTACCTCCAACTTTGTCTCCGGGGCACCAATTTCTGGATTAAGTTTAGTCGCACTAATGCTGACTGGAGATATGTTAAAACTGTCGTCACTGCCTGGTGGCAAGTTGCCGACGAGGATTTTCGCCAGTTCATCAATCTTGCCCTGGATGCGAATAAGACAAGCAGCCGCACGCGGTTCGTCACTAGGCAAACCTGGAAATATCGTATATTAAGGAAATATTCTGATGATCACTAACGTATCCTCTTATTGAGAGTGAGAGAGTTTTATATGTCCTCAGAAAACCGAAAAAGAATCTCTCTGTGCAAAACCTTAATCTCTATGCGCAAAAAGACAATCGGAATGCGCGAAACCCTAAATCTATCGACGCAAAACTCCAAAAAAAAAAAATGTAATCCTGAAACCACTTACCGTTTTCATCACACCCATGGGGATCGAACATGAAGTAGTATCCGCCATGCCTCCATATAGCAACAGAGTTCCCCCTCGCCGTGAACACACCATGAGAATATTCCTTGAAGAAACTCGTAAGGATGCTCTTAAACGACGGCAGCCCACTATCTGGCTCTGGGTTCAAGTGTCCTGGAAAGAACGAAAGACATCGTTTACTCCTTAAGAATCGATTTTCAAATAAGGCGCCCGGTAAAAGAATATGAAGGGTCAAATTTAGTGATCGAATGACTAGAATCGATTTCGTGCTACGACTATCGTGCGCACCTTTCACATGTGTATGTATAACTTGTATACTTGTGTGCAGCCAAATCGTTCTTAACGAGTAACTTCAGCTGTGTGTCGGAGCTGACACACACAGTATTGTTATCTGGTAACCGTGGCTCATGATAGAAAGCCATCCTCCGTACCTATAGAGATACTCAGTGGACTGGATATTTCACTCTACTACCGACTTAATAAATATTTACCTTCAGTATTTTTTTTCTTGTGTGTCCGATTTTCAAGAAATGGCTAGACCTAGATCTTTGCTTTGACATATCAAAGCAAAGATCTTCCACTGCTAGACATAGGCCTCTCCTTAGGAAGGTGGTTTCAGTCCAGCCGTGGACTATTAATAGCTGTTTATGTGATGATGATAGCTCTATAACTACATTAACAATTGATCCATACCATCGGATTCTATGTCTGTCTGTCTCAATAACCAACGTTACCTGGACAAGATTTGTCAGGTCGTTAATAAATTTAGGTTTCAATCTTGTTGGTTAGCATTTGAGCATTCCGTGTGGTAACGGATTAAAAATACGGCGTGTCACCACCCCGTTTCATCTCGTGGGTGTCGTAAGAGCTGATTAAGGGGGCAAACTGCATGATAACAACACTGCAAAGATAAGGAAAACTCGACACAAACCCTATACCAACCCGTCTAGCCAGTGCGGTATTGTAGGCCAAAACCTCCTTTCTAAGGAGAGGCCTATGTCCAGCAGTGGACTATTAAAGGCTGTTGATGTAAATATTCATTTTTAAGAGAATACATGCTTCGAATCAAATGGGTTGGCGAGACCGGAATGATATTGTGACCTCACTCACAAACGGTATTAAGCAAACCGGTGCATTTCGGTGATGTTACATAAGGCTTAAAACTTTTCCCCCTAGTTCTGGATTACTTAAAGGCCAGCAACGCACTTCCGTCTATCCTCTATGCCATATAAAAATAAGAAGATTAATTTTCACACAGAAATATTTCAATCTACTTCATCTTTAGTTCTAAAACTCACCAATAAATGTACTATCCATGACATCCGCCTCTATGCAGTCGTTCTGCGATACGGAAAACCTGGTCAGACAATCAGCAGCAGCAAGACTCCCAGTAGGAGTAGGCTCCTCCGTTTCTTCATCCTCATTCTCTTCCGCGCTCTTGGGAGCATCTAGACTGATGCCCATCTTCTCCAAATGCTCCATGGTGTTTTCATAAAGAACATCACCGCGAACTAGAGTCTAGGAAAGTTATAAGATGTTATGAGCCTTCACAATATATTTGTAACTCCAAAATCAGAATTGCTTTATCTCTTGATCCGTCTGAAACTATTTGGACTCGTCAAGTTCATGAATAGCTACAGGCATTATCAAACAGAACACAGAGTTTTTAAACTCAAAAACTCACACTAGGTCTCACAACTCGCAACAGAGAAAAACAGAAAAAATATAGAAACGACATCGTTTAACATGCATATAACAAGAAATAAAAATTATCCGAATTAAAAACATCCTTTTTACGTTAGTTAATTTTCAATAAATGACTTTATTGACAACTACGATGCTGTAGAACTTTTTTTTCGTAAAAGACAACTCCTGCTGTAGGAATAGATCATGTGTTGTGAGGGACTTACAGGCATACATGAAACGGATACAAAGAACACCCAGACTCGGAACGACAATTTGTGGATCACAAAGTTTGTCTCATGCGGGATCGAACCCACAATACTCAGCGTAGTAGGAAGCGGCGAGGTGACCGCTTAAACCACTACGCCATTCGTGCAGTCTACTAATATTCCCTATTTACTATAAAATACTACAAAACATTGAACATTTTCTGACATTCTCAATTCTAAAATTACTAAAGCATTTTCCATAGCCATTACCTCATCGATATCCTCGGCAGTCCACTCGTTGGGGTCGACAACATGTGCCATACCCAACGCCATCAACGAACAAGGTGTGGCCTGACGACCTCGATGTTCCTCAGGGAAGCGGTTGTCCCCTTCGTGGAAACTGCCTCGTACTATCCAGCGACCTGGAGCCACGGCTGTACGAGCAGGAAGAAAAAGAATTTTGAACTATTTGTAAATTGTAACAGTAACACTTTTTTCTTAATATTCCGTCTGATTTAAAACTGGACAGAACCTTTGCTATGGTAACTAGACTGCTGATAAACATATAGTGTTATGAAAAACAAAATACATTTAAAAATATAAAAAATAGTAGACCACTGGCATCGGATAGAGGGACCAAGACACCGTCCGTTAGCACTCCTCACTATACGGGCCGTGTCAAGGAGAACTGCCTACTGCATCAGACCCTTGATCCAGCCGTCCAACGTGAGCCTTTTAAGGTGTTGGTCGAGGCTCTTGGCTATCAATCCGTGAGACTACTATCGGAACAATGATCGCCGAATCCACATTCCACATATCGATAATCGCGTGAGATAAATCCAATTATTATTATCACACAATTATTTTTCATCGGTGGGAATTTTATCCACAATGTGGATATACGAGTATTCATCTATTCTTTTACTTACGTTTCATCTTATTAACTGCCTCCGGAAGCTGCTTCTTCCTCTCCATGACTTGCACGTCGGAGATGCTGAACGGTTTCTTCTTGAGGTCAGACACGCTTTCTAAGAAATGGTCGCAGAGGCGGTCAATACTAGTAAAATACATTATACAGGCCTTTCCACCTCCTTGAAGACCCACCTAGGTAAAATGATTAACTACTGTTTTAAATAATGGAAAACTCGCAGGCCGATTCGTATATATACAAATTTCTAACATCAACCTTAGGGCTGTTGTCCGCCAGGCATGATCACCTCGCCTTTTCGGAAGACCCTCTCTTTGATTCGGAGGAAATAACGCCCACTGATGTTTGTTGCAAAACGTATGCCCTGAGGAACCACTTCAAGAGAAAGAAAAAACAGAAGACTCTGGGCTGCTATTCCCCTTTGGGGACCAAAGATCTAGAGAGTGTGGCATTTTCTTGCTACATAGATTACGGTCGTCAATTTTTTTTTATTTCAGGTTGACATATTCGTCGTCTCGTTTATTGATTGGTCTCATGTCCCTGCAGATTAAACCTAAAGATTGGACGTCCAATACGTCTGGGTCATAAATTTAATTAGGTACCATGTTATTGATCTAGTCCCCACCACTCTTCTCAAACTGTAGATAAACCGCTTATTTAATATTTGCAGTAAATTAAGAACTGTTAAAGGCAATACAGCTGTCCTCTCCCATCCCCTCAGAAAAAGGAGAAGGGAGAGGTTGGGCGGTTGGTAACCTCACTCACTTGGTAAAAAGGATAATACGTTTTAGGTTAAATATACGCATTCATAGGTCAAACACTCAAAGTGACAAAAGGATGTATGTCACATACGTGTATTGTCAAGAACGCCAAATGTCAAGCTCGTAAATGGTCAATATATCATGTTTTGATTCATAATGGTGTCTCTGATTTTATTGCCTTCTTCTTTAACTGCACGTGCTAGACTTAGTACGTGTTTAAATTTTGACTTCATATGCTCGTTTAACTTTATGCGTGTTTGACTTTTTGTGGGTTTTGACTTTATGCTTGTTTGATCCGGTGAAAAGCAGTCGATGAATTGTTCAACAGCGGTTTTCTGTGAGACCATGGCCTCAAAAATATATTCAAATCAAAAGAAGAAAACTTACCCTATGTCCAAACCGGTCTGCTGGCCAGGGATGGTAAACATAGTACCTATCACCTTCGTCCCAAATTGCTACTTCAAACTCACCAGGAATCTGGGGAAATAATTAGCTTTGTGGTAAAGGGATCGACAAGTTAGGATCAGTGATAGGTTTACTTTTCTCCTTCAGTTTTTTTAAGAATAGAGTAAATTTTATTATACATCAGTTTACTCATTATACATAGAAGAGTACATCAAATTAATAACCATGTATAAACGGGGGGTACAGACAAACTTTGTATGGACAAATCGACTGTAGATAGGCGAATTCATGAGTATGTAATTAATTAATTTAAATTAGACAAATATGGGTAGTAAAGGCCTCTTCTGGTTAAAGGATTGTAAACATTTTTGGTCGCTTTTATTGTTTTATGATACCAACAGATGCCACTTATCGATTTGAATTCAGGGTATGGTTTCAATTAACTATTTTTGAACAGATAGCATGTTTACTTATCCCAGTCGATAGACGGCATTTGTCACGTTAAATTGAGACTATTGTATATAAATAATATCATCACTGCGGTATTTAATTCCGTTGACTCCAGTGATTCACCAGCGCTATCGAATTCAGTGGAAGTGCTTAGAATTAGATTGAGATATTTGTTCTTAACCTAAGACGGGCCATCGAATACTAATTAAGAGTTACTAATATACATAGGTCTCAGATTTACAAAACAACGTAAATTAAACAAGTACACGTAAATTATTTAGACAAGCCAAGCATTACCTGAAGTAATCCAGAGTCAGATTCCTTAAAGAATGACCGAATACCTCTGCACAGGTCGAAGACTTTGGGATCTGAAGACACGATCTTACCCCAGTAAGCGATTTTGCGCTCCTGAGAAAAGAATGCCATGGTTAATCGTATCTTAAGGGTGTTTTATCTGTAGTCCAAAGTATAATTGGAGGGTACCTGTCGCAAATGGTAAGTATGTCTCTGGAAGATGTTCGGCTTGGATTCCTCGGCTACAGAAATCCAATAGGTGTATTGTTGACATCGAGGTCTGCAAGCCAGTGAGTGGCGGGCACACGTTTTATATTTGCCACTAAATTACCATTTAATCAGTTAATTGCATCCATGCATTCCAAAATTATATTTGCACTTGTAATCTCCAAAGTTATATTGCATACATCCAAGAATGCTACCATCCATAAATGTTTCAGTCTACTAGCATGTTACTGTGTTGATCCATCCAAAGAAAACATATAACGTGATGAGTTCCCTCTCTTAACCTTCGTCCCATGGCAGGAAAACTAACTCCAGAAGATAAATTGATTTATTCCTCCTCTATTAGCTGAATATATCCAAATATCCAAAAACTAGTATTTACCTTATGAATAAATTCCCGATCTCGTATATTGAAGTTCTCCTTAATCTCCCCGAGGGTTAGATGACGAATGGGTCCTCTGCGATCCATCAACGATTCCTACGGCAAAAAACAATATCTTTATTCATCTTTTATTTAGGGAAAGCCATGTCTCGGCACATCGGCCAGGCTCGACAGGAGTGATACCACGGCATCACAGTAAACCGGTGTTAAGTAGTTCTTTCGTTGCTTTTCACCGAGTGAGTTACTTACCGGAGCCCAAACCCTCCCCATCTCCCTGATTCTGGAGGGAGGGACAAAGGAAGGTAATGCACTCGTGACTCTTGAGTTGTAAGTGTCCATAGGCGACAGTAGCCACCATCAGCTGACCCGTCTGCTCGTTTGCCCACTTATACCTTAAAAAAAAGGATACCCGAGAATCTATCGTTTTTGCTAAAAAAGTTTAGCTTTAAATGCCTGATGCTTCATACGTGGTGCTTGATAAACCTTGGCATGTCGTCTTAGTTTACTTAGACCCTGGGACCAAAGCCATTGTCAGGCTGATATCTTGTTCGATATCGGATGTACAATCTAGCCCAGTATTCTTGTGCCAATATTTTCTTTTCTTTTAAAAAAGGCGACTCCTGACTTTCTTTTCCCTTTTATAAAGCTCTTTAACCCAACCCTTTAACCAAATCAGTTGGTGATAGGTCGCAAAAGAAAGCAGTCTGCAACCTTTGCTATATTACACATTGTGACGACTCTAAATAAAACTGAGTAAAGGGAGGACATGAAAACAAAATGATGATGATTAAAAAAAGCTCGAAATTTTATCTTGGTCCTATGATATATTTGGCAACAGTCCAAACGAGTGGGCTGGAGTCTGGAGAATACTCACCCTGTACAAATTATAGCCAACATCTAGGGTTTCGTCAACAGTATCTTCGTTCCAAGCCCTGGCTCTGTACCTGTGCAACATGGCCAGAGCAGCCAAACAGCTTGGTATGGCAGTAAAGGTCTTGAATGTCTGGTATCTAGAAATTAAAATTTCGTCAGTACTTGAGATTTACAAAGTCTAAGTCTTCGAATATTTGGAAGCTTTTGAAATGAGACGCTTACAATACTACCATCTACACTAGTAGCCGTAGAAGAGCCATGCTTCAGTACAAATCTTAACGTGAGTGATACCAAGACCTCTCAGAAAACCAGTGTGAAGCTACCACCTCCTCCATTCTGTGAGGGAAGGCACTGGAAGGCATGAATAGATGTCCATTGGCGGCGATAATCACTTACCACCAGGTGATCCGTCCGCTCGATTTCCCCATATAACATAAAAAAGCGACATCAGTTTAAAACAGAATGAATTCGCCAAAGCTTAGTATTAGTTTCCAATATAGCATTCGGTCAGGGTAAATCTGCTCTGCCCTCAGAGAGCATAATGGATGATTACAACTGATGCCCAATGCTCCTGCACCTTCATCAACTATTCATCAAAGCTATCTTCTTCTGGCTCTAAATGGACTCACACAGGATCTAAATTCCAGGTTAATAATTTGAAAAGTTTTTACCGGTAGCTAGCCATATGCCTGGTTCCTCTCAAGATATACCTCCCCACGTCAAGCTGGTGGTATTGAGAGTGAAAGTTCTTATTTGCGACCTCCACTGGACTGTGTAGAATGGTTTCGGACTTCGGAAGAGGAATCATATCGTCTCTGTAGAAACAACACTGATTAGTTATGATGACTGACCTGTACATCTAGCGGTTAGTGATTCTGACGGCTAGGCCAGTGTTCGTGGATTCATTTCCAAACGTAGTTAAAAATATAAGTATGTTTATCAGCAAGCTGGTTACAAAAAGATTCTGCCAACTTTGGGATCTCTTGGGGTTATTAAACATCTCAAACACGGCCATCTAGGCCGTGTTTGAGATGTTTAATAACATTATTATCAGGTACTTATAATATAGAAAACATTTAAAAGAAATCAGACATCACAAATGTAGAGAATCGCAAAAGTCAACCTTATTTTTAACTATTAGGGTTTAAAATTAATTAGCAGATTGAACTCTTGGTGGCTACGTGAAGTCCACGTTAAACAAAAAGTTTACAGCTTCTTTAAGTATTCATCATATTTATTTGGTTAACAACCAGTATGTACAACAATATACCTGTATGTAACGTTTATGGTAAAACGGGTCTTTCCACTTTCTTCTTAAACCCACCGCAGGGACTCTTGAACCCCCTCAATATAGTCTTCGCATATGCTTGCCTATAGGAGATCGCCTCAGAGCGATAAGCCGCTAATTTGTATTGTTTACAAAGAAAGATTTTAATTCTCAAATGTAATATCCTCCAGTCCTTCAATGTCAGGGAGTTGAATATTAATTTAATAATTATTCTCGCACCCTCGGGTTGGGGGTCCAAGTGTAATAGTGAGTACCCCTGGACCTCCTAGGTAGTTAATAAGGTTCTCATATACATGCCATTTAACAAATGTAGAGCGACAAAGTCAAAGTCTAAAGACTACCTGCAAAGACCCTTACCGGCCATAAGTGTGTCCATCTATGGCGGGGCTGAAGAGGAAGAAGTCTTCTCCTCGTAGTGACAAGATCTGTTCTGGTGATGGGTTCGGCGGGGCCTTTTCTGGTGCGACTGGTAATGTTATCGGTGGCTAAAAAAAATTACATTTAAATATTAGCGTCAGATCTTCACATAACTTTATGAAAGCATCTTCTGCCATAGGACTAGCTGGAGCAGTTCATAGCAGGAGAGTTCAATCTGTTAGAAAGATAACCTTCTTTCTTTATTGAGGACTCATTAAGAAAGCTGTTGGTTTCTGTTTAAAAAGAACATGCAGCGCTATTCTCTAAGGGAACAGCCTTGCGTACTTGCGTAAATAAAATATTAATAAAAAAGGTTGCTTATAACATATCTCTGAGATCATATCTCTGAGACGGGCCTGTTGGTCTAGTGGTTATTGACCCTGACTGCTAAACCGGAGGTCGTGGGTTCGATTCCCACCCAGGAAAAATAGTGTGATGAACACGGTCATTTGTTCTGTGTCTGGGTGTAATTTATCTATAATATGTATGTATTTATACATATATATAGATATATATGTATAAGTATCAAGATTTGCATGATGGCGTGACTGCATGGATGATGTGAACGCACGGATGGCGTAGTGGTTTAAGCGGTCGCCACGCCGCTTCCTACTGCGCCGAGTGTTGTGGGTTCAAACCCCACATGGGACGACACTTTGTGTGATCCACAAATTGTTGTTCCGAGTCTGGGTGTTCTTTGTGTCCGTTTCATGTATGTTTGTAAAGTCCCCCGCGACACAGGATATATTCCTAATGCGGGAGTTGTCTTTTAAAAAATAAAAATAGACTTATCTTCTGATAGATCTTTATGTCTATGAGTAATAGCAACTTGAGAAGGATTGAGATAGACCCTAAATTAGCATGTTTCACTAAAATTAAGTATAAATATTAATCTTAATCTCTGATACTCACATCCTTAGGTGTTTTCTGGTAGAATTCCCTGACTTTCCTCCGGGGGGAAGAGCGGGAGGTCGCCAAGCTCACCGCGCTCAGAGAAGCTAATGGGTACTGGCCCTAGAAGTACCAGGCTTTAAAATATATTTATATACAGTTTACTGAAAACACTGCTACACTATTCGAAGAGTTATATACGTACACATAACATGACGGAATTATAAGAAAGACTAAGAACAGAAAAGAAAAATATTTGCTAATTTTTTTCATTAAGTGTTTATCATAAATAATTGAGATAATTCATTAAACCTCCTATATTTGAAATAAAATATTAGGGAAGCCACTTTTGTAAATGAAAACAAACCCTTCAACTTTTTTACCATCAGTTTTGATAGCGTTAATTTTGGCAGTTCCGGCAAAAGCTGACGTGTTCTTTAAATAGTAGATATATCATCAAAGCTATGTAACTTAGACTTTATCTCCCTGTCTGATGGATAACTAATAAACAATACTGGGAGACCAATATACCTGTCTATTGTCGTCCACTGCTGAATGAAGGCAGTCCACAATACGTAACACTAATCACAATATCCAATGCGAAACGACACAGGGCCGATAGGAACAGATACGCAGTACTACAGACAAAGACTTAGTAGGGACGTAATAGCAACATACAATAAAGCAGAAGCCAATCCTATAGGTTTTCAATAGCAATACACAATATTTCAGTGAAGTCCCAGGAAACTAGCAATGGATCTAAATGATTGAGTTGTCTTTCAGACAAATAGCTCCTCAAATAACTTTGATTTACCTCTTTCTGTTTCTTCTCGATGAGGGCGTTAACATTCATGCTCTGCCATACCGCATCGCAATGTGTCGGCAGAGCTTTCAGATCTAAGGAGTAGGTAGGCTCCCGGATCAAAGGCTCCTTTTGGAATATCTGTTAAGGGATAAACATAGAAGAATTAGACTCCGAGATCCTAGGATCCATCTGGACACCAGAAAATACTCCTCCACGATATTCTATAGGTTAAAGTTATGTCCTAGATCTCGTTATTATGATATAAGCATTTATGACCAGCAATTTCGTCATTTGCTGTAGTTACAAAAATGTTTATAAAACTTATCAAAACTTATTATAAATGAAATGGCATCTCTCAATGGGATAATTTTCATAAATCTGAATTAATTTTATGATTAAATAACACCTTAAATCTCCCTTAATGGCGGAGAAGTTGTTTTAAATATCTCATTGAGGGGTATATATACTCTTGTAAGGTATTCCTCGAGTCACTCCTTAGTCCTATAAGAATATGCACATCTGATGACCTGGCTGAAAATCTTGACGGCGTAATACCGTGTGGTTTAGTCAGTTCCACATACCACCTTATCGTTCGACTCGGGAAAATGGCTTGTAGATACATCCAAATGAAAAAAAAAAAGAGGAGGTGGTGTAAATGTCCAAATTAAAAAACATGTTAGCTATCTTTATTTTGTAAAAATGTGATATAGAATAATACTTACATCAATGCTAGTCAATGTGATTGAAGGTTTTGGGGTGCCTTTCTTGGCAGAGTCCAGGTCACCGTAGTTGCAAAGAAAGTCAATGACAAATGCATTGACACCGGCGTAGCGGAGGAATGCTCCAGCTCCGTGCCTGGTGAACAAAGAAAGTTTATTTATTTTAAAAGACAATTTTCGGCCTAGGTATATGTCCTGACACCAGGGACTTCCTTTCTAGGGTATACCTGGTTCCCCGGCTATTAGTACCCGAGACGGCGTGCAGTTTTAGTCGGTTCGAGTCCGACATGCCACCGATAGGTGGTATCCGAGGGGATTTCCGCACAAAAAATTAATAAATAGCTATATTTCCTGAGTCGCAGGGAACAAACTTACATGAAACGGACACAAAGAACACCCAGACTCAGAACAACAATTTGTGGAACACTAATTCTTGTCCCATGTGGGGATCGGACCCACACCACAAAGTGTAATCGAAAGCAACAGGATGACCGGTTCAACCATCCGTGGAGTCAACCCTTTCGCGGCTGATATACAAAATAATAAACACGAGTATAATTAGTGGCTGCCTGACTAGCTTCGGACCAAACAGGGGAACTTTTTCATGGGCTGAAGCCACGGATGGACGGTACCGGTCATTAAAACTACTTACAATTTATGTGGCTGTCCATATTCAGTCAGCATATGAGGATCAAAGATGTAACAGACAGTCTTCACAGCGCTCCCAGACCCAGGGTCTGGTGGATGCCCCCAAATCAGGAAGTGACGGACGTCTCCAATAGACAGGATCAACATGTATGTAGTTCCTGCGCGTTTCTCCATTAGGCTGGTGGGGAAATTATTGATGATGAGTGTTTTAATAGCATAGTATTAAAATGTCCTGTAATGTAAATAAGAATAATAATATATTTATTTCAAAAAGGTAAATATAAGGTAAGGCTTTACAGGGTCCACAGCACTTAGCTCGAGGCTTGTATTGCACAGGCCAAAGATAGTAATTACATGTGTGTGTTCTCTTTCTTTTATTAAATGGACGCAGTCTAGCAGGCGAGTATTCTGTTAATAAATAACTATCGCCCCCCATGGACACTTACACTTTGAATTCTTCCTCCACCAGAATTAGGTGGAGGGGAGGTTTATAGCTCCGGTAACCTCCATAGAGATAGTATAAATAGAGGGAGAAAACTGTATATTCCTCTGTAAGTGGTACGGCCAGTAGACAGAGAAAGAAGATTTGTTTTGGTCTCTGCTCTGATATGCTGATACTGAAGAGGGCATTTAAAATAGCCAATCAGTGACAAGAGCAAAGAGAGATATAAAACCAAAATAATAGTTATCTCTCTCTACCAATCGCATGCGATAGCGCTTAGTTCGCTTCCTCAACCATTTATAAGCTCTTTGGTTACCCCACTCACTCGGTTAAAAGCGAGTGTCTGTGTCCTCAAAAGTCTCGTGGTGTTACTTGATTCAAGCCGGTCTATTTGACCCAAAGGATGGCTCTCCTATAGTATTAATGATCCTATTTACTAACCTCATGAGGTCTGGAGCAGATTGTATATTGTCAGGGTGTTTCGCCAGCAGACCTTTGTCCACCTCTAACATCTTGACCGTATACTTGGTGTCGTGCAAAAACAAATAAGTCAGGAGCTGGTGCAGTTGCAATTTTGGATTACCTGGGTTAAAAGATGAACTTTTAAAGTAGGGTTCTTTCATTGCCACATCCTGACCAAATAGTACTGAGATTGAAAAAAAAAAAACGGAATGCATGACAATGTACAGGTACCTACTTTAATTAATTTGGTAACCAGACTGCTGATAAACATAATACACCCAGACACGGGACAAATGATTGCTCATCACACAATTATTTGGCATGGGTATGAATCGAACCCGATATTGGAAGTCAGGATTAATAACTAACAAACCAACAGTCCCGTCAAACTAAAATTCTAGATAGTAAAACTGATAGATTACTTACCTTTATAGCACTTCAAAGAGTGCAAGCACTCTCTATAGTATCTATCACCAGCCTCGATTAATTCGTCAACGTCCCTGGACACCAGTTGCGCTGGGGTCTTCTCCTCGAGGAGTGCACGGCATGCCACGGCTATGCATCCGGTCTGGGCACCTAGGATATAGCGACACTCAAATTGAAGACTAAACCTTAATGGTATTGTAATCTGGTCGAAACGAGGCACATGACAATCCCAAAACCTATTGATGCTTTGCATATATTTGAAGACCATATGATGACGGATTAAGAATACGGAGTGTCACCACCCCTATTCATCCCGCGGGTGTCGTAAGAGCCGACTAAGGGAAAAAACAAACAACAGCACTGCAGAGAGAAGGAAAACTTGACACAAACCCAATACCAACCCATCTGCCCAGCGTGGTATAGTAGGCCAAAACCTCCTTTCTAAGGTGTGGCCTATGTCCAGCAGTGGACTGTTAAATGCTGTTGATGATGATGATGTGATGACAGAGAAAGTTTCTAGAGAAACTACATAGGATTGTTTGACTTTCTCTGTCAAGTTGTTTTATTGATAAATAAAAAAAAAACTAAAAATAAAAAATATTTATCACACTATTTCTGTCCATCTCCTTAATTATTACTATCTTGTTGTTAAAACAAATTCAGACATTTCCCAACCACCCAAAGGTAGACTGCGAGAATATACCTGTGGCATTAAGTCCGCCATTAAAAAATAATAGAAAAGGTTGGTCATACCGCAGGTGGTTGACGAGTATCTCTTAGAGTTGCATCCAACGCTCCCCTGCAGCATCATCTTGTTCTTCTCGACTTGACTGAAGTTGTGCCAAATCTGCATTACAAAAAATGTCGAGTTATTAAACCTAATTTTATGCAGTGCCGGATTACTTGATGCCCTAAATAATCCTGAACCTCCTTTTTGGCACGAGCCTCTGCTCGTGACCCTCTGGTCACCTGAAGGCAAGTGACTACCGAGGCCCATTGCTCAATGTCACCTCTTCCTAATTCTGGAAGTGGGAGGAGGCGGGGGCGGGAAGGGGTTTTTTAAGACTCCGGTAACCTCAGTTGAGCAAATTGTTTCTTTTCTTTTTCTCTTCTTATGTTATATCTGTAATTTCTTTTTTTGTTGTGTTTGTGTTGTGACTAATAAACGTATTTTCTTTCTTTCTTTCTTTCTTTTTCACCTCACTCGATGCAGCAGCAAAAGAATTGCTTATCACCGGTATACCTTGAGGCTGCGGTGTCATTCCGGTCGAGCATTTACACAGAAGCATGGCTCTCCCACGGTATAAGTTTGCTTGTTCTACATAGATAGAAGATAAATATATGAGCCATAAAACCAAGGCAGTGTTTTCTCTCCAAAATATGCGAAAAATTTAAATTTCAAGAGATCCATCTATTTGATGACGAAAAATAAACGTCGGGGGAAACAATTACAATAATAATAATAATAATAATCTACAACATACACACAACGTTATCTAGTCCCAAACTAAGCAGAGCTTGTACTATGGGTACTAGACAACTGATATAAATACATAATATACTTTTTTTTTTGTAAATACATACATATTATACATAGAAACACCCAGACCAAATCAAACAATAAATGTTCATGCACACAAATGTTTGACTTGAGCGGGAATTGAACCCGCGACCTCTGGAATAGCAGTCCGTTACACAAACCACTACGCCATCCGGTCGTCAAATAGAATGAATGAACAATGAACCGCTAGCTGTCGTAACACCACAAACCTTTTATTCCGCGCCTGAGAATGCGAATAAAAATGCAAAACCGTGAAATCATGTTCACATTCAGGCAGCGAGTGTAGAGTCTGCTTTATAAGAAAAGAAGGACAAACAGCTTCAAGAGGCCAATATGTAAAGTATCTTTTCATCATCATCATCAACAGCCTATAACAGTCCACTGCTGGATATAGGCCTCTCCTTAGAAAGGAGGTTTTGGTATACTATACCACGCTGGCCAGACAGGTTGATATAGGGTTTACGCCCAATTTGGTTTTCGGGCGGGGCGTTCGACGGTCGACGCCGTGTTGCGCCTGAGGGCCGTGACCGAAGAGGCCGTGAGCTGTGGCGGCGTGCTGTTGGCGGTGTCACTGGACATCGCCAACGCATTCAATAGTCTGCCATTCAGCTGCATCAGGGAAGCACTCCACTATCATGGTGTGCCAAAGTACCTGAGGCGGCTGGTGGCAGACTATTTAGAGGAGCGTACCGTCGTGTACGAGGACCGAGAAGGTAATCTGAGGTGTCGGCCCATGTCGTGCGGTGTTCCACAGGGGTCTGTTCTTGGACCCCTCTTGTGGAACATAGGGTACGACTGGGCCCTTCGCGCCGATTTCCCCCCCGGGCTGGGTGTAATCTGTTACGCAGACGATACCCTCGTGACAGCCCGGGGGGCAAACTTCCAAGAGGCGGCGCGCCTGGCCACAGGGGGAGTCTCCCTGGTGGTCGGGCGCATTGAGGCGCTGGGCTTACGGGTGGCCCTAGATAAGACGGAGGCCCTGTTATTCCATGGGCCCCGTCGTGGTCCACCCCCTGGCGCCTCCATCGTGGTCAACTCGGTCCTCGTACCGGTTCGGGCCCAGATGAAATATCTGGGCCTGATCCTCGACGGGAGGTGGCTCTTCGACGAGCACTTCCGACAGCTTGCTCCAAAGCTGGTCGGCGCTGCGTCTGCCCTAGGGCGACTCTTGCCCAATATGGGTGGACCCAGCGTCGCGACAAGACGGCTGTACACGGGGGTTGTCCGGTCAATGGCACTGTACGGTGCACCGGTGTGGGCGGCGGCTCTGACCGCCCAGAATAGGGTACGCCTCTGGCGCCCTCAGAGGGTAATGGCGGTCAGAGCCATACGCGGTTACCGCACCGTTTCGACGGAGGTGGCATGCGCATTGGCCGGAACTCCCCCGTGGGATTTGGAGGCGGAAGTGCTCGCCGAAGTTTATCGGCGAGTGGCTGACTTCCGGGCGGAGAGCGGATTTCGCCCTCCGCCCGAGGATGTGCGCGAGTGGCGCGAAGCCGCTCGCCGAGCCACGATGGCTCGTTGGTCGTTCCGGCTGGAGACTCCACGCGCTGGCTTCGCCGCCGTGGAGGCTCTCCAGCCGGTCATCGCCGAGTGGGCAGGGCGGCAGCACGGGACCCTTTCCTTCCGACTGACGCAGGTGCTTTCCGGGCACGGTTGCTTCGGAAAGTACCTGCACACGGTCGCTAGGAGGGAACTGAGTCCCGCCTGCCACCACTGCGACTGCAGTGAGGACTCGGCCCAGCACACGCTGGCGGTCTGCCCCGCATGGGCGGCGCAGCGCCGGGCCCTCACTGCAGTCATCGGAGTGGATCTCTCGCTACCGGCCGTAGTACGCTCCATGGCCGGTAGCGACAGTTGTTTTACCGCGGTCGCAACCTTCTGCGAGGTAGTAATCTCGCGGAAAGAGGCGGCGGAGAGGGCCCGGGAGGACGACCTCCACTCGGACCCGATCCGCCGCCGGCGAACCGGGCGGCGGAGGCCCGCCTACCACAGCCTCATGCCGCCCTGAGTGTGGCCGCGGGTGGACGGGGTGGGTTTCCCCTCCACCCGCATTAGTTGGCCAGCCGCGAGGGGGCGGCGTCCGCGTGTGCCGGACGTCGCCTAAAGAGAGGAACATCTACATCGAGACGGAGCCCGCACCAGGAGCGGGCTGGCGCTAGGAGGGGTCCGGATGTCTTAACAACAGCTGTTCCCGGATCCCTCCTGTTACAGGCGCAGAGTGGCACACCGTGTGGTTTTAGTCGGTCCGAGTCCGACACACCACCCCGCCGCAAACCCCGGAGGGGTGACGGTCCGAGGGGATTTCCACACGTTAAAAAAAAAAAAAAAAAAAAAAAAAAAAAAAGGGTTTGTTTCAAGTTTTCCTTCTCTTTGCAGTGCTGTTGTCCTGCGTAGTGTGCTTCGTTAGTCGGCTCTTACGACACTCATAGGATGAATAGGGGTGGTGACATTCCGTATTCTTAATCCGTCACCACACGGAATTGTCTTTTCAATCCATGCTAATCCACCACCGTGTTTCTGTTCTGTTTCGGATATTGGACTAAGTTTGCCTAAATACATTTTCCGGAGATTTTTTTAAAGCTTTTATGATCCAGAATCAACACATTAGTCAACTTACCTTTTTAAGTTTGCTGAATTCTGGCAACTGCTGCATCATCTCCTCCAAAGGAATTCTAATTTTCTTTGGTGGCTTACGGCGTCTCCTCTTGTAGGGGGGAACCCAGGTACGAGTCGCCACTTCTGGATATTCTATTATCTGGAAAAGAATAGAAATTCGAATAAAATAAGGCTGATGTAGTCTTTGCTGTCGATACTTCATAACGTTGATATAATTTCCAGGAATTATATTTGGCTTGATATTGCCGGGGCTCGAAAGTAAGACCACGTCTTACAGAAAATTAGTTTTAAGTAAGGATGAAATGAAATCACAATCACATGTGATGAAATCATATGACTTACAAAGCATATTATAACACCTGTGACTGATTTACAAAACCAGTTTAAGTCGCACTAATTATTATTATTACGCTAGCGCAATACTGGCAAAGGTCTAAATCTAAAAAAATCGTAATCTTCGATAAAAAGAATTTTGATTTTGAATTGTCTATGACAAAATCACAATCACATGTGAAATCGCTGAGACAAAAGCCAATCATTTAATCAAATGAATATGATTTAAGAGTAGCAACAATTTCCATGCCTAGTTTTAAGCAATTCTCACTTATTTCACTGAATAAGTGAAGTTACAGAGGCCCAACGAAGACCGCCTATCCATCATTTCGGGGCACCAGTAGTCAATATAAACCATCCAGCGGCTCACTCAAATATACACAAAAACACACAACCCAAATTATTCATTCATCCATGCATTTATGATCTCAATACTCACCACAGGTGGTGGTTTTTGCGGAGGTGGTGGTGGGTGCCAGGGTTTCGTCACAATATGCACCTTAGTTACCTCGGGCCATCGTCTCTTGAAACGTTGTTTTCTTAGCATCGCTCGATATTCTATTTCCCTGAAGAAAGATTAATAAATGAGTGAATTTATCGAACACTTCAAATAAAAACACTTAATACTTACTACTATACTACTAGATGCCATTTTTCCGAGACGCGATTCGTCCAAGACGCGATTCGTCCGAGACGCGATTCGTCCGAGACGCGATTCGTCCGAGACGCGATTCGTCCGAGACGCGATTCGTCCGAGACGCGATTCGTCCGAGACGCGATTCGTCCGAGACGCGATTCGTCCGAGACGCGATTCGTCCGAGACGCGATTCGTCCGAGACGCGATTCGTCCGAGACGCGATTCGTCCGCGACGCAATTCGCCCGCGACGCGATTTGTCCGAGACACGATTCGTCTGAGACACTATTCAGCAATTCTTCTGAGAAGAAATTCTTCCGAGACGCTTTAACCGAGACTCGATTTGTTCAGAACTCAATCAGACTTTGGTCTGACGATGATGTGATGATAAAGAAGGTAAATAGATACTCTTTTTAGCTGACTTAAAATAAAGAGGGTAAGGTGGGCAATTCAGTTATTTTTTTTTCATGTTTATTACCTTAGTATTCCATTATTTATGAACCAATTCTATTTAGGAGGATATTTTTACCGTTTGGTCCCATTCAAATTTGAAGAAAAAAATACCACCCCAAGGGGTGCACAATTAAGTAATGAAGACTTTGTTTTAGTTACTAATTTTTATTAATAATTCCTTGTTTACTTCAGTCTGCACTGAAAGTATATTTTTGGACGTAAACTAAACTATAAAATAGTATTTTTACTTACTCCTTAAGTATTTCAGAAGCAGTTTTTTCTGGTAATTCTTGTACAGACTCCTCTGGAGGCTTCGCTTTCTTGTCCTCATGTTCATTTTCTTTTGCTGGTGGTGGGGGTGGGGAATGTGGTGCGTCACCACCGGCAGTCCGGTCAGATCTTATAGAAAGAAAAAAACATTTTTCCAGTACACGAAGGTATATTTCCAGAAGTATTGGATGATTTGGGTATTCCATGGGAAGAGGCATGCTTCCGCTCATATGCTCGAACGGAATGATACTACGTCCTCATAGAAATCCGGTGTTAAGGAGATGGATAAGCTGATAGTGTCTGCCGTTACCCATGACATCCGTAACCCAAGAGTCACAAATGCCACCCTTTTAATGGCGGATAGGGAGTTGAGTAACTTAACAAGTTGTTGTAACAATTGCTTAACTCCGATTTTCTGTCAGGCCGTAGTATTACTCCGGTCGAGCCGCGACCCTATTGTGCCGCATCATGGCTCTGCGCATCATGTAGAAATACGAACTTTTGCTATAGAATATGTGTTAGTATGTCTATGTGACATTTCTATTAAACAAAATCAATCTGACCATTTCATTTTTGTAGCTGTTGGTTTTCCTAACTAAAATAAATAAATAAAAAAAAAATAAACTTGACGGACCTGTTAGTCACCTCTAAATGTGTGATTTTGACCTTGGATGTGTGAGTTTGACCTTGGTGTGGTGACCTTTAGAGGTCAAAATTTGCGTACCGAAGTTCATATCCGATTGTAATTTATTCCTCGTATTTCAATTCCGGGCTCAAAAACATGCAATCCCATTTGAAAATTGCCCCTAACCCTTGAGATACCCTTTAAGGTTGTTATCAAGGTCAATTTCAAGGTCACCAATGGATTGCCATTGAAAATTCCGGTAACTTTTGAATTTAATGTATTTCCGAAAAATGCATCCCTAGCGAATTATTCTGTTGTTCTGGTACTTTTCTAACACCCGGTAGGTATGTATGTTTATCAGCAGTCTGCTTACGATAGTATAGGATTTGTCTTGTTTAGGAACACATCATAATGGCGGGAACTTTGTTATCGTGAAATTCTGTTTATACCATGGAGGTACAAAAATTTAAGGACAAGTACAAAATAGTACTAAATGGGTACAAACTACACGTGGTAAAAAATTTCAATTACAAGAGGTGGTCCCGTCATTATGACGTTTATTCAGACGGCCGTGTGAAATGTGTTAGATTGTTTATTTATTACTTACTTTTTACTAGCCATTTGTTACGAAAACTAAATCCACAGTTATCGTTGATTTTCTTATTACTTAAACGTTATTGGACATTAGTCAGGATAGGTTAAAGTATTTTTTTCTGTAAAAAAACAAAACATTTATTTAGTTCGGTTAAATAATACATATTAAAAATTAAATTAAATATAACATTTATTTAATTCGGTTAAATAGTACATCCATTAACCTTCTTTCTAAGAAGAGGCCTATGTCCAGCAGTGGACTATTAAAGGCTGTTGATGTGTGATGTGATGTGAAATAGTACATATTAAAAATTAGATTGAACAAAATCGGTAATTTCAATTGTGTCAGTTAACTGCAAACTCGGATAAATCGAAGTGTGAGATTTGTTAAGCTGTTGGTATCAGATGAAAGCTAAGAATAGACCCTCGTTTTCAATGTTAATAGTTCTTTATAAATTTGCTAAATTTCTGTGTGAAAACAAGTGAAAAAGAAGATATGTTATCGAATTTAGATAGAAAAGTCCATCCGAGCTATCAGGTCATTGCATTTTATCAATCATGAATCAATCAGTTTATCAGCCTTTAGCAGTCGTCTGCTATAGGAATCTTCAAACGTGCGCTATAGCCCCTCCACCCAGACGGTCTGACGGCCTGAGAAAGGAATGTTGGGTAGAAATAATGTGGATGGTGATGGCTATTTAACAACTTACTTGCCACAAATTAAGAGAAATGATGCAGCTGATATGGTTTAACAATATTTTTGTTTCATCATCATCATCAACAACAGCCTTTAATAGCCCACTGTTTGACATAACCTCTCCTTAGAAAGGAGGTTTTGGCCAACTATTTAGGTATATATTGGATATATTGGTACTTTTCAAGTTTTCCTAATTTTTGCAGTGTTGCTGTCCTGCGTAGTTTGCTGCCTTAGTCGGCTCTTACAACACCCACGGGATGAATATGGGCGGTGACACACCATATTTACCACGCTGGCCAGACGGGTCGATATATAGATTTGTTTGAAGGTTTCCTTCTTTTTGCAGTACTGTTGTCCTGCCTAGTTTGCTCCCTTAGTCGGCTCTTACGACACCCATGGGAGGAATAGGGGTGATGACACTCTGTATTCTTAATCCGTTACCACACGGACACTTATTCATATGGAATACTTTTGTTTGGATTATGATACATTATACATTGACTTTTAAGAAAAGGATAAGCGAAGCGGTTGCCAATTCGTGTGCATTTGCAGCCGGATTCGCACAACTATGATTTATTTAGTTGCCATACGGGCCTGTTCGTTTGTTGGTTAGTGACCTTGACTGCTAAGCTGAAATTCATGGGTTCAATTCCTACCCGACTACTCGATACCTATTATGTGATGAATACGATCATTTATCTTATGTTTGAGTGTAATTTATCTCTCTTTCTGGTCACGATAGCATAAGCTCTGCCTTGTTTGGCATCAGACAGCAGTGTGTAAGATACGTTATTATTAGTCAAGCGAAATCGAGTTTGAGTTGCTGTAAGAGCGGTACTTAGAGCGATTTTCTTTACGGTCTAGAATAGTATCAACTAACTCAGTTTGGAGTTATCAGGTGATCCAGATGCTCGATGCCCCCCAGGAAAACGAGCTGACGGGTTACCTGATGTTAAGTACCGCCCTGGACATCTACAACTCAAGAGACAAGAGCGTTATCACCCTTTGCGCTTCTCCCCGCCTTCTCAGATTGTGGGGGTACTGAGTTAGTGCAATCGCGGTGACAATGGAGACAAATCTGAAACTGACATCGGGCGACACAGACGGCAACTCGGCATGATCTATTGATGGACTAGCACCTAGTGTGAAAGCCGTCTGACTTTCCACAATAATAACTAGTACACTACAATCTGCTCACTTACTGTGGCCTTCCTACCCAAGCAGTAAATTTTATATGGACGAAAAATAAGCTGAGATACTGATAATCAGAACTTCATCCAACATCCATCTATGAACTTTTATTCAGCAGTAGAGCAGTTTTTTCTATTAGGTTCCCGAGAAATTGTACAACATGGTCATCAATTTCCTTGTAGACAGAAGCATTAGGGTTGTGTGCTATCGTCCACACTGTTTCTTCTGCATATCAATGATATATTGCAAAGCAGCAGCATCCATTGCTATGCAGATAAAATGGGAGATGCCGCCCAAACATTTCTAGGAAAAATTTCATCGAGAGCCGAAACAAACTTGTCTTAAATCAAAACTTCCTCAGTGGAAGTTTTAGTTGGGTCGACTGAAGTAAACTTGTCCAATTCAACCCCAAAAAGACAGCCAGCCAACTATCACAGCCAGTATCGAAATCCTTGGCAAAGACGTATCGAGTGTAGTCAAGTTTCGAGGTCACTCAGATGGTAAGGCCAAATTAGTCTCTAAGAAGCTTGGTGTGCTGAAAAGATCGAGGCAGTATTTCACTTCCGTTCAAGGCATATGGAATACTGTTCGTATCTCTACACAGAGGTACCCTAGTACCAGCTTCTCTCTGGCCCACATCCACCGGCGAGTGATTTGAATCGTCGAAAGCGACAAGATCTCCGATCGACTGGACCCTTGGTCTTACGTAGAGTTGCAGCTTCGCTCTGCACTCTGTATCGTCTGTATCAAGGAATTATTCTGACTAATACCGGCCGCAACCAAATAAATATACACTCTGCCTAAAAGACTTAATACAAAATATTTGTATTAATGAATAAAGGAGTGTTTGCATTTAATTACTTTATAAACTGATCGTGAGCTCTTTACTTAAATGCAAAATTAGTTTAAAAGTGGTTTGTTATCCTAATGGTCACTAGGAATACATTTCATCATCACCATCATCTTAGCTGAAAGACGGCCACTGCTGGATATAAACTTCCCCCAAGGTTTGCCACAACAACTGGTCCTGAGCTGCCCGTATTCGTTGGACCACCTTGTTGGGTCCTACCCACGCTGCGTCCTCCCAGGCGAGTGTAAGCGACAAGGTCTCTGTGCCATAAGTCCTCGATGGCAACCCACATTGGTCAAAGACTTTTGTCTTGAGACACTGCGTTGTTTGAGAGGAAAAAATGTCACGAGAATGAATGTTTGAAAACATATAAAAAAGAATATTAGGAATATAATTATATTTCTACGTTACCTGTATCGATTTTTTTGCTTTTTTTTATTTTTTAACAATTCAACACATTATTTACCACATTTCACCATGTGCATGGATTGATAGATTTTTTCTTTTGATTGTTTTTTACAATACCTAGTAAATTTTTAACCATGTTATAGTGTGCCAGTTTTAAATAATATATTTTTTAAATGATATTTTGGTATATATGTTTGTGATTCTTATTTGTTTCATTAGTTTATTTATAGCAGATTGCACTTAAATAACATAAATATTATAAAAAATATTAAAGTAGTAATTCGTGATAAATAAAGCATAAACTAAACGTAGGTCACCTGATATTCTTAAAGTGTTACTATAGCAAAAATTTACCCCGGAATAATGAAAACCTCATTGATTTGTTTTTTAAAGATTCAGTAAATTCCTTAAATTCATTCTTTACGTAATCATATTTCTGAATTTTTCTAATTATGAACGATGGAGGATTTTTTAACATAAAAGTAGTTTAGGAATCAATAACGAAGAGTTTACATTTTATAAATAAATATTTAAAATGTTACATAAAATGAATTATTATTCAATTGTTATCAATTATAAGTCTAAAACTAGAAAAACATGAAATTTGATGATATTCGTAATTTGCTCTATGTAATGTATGTTTGATGGTGCAGCATACATTATTTTTTAAGAAATTACAAGAGCGTCTCGCTCATAAATCAAATCAAGACTTTTTCCTGTACGTTTAGTAAAAACCAAAACATTCAAAATTTCTTTATCCAAACTTAATTTTTTTTTTCAAGTAAAAGAACAAAACTTCTCATTCAATTATTTCAAAATAGAAAGCCCATCCCATGTTTTTTTCATTTCACTTTTGATCGGAAAAAATATTTAGATTATGCCAACACTCCATCTATAAAAAAGCCTTCGTTCTTTCAGCTGGTTGGTTCATTGGCTGACTTTTGACAGTGACTGTCACGAATTTTGTTCGTAATTTTATACGGAATATAATTTTGTAAATAATTGTTATTATATTTAAATAAACATGTCGGAAAACAAGGATGTGGCTAAAACTAATGTCGACCCTGAACTGGACGATTTATTGAACAGTGAGTTCGTTTTTTTTTTGTAAAATTAAATCATGGTCATGTTACACAACACTTACTAACCTCTGTGTTTAAACATGTAAATAATTGATTAATTATTTCGATTCTTATGAGCCATGACGTTTATGCATGAAATTTTGGATAAACTCGGGTGGTATTTTATTGACGTGTTTTAAATGAAGTATATTATAAGGGCCAAATAAGCAAAAGGAAACAAATTCTAACAGCCTAACCAGGCTTTAAGGCTATGTATTCTCGTGCCTGCAGATAGGAAAATAAGCATAGATATCAGTTTTGAAGTCATGACTTGCATTTATCACGAAATATTTTTATCAATTAGTTTTAACAAGACAGCCCTTAGTGGTCGTAATATAACTTTAACTATCATAATAAAGATAAAAACGATTTTTTACACAGACTTGCGATCAAGAGGTCGGGGGTTCAAATCCTGACCAGTACACTACCAAAGTGAACCGACTCCTAACACAAGCAATTTAACTTATTGGTAGGGGTTAACGGGTATACTAGTAATTTCGGTTGCTAGTAAACCTTTAAAAAAAAATATTCAAAGAAATAATTGTTTATGTGTGCCATACTTGTTCAAAAAGTCCTACAAAGAATTTCCTTCCTATAAAATTATATATATAACTAGTTGTACCTTGCCATGCTTCGGTGTAGCATATTGTGGTTAATAAATGAGGATCAGAAGTGATGCGAAAAATAAATATAAACCAACTTTTACGCATGAGATTTGGCTCTGGCAACCCCACCTGACTCGCTTGGTGAAAACACAAAGAAAAAATTGCCATTTAAAAAAAAATATATTTTAGTTTGTAATTCAGTATCTAAACCAGGGATTCCCAAACTATTTAGGGCAAGAGACCCTTTTTCTAACATGCGCCGATATCTCAGACCCCCAAATTACTGCGCACTTATCAAGAAGTAAAATAATGATACTTCCTACTACAATATTAGTCATTCCTATAACGAGTTGGTACACGTAAAACAACTAATGTAGTATCTTGAAAGGATCACATAAGAACTTGTGTTAATTAAGACCACTAAGTCCTTGACCAAGACCCCTAGGTCTTGATCGAAAACTTGTTTTGATTAGGCTTTGTCAACCCAAATTCAGTATTTGGTTATGTCGACCACTCGGAAACCAACCACTTATAAATCATCATCAAAAGCATCCCTGATCGAAACTAACAAATAAATTCAGAGCTAGTATGTACCTGCAATGCTATAGGTATTTAATTATTTCCAAATCTTTATGCATGTGTTGTATGAAAATACATTGTTTTTAGTGAGAACAGTAAATATTTAACATACATTAGCATACTGTTGAATCTATAATTAATGTCATTTGTGAACCTAAGAAATGAACTTAACAATAATAATAATAAACCTCACATCTCTCACACACGGCCCTCTGATGCCAAACTAGGCAGAGCCTGTGCGATAGTACCAGACTACTGATAAACATACTTATATATTTTTAAATACATACATGTTATAGATAAATTACACCCAGACACAGAACAAGTAACTGTACTCATCACACAATATTTATCCTGGGTGGGAATCAAACTCATGACCTCCAGCTTAGCAGTCAGGGTCACTAGCACAAGTCACAGAACAAATGATCATGGTTATAACACAAATTATTTCTCCTGGGTTCTGGTCAAACCCACTACCTCACCAGTTACAATGACTATACCAATAGGCCCATCAAGGGATAGTATATTCCTTCAAGAAAAGAACATACTCGTTCCTAAAAGGCTTGCAATGCGTTTGTGACTCCTGCATTGCAGACTTTCATGGTTGGCGATGGTCACTTGCCATCAGGTGACCTGTCTGCTCGTCTGCCCCCTCTAACATAAAAAAAGGCATGTCAATGCCATATCACCATGCATCATTTGTCATTTATACATAAAATCCTTGCCGTTTCCTACTGCGATAAGTGGTGTGGGTTTGATCCCCAAATGGGACTTCGATTTGCGTGATGCAGAAATTGTTTTCTTGAGTCTGGGTATTCTTTGTGTCTGTTTTATGTATGTTTGTAAGGTCCTCCGAGCGAGAGTTGTCTTTTTGAAATAAAAAAAAGTAATTGCCCTGGTTGACTGATTCATCAATTCAGAGCCTAAACCGCTGGGCCTACAAACTTAATACTTTGGTAGTTAATGGTTTATATGTTGTAAGTACCCGCTAAGAAAAGATTTTTTAGAAATTTCATACCTCAGGGGTAAAATAAATGATGAAGGGTATGGAAGCTCATCATTTTCAATGTTAGAAACACAAAACAAGAGATAATCATGTAAGAGAAGCCGCAGGCTAGGGCTAATCATTTCATACTTTATTCATTTCTCTTGCAGGTTATATTGCATACAGTTTTCTAATAATTTGTTGTTTTTAAAAGTGTTTAACATTGCTATTTAAATAATAAATGTTTCAGACATTTGTAATTGAACTCAAGGTTTGCAAAAACTGCACAAGGTCTTTGATTAATCTAGAAATATTTTTATCTATTGTATCTATGCGGAGAACGCGATTAGGCAAAAGAAGTATAGTGCTGCCAGCAGCACGATGAACAGGGATAGTTGGCGCTGCTTGGGGCAGGTTCAGTAGTGGACTGGGATAGGCTGACAATAATGTGTCTATGCTTTAAAATACAAATTAAATTATATTATTACCCTCTAGTAACCTGTCTGGCCAGCGTGTGAAAGGAAGCTAAAACCTCCTTTCTAGGCCTATGTCCAGCAGTGGACTATTAAAGGCGGTGGATGATTGATGATGATTTTGACCAGTTGATGTCATTGCCTAGTGTTGATCCCAAATGAGGCAAAGCCTGTAATATGGTAACCAGACTGCTGATAAACATACATATATATTTCTAAATAGGTACATACAGAGATAAATAACACCCTGATCCAACAAATCATCTTGATCATCACACAATCATATTTGTCCTGGGTGAAATTCAACCTTTGGCTCGGCAGTCAAGGTCACTCGCCACTAGACCGACAGGCCAGGTAAAATAAACAGCAGAGACAAGAGCAAGTAGATTATCATGATGGTGATGACCTTGTTAGTAATCCCTGAACATCATCATCATCCTCCGAGCCTTTTCCCAAACTAGATTGAGGTCGGTTGTCAGTCAACTACGACACGTCTGAACTTCGATACAACCCATTTAATAGATAGACTGTTGTCCATGTGGTGATGGATTAATAATACAGTGTCAATACCCCTATTCATCCCGTGGGTGTCGTAAGAGCTGACTAAGGGAGAAAACTACGCAGAACAACAGTACTGCAGAGAGAAGGAAAACTTGACACAAACTATCTGGCCAGCGTGGTATAGTAGGCCAAAACCTCTTTCTAAGGAGAGGCCTATGTCCAGCAGTGGACTATTGATGATGATGTCTGCCTTTTTAGGACTCCAACTAGCCGTAACGATTGCCATAAATGTTCGTGTGGCAATTGAGACCCACAGCTTAACATACTTTCCAAGGTACGGAGACGTTGTCACCAATCCATCTGAGTCAAAATTATTTAATACAATTGCACAATAATTCCAGGTGCTCTCCAGGATATGACGAAGAATGCGGAAGGGGATAAACCTGAGGGTTCAAACGACGTCCCACAGAACATGTGGAGTGAAGAGTTCATCAAGGAAGCCGCTGCACAGTTCGAGAGCAACATGTCTGCGATACTAAGCAGTTTTAGCGGAGTGCCTGGTGAGTTTAAAAAGACAAGCAAATTTGCACTCTATTACGTAACGGCTATAGTGTGTGAGTGGCTTGGCTAGGCACAAACGGTAACACTCCGTGTGTTACCGTTTGTGCCTAACCATGGCTTTCCTGCGCTAAAAATGGAATAATAATAATAATATTTTCACACACGGTGGTCTGATCCCAAACTAGGCAGAGCCTGTACTATGGTAACCAGACCGCTGATAAACATACTTATATATTTCTAAATACCTACATATTATAGATAAAGACCCAGGCACAGAACAAATGACCGACAATGAGATAACTAAAAAGGAAATGTATAGGAAGAGAAAAGAAGGCGATACAGTTGATTACGTCTTGTTTAGCAATTTATTCGTCGTCTGTAATACATTACAGCTTTTGACAGTATTGCTAAAATGAGTGTCTTAAAAAAATATGTTTTGAATTCGGTTGTAAGTATTTTTACGTTTGTTACCTCAGCATGCCGTCCCATAACCTATAAGGTTTTTTTTTTATTTGGGAGGTTTTTCTTAGAGCGCCTGTTCGATGATCATATAAGGCGCCCGGTATGAAAATTATGACGAGTAAAATTTAGTGATCGAATAACCTCGTTACGATTTTTAGTTATGAATGTAATTTATGGATGGCGGTTCAACTGTTTACTTTTACGTGGTTATATTAATATTTTTTGTGAGTTTGTTATTAGTTCTATGATTGCAATTTGTTTTAGTTTAGTGAGTAGTTCACTACACAATTAAAATTGTTTCACACAAAATAAATGGCAATTAATACGTGACTTCTAATTATTTTACTAACATTGACATAGATGGCGCTGATCACTAAATTTGTGTGCAGTTGACGTACACAGGGTTCTGTACCTTGCGGTTGCGTTCTTACGGAATAAACTCCAGTCGTGCCTCGGAGCTGACACACACACACTCTGTTTTCGTCATTTTCTAGATTTGGTCTTATGTTTCGCTCATTTGCAACAAGGTCGACATTTCTCAAAAGATATCATTTTACAGGAGAGCAATTTTAAAGTTTCTTGTTTAATATATTTGACAAGCGTTGGCTTTTTAGAAAAAAAATTTAGACATAAATAATGTGCGATTGATATACTTTTCTGTTAAAATATTAAATTTTGCTAATAAAGTACACATGATATACTGTGCTATTTTTTTCGCAGCAAGGAAATACTTATGTCATTGTTGCTGATAAATATACAAAAAAAAAAATAGTATTATGATTTATGACGTTATACTCGATAATTATTTTACATTTGAGGTCAACTTGATAGTAATAATAACAAAATATGTCAATATTGAAAAATATTTATTAATATCGGAAACAAAAGTAAACTACAATATAGTCACATTAATATCTTTCTCATTATAAAATTATTAGGTAGGAAGGTATTACACTTAAATCTAACTAAGTTATCGAATTTAAATGGCACACCATCAGTCTTTTAAATCAACTCTTCTACATTATTTAGTTATCCTTATAGTAAAAGTATCACAAAATCAGCCTCAATTATTAAGTTCTCATTCACTTAGTTTTGAAAACTTAGTAGTAAAAAGTGTTGTTATCACAAAACAAGTATCCATAATAAAATTTCAGTCTAACGAAAAATGAACATAAAATTCAAAATAATATTTAAAAAAATCCTACAAAGCCTACAAGGAATTGTAAAATCGAGCATAGAACTGTGGAATTAATTTTCTATTTAACAAGTCTAATAAATCTGCTTTCTTTCTGTCCGATATGCCTGGCTTACGATCATAAGCTTTCCTGACGTTTATGTCAATCCTTTTCTTCTTTCTGATAATTTCTGCTCTTTTAAATTTTTCTTCTTCGTAAGAGTTCTTGTAAAATAATAAGCGTGGGTTATCCTTTTCAACCTTAAAAACTTTTATATCTCCAATCTTAACTGAATTTCCTTCTTCATCCTTCGTCAAATTCAATCCCATTTGGGTACAAGCATCTTTCCAATCCACAAAATCCTCTGTGCACATTTCATTGACATGAAATGGCGCCGGTTTTTTTCTAGCCGTTTTTACAGCACCAATAAAGGCTTCTGGTGAGTACAAAGGTCCAGCTTTAAGCAACTTTTTTATTTGTCTTTCTATTAATGAATGTGCTGCATCACCCTCGTTTTGGGTATGCCCTTTTATAAGAAATTTATGTGTAATCTTTTGGAGGTTATGGAACTTTTGTAAAGCGAATAAATATATAGCAATCATTGTCTTGTTTTTTTGCTGCCCTGCGCAATTGTCAGAATAAAAGACAATGTTAAGTTGCCTGTCATTATTAATGAACGAAAGCTGTTCTAGGTACCTATATACACAAGTCCCCAAGTCGTTTACACCTCTATTAGCGTTCGACTCGTCCCAAACATAACATTCTACTTTGTTTGTTCTTAAATCGCAAATTGTAAAATTTAATACATTCAACTTACATTTATAATAAAAGACTGATACATCGCCTTTGGGGCATTGAAATACTGCCTGGAGATCGTAGACCGCTGTTACAATATTTTCATCTTCTTTATCTTTTGCTTTCTCTGCGCGACATAGTTCTTTTTCCTTCAAATGTTTATTATATTCATCTTTGAGATTTTCTTTATTATCAGAGTTCTTAAAGATAGCACATACATCACACATATCCTTTTTTGGGCTAAAAAAAGATATGTTATATTCTTGAGTAAATATTTTGTAAAAAAGGACATAATTGCCATAACCTAAATTTTTTTCTTGTTGCATTGCGACATAGTCATTGTGGATGTCAGCAATATTTTTACTGCCATCTATAAAAACTCTGCTTGTATTGGCTCTTGTATAATGTGACTCAATTTTTGGTATAGACTCTATGTATTCACGAATCCCATTTTTTATTGCTTCATTGACTCGAGGATGTTTGTTATGTTTACCGCGTTTGTCATCCGCCAAAAGACAATTCGCCACTTTGTCTTCTTTTTCTAAAACGGTGCGGATTGGCCGGTCATTAATTCCTAAGGTATTTTTAAAGAAAATTTTACAAACTCTAATCGTTTTATCGGGCAGCTTGAAATGAAACGCGCGATTCTTTTGACGAGGTTTTCTTATTCCTCCTTCACGAATGTAACGATATTTTGGTGTAATGATCGTCATACTTTTTGAAATGTATTCCCATTGTTTTTTATTATCTCCTAATGCCCAATATTCGTTAAATAATGACTTCCTATCATCTTCAGATAGTTTAGATTTACATTTTAACCGACATTTATCTCCACATGGTTCTCTCATTTTTCTCTCTTCTTTTATTTTCTTGCTAGCAGTTTCATAAGCTTGTCCAGTATTCCGTAGCATTTTCTTTACATTTCTGTGCCAATTTGCTTCATTCCTTTTACGTTTCTTTCCTAGTTTTGCCTTCGGGCTTGTAGGAAACGAAATTATGATGCTATTTTCTGTTGAAGTTTGACATGACAATGGAATATGAAAATTATTATTAGCAATGGAATTATCATTTGTCTGTTCGGCTGGCAATTCAGGACTGCGCTTCAGAAGAGAGGGTTTGGAAATAGTTATGATTTTATCTGCTGTTGAAGTAGATGGTAATGGATTTGAATAGTCAATTGTCTCGATTAACTCAGCACTATTCTGCTGAATAGGTGGAATATATATTGGATCTTTGACAGAGTCGTCACTATCTGCAAAATAAATACAAACTTAATATTTAATTTAATATTTTTGTAAGCACATTTGATTTACTACAATAATTAAATTACTAACCTTCAATAAACGTATCATCTGATGAATCCGAATCAGATGACGAGCTGGTAGAAGAACTACTCTCATTTGATAAAGATCTCATTTCTTGTGTTGTTTGTTTAGCTCTTTCATTACCTGTTAAGTTGTATATATATAGTTTAATTCTATGTAGATACGCGAGAACAACAATAATTACATCAGAAAACAAAAGTTAGTACATACTGGCTTCATCAGACGTAACTTGTTCATTGGACGAGTTATTATGATTGTTTATTAATGCTACAATTGTTTTGCCTCTAGAAACACGTGGCAACACCATTATCACCTAAAATGCAAAAAATTATAATAAATTATGAGAACAACATAAATAAAAAAACGTGACTCGAATTATTGACTTAAACGTTTTATTACAAAATGTTGTAATATTTTACAATAAATAACGCAAATTACTTTTAAGTGTAATGACATAAGTATAGATATTTTTTATTGTAATATTCAATCATCGTTTTCTTTATTAACAACAACGTCATAATTAGTAATAATACTCTAATGGGTATTAATTTTTTAAGCAACATCGTCTTAACACGAAATAAGCCTGTACTGATTTATTCAAATATTATCTGCATTAACGACACATTTATACTAAACACATTATTTCTGAAAATATATTAAAATAAATTGTAGTTAACTTACCGGCAAAAGCGTTACTACTTAAGAAATGTCGTTCTTCAAGAGCACAAGTACCGCCTACCGCTCGCACTGTCACATCGCAACTAAATAATGTCATTGTTGCCGCAAGTAACTTGAACGAAAGAGACAGTGCTATAACAGCACAACTGTGAATATTTGCTCTATCTCTTTAACTAAAGACTTAAGAGAAATAGGGTTTTTACAGTAAATGGAGCGCAATGTTTTCTACACAACTGTGTTATTAACTAAAAAATCATCAATTTTGAGATAAGTCGACCTTGTAGCAAATGAGCGGTTTGTGTGTGTATCTTCATGTATTTAATTAGCATTTACATAAAAAGTATTTACATTGGAAATGTATGCTAAGTGTCATGAATATCTGTAATCTGTGTAATTGCGTGAAACATAAATTATTAACATGTTATCGGCCTTAACGGTGTGTAACGGCCGATGTTAAAATTATGTGATGTTGTTATTTTTTTATTTTATTAGAAGCACCAACATAAGTGGTTAAATATAAACATTCAGATTTTACAATTGCAAGTTATGTATAACTAGCTGACCCGCGCAACTTCGTCTGCGTCTCCCAATAGTAATAAATTTTCTCCGTTTTTGAAACATTATTCATTGGTGCTCCGCTCCTATTGGTCTTAGCGTGATGATATATAGCCTATAGCCTTACTCGATAAATGGGCTATCTAACACTGAAAGAGTTTTTCAAATCGGACCAGTAGTTCCTGAGATTAGCGCGTTCAAACAAACAAACAAACAAACTCTTCAGCTTTATAATATTAGTTAGTGTATAATATACGAGGGGTGATCAATAAGTAATGATAATCAATATGAAACAGAACTATTAGATTAAAAAAAGTATTTTATTTTTCAACATAGTCTCCTTGGAAGTTAATACATTTAGTGTATCTTTTTTCTAAGCCCATGATTCCCTTAGAAAAAAATTCTTTGTCTTGACCCTCCCAAAATGCCTCTACTGCGGCCATCACTTCACTATTGTCCTCAAATTTGTTGCCCCGGAGGTGTTCTTTGAGCCGAGGAAAGAGGTAGAAGTCACTGGGAGCTAGATCTGGCGAATAGGGAGGGTGTTCGAGCAGTTCGAACCCCGTTTCTTCAATGGCAGCCATCGCAACTGCGGCTTTGTGAGCCGGAACGTTGTCTTGGTGAAACAGCACTCCAGCGCGCAGTTTACCGCGTCTTTTTGACTTAATAGCTTCTCGCAATCTTCTTATTTGGCCTGCGTAGTAAGAGCCTGTTATAGTGGCCCCCTTTTCCAAATATTCCACCATAATAATTCCTTTTGCATCCCAGAAAACAGACGCCATAACCTTTCCCGCTGAACTTGACACTTTGAATTTCTTCGGCGTTGGTGAGGAAGCTCGTTTCCAAGTCATTGATTGTTGTTTGGTTTCGGGATCAAAGTGGTGGATCCAGGTCTCGTCCATGGTCACAAAACGCGACAAAAAAAATTCTTTATCGGCCTGGAACTTTTGAAGATTCACCCTCGAAATGTCGACTCGTTTCTTTTTTTGCTCGTCGGTTAACATTCTCGGTACCCAACGCGCAGAGACCTTTTTCATATGCATTTTGTTGACAATGATTTTTTGAACGCTGCCATAGGAGATCCCTGTGACCTCAGCTACATGCCTTACGGTCACCCTTCGATCGGCCAACACGATATCTTCCACTTTTTTGACGTTTTCTCTAGTAAGGGACGTGGAAGGGCGTCCCTCGCGATGTTCATCTTCAGTGGAGGTTCTGCCCAGCTTAAATTCCTTTGCCCAGCGTGCGACTGTGGAATATGGAGGAGCAGACTCCCCAAATGTTTCCTCTAAGTCGCTGTGTATGTCTTTGGTAGACATTTTTTTCAGGCAGAGGTACTTGATGACAGCTCTTATTTCATTTTTCTCCATTTTGATGTTTTCTCTTCGACAGTTCGTATTCAAATGAATGTATCTCCCGGTAATGGTGTCCTATTTATACATTTTTTTGAAGCTGAAGTAGTGAATATATAAGCAAGCAGAAAAAAAATATTTGGGTTTTTGTGCGTTCTAGAAATACTCGATTATCATTACTTATTGATCACCCCTCGTATACTTAGAGGTGAACTCAGCATGCATTAAGAGACGTACAGATTTACAAATGTAAACTAAAATTAGGCATTTAAAATTGAAACTTAAAATTAACATTTAAAAGTTAACTTTATGCTTTTTATTATGTATGCGTCTGCGTTTGTGAGTGTGGCCTCTGTCAGCCCTATGACACATGTCTTGGGATCGGAGGTTAAGCCACTAAACAGAAGGGTACTGGTTTCGTATAATTGTATGGTGTAGAGTGGATGTACGGGTGTGTTTGTTGAAATTAGCAACTATGCTATTGATGTGTTTAATATAAATAAATATAAATAATAATACCATCCTTAAGGGTTAAGACGCGTTGAAGTTAAGACCTTTTTTAAATTAGTTATTTTCTTTTCTATTTCAGAGGAGCAAATTACACAAGAACAAATCGCGCAGACATTTTCCAAAATGGCAGGTAGGAATCATAATATATCTATAATAATAATTTTATACATCTCACACATGGCCATCAGAAAGCCAATTCTCGTAATAAAAGTTCGGTCACAATTCAGTTCCGATCAACTTTCGATCTCACAACTGTCATAAAAGATATTTTCGTAGTAAATAAAGTATTAAACATCAAAGGTTGACTGTAATGTGATTATAGTGTATTGTAACCGAAAATTGAATCGGTAATCTGCTAGTCTTAATAATACTTTACTATTTTACCACGAAAATACCTTTTATGACAGTTGTGAGATAGCGCGTTCATCGGAACTGAATTGTGACCGAACTTTTATTACGAGAATTGGCCTTCTGATGCCAAACTAGGTAGAGCCCGTACTATGATAATAAGACTGCTGATAAACATACATATATTATGACTAGCTTCCGCCTTTAGCTTCGCCCGCCTGGATTTCGGTAACCGTGATCCTTTTTGGAGCGAGTTATTGTTGATATTTATGGGTTAATAAAAGCACTGAATACAATAAGATGTGTTTTATTGTAGAAGATATGCAGAGCATACACAATGGCGGTGCAAGTAATAATTTGACATATAGAATGTGTCCGTGTGGTGACGGATTAAGAATACGGAATGTCACCACCGCTATTCATCCTGTGGGTGTTGTAAGAGCCGACTAAGGGAACAAACTTCACAGGACAACAGCACTGCAAAGAGAAGGAAAACTTGAAACAAACCCTATACCAACCCGTCTGGCCAGTGCGGTATAGTAGCCCAAAACCTCCTTTCTAAGAGAGGCCTATGTCCAGCAGTGGACTATTATAGGCTGTTGATGATGATGATTGATGATATAGAATGCAGGGGTTCATACAGTGAATAAAAGTATGACGCCACAAGCGCGGGAAAATTTAAATTAAAACAAGTGCGCATTTTTAATCTTAACCGTTACATCTACTTACGATATTCTCAGTTTACTGTATTTTATATTACTTTAGTGTATCTCTGTGTGTTTACGCGGCGTACGCAAATAAAGTTCCCTGTAGGCAAGTTTTTTTTTGTAACCTCTTCAACAATAATCGTTATATTTCAGTCAATTTACATAAAAACAATGAATTATACACCTAAACTTTCCTCAGGAATATCACTATCTATTGGTGAAAACCGTACAAAAATTCGTTGTGTAGTTTTTCAGTTTATTGCGTTCATACAGACAGACAGACGCGGCCGTGGGACTTCATTTTAGTGATTATGGTATTATGGAAACCTGTTCATGTTTCACTGCACTGGAGTAAGTTTGTGGTGTAAAAGTTCGCGTGTATATGATTAAATGGTTATTCAATCCAGTGGGTTGTGCCTTTCCAATCTGATCCCGAACTAGGCAGAGCCTGTGCTTTGGTAACTAGACTGCTGATAAACATACTTATATATTTCTAAATACATACATATTATAGATAAATTACACCCAGACACAGAACAAATGACCGTGCTCATCACACAATTATTTGTCCTGGGTGGGAATCGAACCCACGAGCTCGGGCTTAGCAGTCAGGGTCACTAACCACTAGACCCTACAAAGTGCAGGAATCCCAAGATAATAATAGCGCCAGTTCTGCAGTACTCCTCTTGGTATATCTCTGTTTAATATTGCATTTCTGTTATTCTACAGAAGCAGCCGCTCAGGTCTTAAAGCCTGATGGGTCTACGGAAGAACCAACAGTCACGACAGACAATCCAGCTATACAGGAGAAAGTTGATGAGGTACGGCTCTTCTCTGCATTTCAAAGTCACGTTCATCATCATCATCATCCACAGCCTTTACTAGTCCACTGTTGGACATAGGCCTCTCTTTAGAAAGGAGGTTTTGGCCTACTATGCTGGCCAGACGGGTTGGTATAGGGTTTGTTTCAAGGTTTCCTTCTCTCTGTTCAATCCATACTAATATCGTAAACGCGAAAGTGTGTCCGTCTGTCTGTTACCTCTTCACGCTTAACCTGCTAAACCGATTTAGGTGAAATGTGGTATAGGGATAGTTTGAGTCCCGGGCAAGGACATGGGATAGTTTGTATCCCAGAAATTATCCTTTATGGAGGTGAAACTAGAGGTGGAAGTTTCAGAAGATAATCAATAACCGCTGAACCGATTTTGATGGAATTTGATATGGAGATAGTTTGATTCTTGAGGAAGGACATACGCTACTTTTTACCGCCATAAAAGACATACGCGTGGGCGAAGCTGCGGGCAAAAGCTAGTCCCATTATTATTATTTTGCAATATACTGTTGTGATAGCCTTGGTCACCATGGAAAAGCCATGCTTCTGCACATATGGGCAGACTCGACCCCGCCATTTAACCCCATCCTCCATGTCTTGGACTCCGGTAAACTCACTCACTCAGTGAAAATCATATAATTGTTTAACACCGGTTTTCTATGACTTCCAAAATTTGTTTACATAGTTTCTTCCATTTCAGGTCTCGGCAGCCATCTCACAGACCCTCAAAAACTTGAATACGAACTCGGAAAATCTACAAACGCCGTTCTCGGACACAGATCTCGCCAACATGTTCGCCAACTTCAATGTTGGAGAAGGCGGTCAGGTCGGTACCAACTACTCAACATTCTCACCACCACACTCATTATAATTTTATAAAATAATCTCAGACATCTCACCCACGGCCGTCTGATCCCAAATCAGACAGAGCCTGTACTATGGTAACCATACCGCTGATAAACATACTTATATATTACTAAATACATACATATTATAGATAAATTACCAAATGCCTCATTACCATACAAAATACTTTTTTATATAGGCATATATCCTGTGTCGCTGTGGGGACATTACAAACATACATGAAACGGACACAAAGAACACCCAGACTCAGTACAACGATTTGTGGCTCACACAAAGTGTCGTCCCATGTGGGGATCGGACCCACAACACTCAGCGTAGTAGCAAGCCGCGATACTTGATTCTGTCTGCTTTTACCAAAATTGTATAAATTTAATTTAAGCATACAATAATAATTGTTTATAGCGCATGAACGTTTACTTATAAGTAATTATAAAACTATGCCACTTCATACTCATTGTAAAATGTCTTCTTCTTTAACCAGTGTACACAATTGTTGGTGAGCCAATTAAATAAATAAATTACACCCAGACATCTGTGTGTGGGTGTTATTTATTTCATTAATAATCAACAACCTATAATAGGCCACTGCTGGACTTAGGCCTCTCCTTATAAAGGAGGTTTTGGCCTACTATACCACGCTGGCCAGACGGGTTGGTATAGGGTTTGGGTCAAGTTTTCCTTCTCTTTGCAGTGCTGGTGTCCTGCGTAATTTGCTCTCTAAGTCGCCTCTTACGACACTCCGTATTCTTAATCCGTTACGGTAATTTATTTATTTCAATAATTATGCTCATCACACAATATTTGTCCTGCGTGGGAATCAAACCCTTTGGTAATGTTTAAAACTAAGTCCTATAAAAAAATATTTTCAGGATGGCAATATGTTCGTGCCTTTTATGCAAGGGATGATGCAATCCTTATTATCTAAAGAAGTGCTGTACCCATCGCTGAAGGACCTGGTAGATAAATATCCCACTTGGCTGGCGGAAAACAAGGGGAAGATTGACCAGGCAGAGTTTGAGAGGTGAGAGATATATATCATCATCATCTTCCTGTCCTCATCCCAATAAAGAGATGCCAAACTTTTTTTAAAAAAAATATTTAAACATCTAACACACAACGCGATCTAGTTTCAAACTAAGCAGAGCTTGCACTCTTCAGCACTTTCAAGCTAGATTGACTGACAGAATATTTAAATACTTTTTTTTTTGTAAATACATACATATTAAACATAGAAAACACCAAAACTCCGAAACAAAATATTTGTAGATTATACAAACATTAGGTCCGACCTGGAAATCGAATTCGAGACCTCAGCAAGGAAGGATTTAAAGAAGATTGCCAGCGAAAGGGTTACCCCTACTTTTGAGAGCATAGATGACTATCCTAGCGTTGTATTTAAAAATAAAGACAACTCCAGCAGTAGGTATTGGTTGTGGTCTCTCATTTCCGAGACTAGACTTAGACTCAAGAATGGTTGAGTAAGGCTAGGTGAGATTCTAGGGGCGGTTCTGTATCATCCCGCAGTAGGAATATATCCTGTGTCGCGGGGGACTTCATAAACATTTATGAAACGGAAATAAAGAACACCCAGACTCAGAACAACAATTTGTGGATCACACAAAGTGGTAGGAAGCGGCAAGGTGACCGCATAAACCACTACACCATCCTTGCAGTGAAATTCTTATAGTAAATATTCGATAAAATTATTAGTTGATTACTCACCCAGGTTTAAAAAAAACAAAAATTCTAAAATATAAACGGCCTCTGTAATAACTATCGTCATTGATTTTACCAAATATCATTGGTCCAAGATCGAATAAAGTAATTACATTGTTGCCACTTTTTAAGTACTAAATATTTTTATTTTATTGAATTATTAAAAATCTTTATTAGGTATTAAATATTACCCTATTAAATGGTATGGTGACGACTCCATTTCGTCCCCTTAGGGAGTGAAAGTTCCAACAATCCTTTCTTAGTGGGAGCTTGTATTTTTGTTTGGTTTAATTTTATATGCAAGTTACCTGATTGTGATTCGCGTGATTTCAAAAGGGGACTAACTCCCATATAAATTCTGTCGATCTCCTTTGGTTAAGTAAAACGAATAGGTTGAAGAACACCAAGATTCTCAGAAGGAAAACAAGACAGCACAGTAGCTGCAGCAGGCTTATTACCTCCTTGATCTCTGGTTGTATTCACATTATCGTGTACTAGCTAGGCGTGCAAGGTCACCTGATGGAAAGCGACTACCGCCGCCCATGAACGCCTTCAACTCGGGAGTCATAAGCGCGTTGCCGGCCTTTGAAGGAGGAATACGGGTCTAAAAAGTAGCCTATGTTACTCGCTGATAATGTAGCTTTCCATTGGTGAAAGAATTATTAAAATCGGTTTAGTATTGTAAGCGTGAAAGCGTAACAAAGAGAGAGACGGACCTGTTGGTCTAGTGGTTAGCGGGTTCGGGTTCAATTCCCACCCAGGACAAATATTGTGTGATGAGCACGGTCATTTGTTCTGTGTCTATATGTATCTATTTAATATTATATAAGTATGTTTATCAGCAGTCTGATTACTATAGTACAGGCTCTGCCTAGTTAGGGATCAGACGGCTGTGTGTGAGATATATATATATTCTTAGACAACCCACCTTTACATTTATAATATACTAGCTTTTGCCCGCGTCTTTACCCGCATGTATGTCGGTTATTATGTTATTAAGTCCGTGTGGTGACGGATTAAGAATACAGAGTGTCGCCACCCCTATTCATCCCGTGGGTGTCGTAGGAGGCGACTAAGGGAGCAAACTACGCAGCACTGCAGAGAGAAGGAAAACTTGACACAAACCCTATACCAACCCGTCTGGCCAGCGTGGTATAGTAGGCCAAAACCTCCTTTCTAAGGAGAGGCCTATGTCCAGCAGTGGACTATTAAAGGCTGTTGATGATGATGTCGGTTATCGCGGTAAAAATTACTCGCTGATAATCTTTCTATTGGTGAAAGAATTTTTAATGGCGTGAAAGAATAACAAGTAAAAAAAAACTCCCGTAATATAAGTATGAAAGTATATTTTTTATGGCTATAATCAAAGTCTTGTTTTCCTTCAGGTTTGAAAAGCAGCAGCAGTTGATGAACCAGGTGTGCAATGAACTGGAGCCCGAACAGGAGTCAGACCCCGATGACGTGAAACGAAAGAGATTCGAAACTGTATTGGATCTTATGCAAAAGGTAACTGTCCAAATTACAAAGCCATCGATTGTAAGCACATCGAAAGCACACCAGGCATTCAGCACTGAATAGAGCCTTATCAGCCAATTTTGGATGAATTAAAATTATTCGGATGAATTTGGCATTTTGGGATGAATTGGGCATTTATTGGGTTAAAAAATACTTAGTAAGAAAATGAATTTAAAAGAAACTTTATTTTATGATAACTTTAGGATTGTAAATAAAGTATTAAGTTACTTACCATCAGGTGACCCAGCTCCTCGTTTACCCCCTACCTTATAAAAACAATAAGGTGTGATGTTCTCCTCGAAAAGAGAACCAGGTTTCTCTGATCGGTCACACAGTTAAAATCAGGAAGTCATAAATTAAGTAATCAGTTTTATGACTTTTATTGCGTGATGCAGTCCGTGTAGTGACGGATTAAGAACACGGAATGTCACTACCCCAATTCATCCCGTGGGTGTCGTAAGAGCCGACTGAGAGAGCAAAACAACGCAGGACAACGGTACTGCAAAAAGAAGGAAAACTTGACACAAACCCTATACCAATCGTGGTATAGTAGGTCAAAACTTCCTATCTAAGGAGAGGCCTATGTCCAGCAGTGGACTATTAAAGGCTGTTGATGATGATGTGCGCGGGATCAGAAGCCACGAATCAGTTTGTTTTATTTTTGTTAGATGGCGCTAAATGAAATTGAATTCAATTTTCTCTTTTTCAGATGCAAGACTTAGGTCAACCACCCACCGAGTTAGTAGGAGACATCGGAGCTCCACCCCAAGGGTTCGTAGCCCCCCCTCAAGGAGATGCGTCACAGTGTAGCGTTATGTAGTGATATCGTTTGTATTTTTAGTGATTTGTATTGTATTGTTAAGGGCATCACGCTTGCAGGGGATCAAGCAAGAGTGCTTGATACAAGACTGATTGATGCGATTAAAACAGTTGTTGATAATATCGAATCATTTAAAAAAAAAACTATCGCGTGTATATTAAAAAATGCTGGGCCATTTAGTACATTTATTCAGAGAAGATTTTTGTATATGCAATTAAAGTACCTTACTAGGGACAGTGTAGAATTAAATTATTATTCTCAGTTTAAAGTTATTGGATTTTTTTCTTGAAATTTCCTTTTTCTTTTTTTTAAATTTTGCACCTATGTATTAAGAAGCTTTTGTCTGCCTTAGTGCGCGTGGTGGTCGATATCAGACATCGTAGAGGTTACAGTGAATCAAGATTATACAAATATGTATAAAAGAAAAAAAAAAACTAAAGAGTTTTTACAGTGAGTTTGAAAACGCTACAACCAAAAAAAAAGCCGTGTGGTGTCGTGGGACACCCGATAGGAACGAAGTTGTGACGATCGAGTAAAACTGATTCGACACGATTTTAATTACAACGCCATCTATGAAAGCGGCTATTACCTACATATTTTTCAGTTGGTTTCTAATTAAAACAATTTATACATTGGTAAAATCTCCTTGAGAAATGATGTCAAATACAAAATTTCTTGCTCAACCTAAGAACATTTTCCTATCTATTCGATAGATGGCGCTGAATGACTGACAAGTGACAATTCAAAATAAAAAGTGTCGTTACAACTTTTCGTGAGATTTTTTTCCGTCTAGCCCCCTTTCACAACGCGCGATAAGGAACTTCGTTCCAATAATGAAGTTTCATATAAGCTTACAACCCCTATTGTGCACCCAGGGATGGAATTTTTAAGAAACCTTTCTTAGTGCACATGTTACCTAAGGAACATTTGTGCAAAATTTTATGCTTCTAGACCCAGCGGTTTTAGCTGTGCGTTGGTCGATCAGCAAGTGAATTAGTCTGTCAGTTTCTTCTTTTATAGATATACGGAGAAAAATTCTTTGTACGCTTTTTTACTACTAACTTATATAGCAATGTAGAACTGCACATAGCTTACATTTTTAAACAATATATGCTATCATCATCATCAGCCTATCGCAGTCCACTGCTGGACATAGGCCTCTCCCTCTCTCATTAGCCCAAAATCGATCTAAGTGGCGTGCAATATATGCTATAAAGTTAAAAAAATATGTAAAAAAAAAACTATAGAGGTCTAGTATATATTTTGACTTATCGTGGTACAAACGTCTAACATAATGACAGCTCAAGTAATAGTGGACAATGAAACGGTCCAGTGTGCACTTTCAGCCTGTCAGTTTAAAATTGCCTATGTGTTAATCAGACTTTTAAACATATCTGATAAGATTTACTTGCAAAAATAAATATCATTTCTCATAGGGTGTCAGCTACCTCTATACCAAATTTTATCAAAATCGGTCCAGCCGTTTGAGCGTCAAGAAGTAACAGAAATACAAACACACGCACTTACCAATCCACAAACGGGTCCGTCTTAAAACTTTCAAGGTTTTTAAAAATAAAATAGTTTTGACCTTGTAATATCATACCGACCCCATTAGACCAAATTGACCTATTACTATTGCAAAAATTCTCGTTAGATCTTAACATGAAAACTCAAATGTAACGTGTATGTTAAGTCACAAAAATATATTTTTGACGTAACATACCGTATTGACCTAATGTGAACTTAGTGACTTAATGACATACGTAAATATTTTTGACCTAACCAAATTTTATGACCTGACTAGATATTTTTGACATAACTAGAAACTATGAAACTAATCAGACTTTACTTATTATCTTAAATGAATATTTTTGATTTCATTAAGTTTGTTTGACCCAAAGTGTCAATTTAACTTAATTAAATCTTAATGACCTTATAGTATGTTAGTGAGCTGTATGTTCTTAGTACACAACAAAAGCTTAGTAATATTTCAAATCGTTTATATAATTGAGATAATTTTTTACCTTTGACCTTTAGGAACCTGATTGACCTTAATCGATGGATCTAATTGATTTAGGTAGAATTTAAATAAAGAATCTAAACAATTATGCATTTATGTTACAAATCTCAAAACAGTTTTGAATTACTTTCAATGTTTTTATGAGTTTTGAGGTGTAGTTTTTTTTTTTAACTTGATTCATACAAAACCTTTAGTTATTTATAGACATTTTATGAAGTGAGCTGTTGGAAATAAGGTAGATGTGTATGAAAACAAAGTACTAAAATAAAAACATATCATATGATACGCCATTTAATTTTATGATTCACTAATATCTTGTTTAATGAAATTAAAAAGTTTTCTGTGAATTAATTATGAGGTAAATTTTTCTGTTAACGGTTGGTAACATTATTATAATTATCTATTAAATTGGGAACTGGGCAAATTGTAATTGGTATTTTTTTTTAATGAAAAACGTAACATTCGATCACGGTGAATTGGAATTATTATAAATTAATCATTAAATATTTTCTCGTTTTCCCAAACTGTTGTCGGTTCTGCGGCTGATATGGCCAGCCCACTGCCACTTCAGCTTGCTAATCCGTGAATGTCGGTGACCTTGGTTCTCTGCCGGATCACCTCATTCCTGATGCGATCCCTTAGAGAAACGCAATGTTTTACATGAATAATAAGAGGCTCAGCAGTATTTAGTATAAAATGTTTTTTTTTGTGATGGCAATTACATTCATTTGCCAGCTGTACCATGCCACGCTTCACTGTGGCATATTGTGGTTGTGAAGTGGAATGAGGAACAAAACTAACCCCAAAAATATATGAAACCGATCTTTGAAGCGGGCGATATATCGTATCAAAATTTATGCTTTTTGAGTTTGTTAGTAAATAAATATTGCATTACAAGAGAAAGGCAAACGGTACTTTTTGTAATCATTGACATTGGTGCTAATTCTGTTGTCTGAAAACTCTCTAAACTAAACTAAAAATCACTAAAATTTGTCCTGCAATATATTACGTTTTTAGAATGGGAAACGTTGTTTGACAGAACTAAACAAATTTTTAGTAATTTTTAGTTTAGTTTAGTGAGTTTTCGAACAACAGAATTAGCACCAATGTTAATTGTTGCCATATGTAAATAAAATGAAAGGGACTGTGTAAACCTTTACAAACTTAATACACCAATTTTGCTACTAAACGTGTGTTTCTTATGATTGTCCTGGGAGACTCAATCGACTCATTATATGGCAACATTAACATCAAACTTTATCATGATATACATCCAATTATGAGTAAATTGTGTAACATATGTTTTTATTATATTACTGCTAGTATAAGTTTATTATATTTATATGTTTTCGGTGTACGGTAAAATATGAAATGAAAGTGCTATTATGAAAATACAATAAAAATAACATAATTTTAAAGCCAGATAATACTTTTTTCACAATCTTATAGTTCTAAGATATCCTTTTCCAAAAATGCCCAATTTAACCATAAAGTCCGATTCATCCAATAATGCCCTATTCATCCAATAATTCCCCATGGAGTTTGAATGCCTCGTGTGCCTTATAAAGTTTACTATGCTTTTTGTTGTCTCAATGATAAGGTTCTAAGTGCCCCAATAATTCAATTAAACAAATACTTGATTGGCTGTTGATACTCTTGAGATAATTGTAATAAAGATTTATTTGAAAAGTGGTCAAATTTTAGAAAAAAAACTGGGTGTCTACCCCTCTCCCCTCCACACACTCCTAAATATTTGTGAGGGCTCAAAGGCGGGAACGCACTTGTGACTGATGATGGCCTACAGGTTAAAAAAAAACAGATGACTATATCAGCTTGTTTAAAATACATTATTTACCGGGTACTACCGGTCCAGTAGCAGTAGTCCGGTTGATCGAACTACTGCAACCCTTCAGCTGCATCAGTTCGGTTGTAAAAAAACACCGAACTATAACCCGGCAATCTCGTGCGCGACCGTCCCGCGGGGTGACAGACAGTGGCGAGGTAGCGCGTCATTCTAGCACACGGCTACACGCGTTTCCCTTCCCCGCTACACCACCCGCTACCCGCTGACATCTTGAGTACCTCGTCCCCGCCACCGTCTGTCACCCCGCAGGACGGTCGCGCACGACGTTGATGGACTATAGTGCTCCTGTGTTGTAGCAACAGTTCGGTTAATAATTTAAACAAATAAATTTTTATAATTAAAAGGAAACAAGTAAATTGAAAGCAACAAATTTATATATTATTTATATACTAGCGATCCGCCCCGGCTGCGTACGGGTGCAATGTAGATACTACCTATGTGGTGTCAGTGTGGAGTAATTAATTATACTATTATTATGATAGAACTATACTACAGGACATCTTTAGATGCCAATATATTTTATAGGCTAGCTATGGTCCTGCTGGCCGCTGGCACTCGCGATGTACGTACGTTATTAACCGAACTGTTGTGGTGATCACACTATTCTGCAGCAATGTCTATCTTAACTCTGTAGTTTTTTATCATATTAATTATTGATGTTATTATAACTCCAGTCTCCTAGTCACTGATATTAATAATACTTCTAATTCAGATGAAATTTAATTGCACAAAAATATAAAATACCTATGAATATATGAAATAATAATAACTTCCCACACGGCCGTCTGATCCCAAACTAGGCAGAGCCTGTACTATGGTAACCAGACTGCTGATAAACATACTTATATATTTCTAAATACTAGGTGTCCTATTTATTACAGGCAAATAACACCTAGACAGAACAATTACCTACAATTCTTTTCAAGGGGTTTGTACAAAAAATAAGTATGGATATGATATCAGCACCTTCAAGCGTGTGGGTAGTTGGAGAATTGTATACACATGATGTGTCTACCATGTACCCTGGCAATAAGCGTGATGATATATAATTTGTATATTAATTGTTTGATTATTATTCTTATTAGTTGTTCCTTATTAATAAAATTCAGTTACCAATGTTGTTTTTTATTTATATTTTAGACTAGCCATTTACAGCGGCTTCGCTCGCGTCATCATCATCACATCACATCAACAGCCTATACTAGTCCACTGCTGGACATAGGCCTCTCCTTAGAAAGGAGGTTTTGGCCTACTATACCGCGCTGACCAGACGGGTTGGTATAGGGTTTGTTTCAAGTTTTCCTTCTCTTTGCAGTGCTGTTGTCCTGCTTAGTTTGCTCCCTTAGTCGGCTTTTACGACACCCACGGGATGAATAGGGGTGGTGACACTCCGTATTCTTTATCCGTCACTACACGGATACCAGGAAATTGATTATGTGATTGTAAATTAGATATTAGATAAACAATATAATAATAATATTGGGTAATAAATTAGATATTGATGAAATTAAACGAGCTTTCGTGAAAGCAGATAGTTTTTTAATTTACTATTAAAATAACTTACAGAGCAGAACATGAGCTTATGGCGGCGTTACAGGAAAAAGGGCAGAGAGAATCTATACAAGAATACAGATTAAAAATAATGTTGCCATATGTTAAGCGCCGTCTGCGTTTCTAATTCCTTCAAATATTAAGTCGGCTCTTACGACACCCACGGGATGAATTGGGGTGGTGACAATTTGTATTCTTAATCCGTCACCACACGGACGTCGCTCGCGTGATTACTTCTTATTTTGTGTTCCTAACTATGAAAATGACGAACTTCCATACAACCGTCCATGTCATATTTTACCCCGTCAGGGGTAAAAATTCCAAAAATCCTTTCTTAGTAGGTGCTTAGAACATAAAATGCATCAGCTAGCGCAATGTCAAGTTTTTAGACCCAGCGGTTTAGACTCTGCATTGATGAGTCGGTCAGTCAGTGCAAGTCATTTCATATCTGTCGATTATAAAGGGCTCCGTAGCTCCTCTGTAAAATTGTCCGTGTGGTAAATGATTAAGATTACGACGTGTCACCACCCCTATTCATCCTGTGGGTGTCGTAAGAGGTAACTAAGAGAGTGTTGCGCTATAGGATCGAGTGGTTCTTGTGTTGTGTCTGGAGGACAGCGCTATCTATAGTTCATCAGCGTCGTGCGCGACCGTCCTGCGGGGTGACAGACGGTAGCGGGGACGAGGTACTCAAGATGTCAGCGGGTAGAGGGTGGTGTGGCGGGGAAGGGAAACGCGTGTAGCCGTGTGCTAGAATGACGCGCTACCTCGCCACTGTCTGTCACCCCGCGGGACGGTCGCGCACGAGATTGCCGGGTTATAGTATTAAATGGCGCACAACGAACGCTATGCATTAGGATTATGGTTTTTAATTCCGATACTTGCAGAGCCATCTAGTGTCGAATATCCGAAGATTAAGGATTAGTCCCTGTGGTGACGGATTATGAATACGGAATGTCACCACCCCTATTCATCCCGTGGGTGTCGTAAGAGCCGACTAAGGAAACAAACTACGCAGGACAACAGCACTGCAAAGAGAAGGAAAACTTGAAACAAACCCTATGTCAACCAGCGTGGTATAGTAAGCCAAAACCTCCTTTCTAAGGAGAGGCCTATGTCCAACAGTGGACTGTTATAGGCTGTTCATGATGATGAAGGAAATTTGTAGATGCCTTATTGTACGTGGTTCTGTCTGGAACATCCCATCGGATCCTCGGGATTGGTCTAGTAATTTCGATAGCCCTATAAAAGCGGAGCGTGTTAGCCGTACGGGACAGTATTGTTTTACGACATAACGAATTAACATCGTAGCGATATTCTAGTGCGACTAACGAGTTATATAGTGATTTCTTGGTTGAAATAGTACTCGTAAGTGTTTGTAAGTACAGTGCAATAAAAGTAAATTAACCTACTACTTTTTTTGTTGTATTGTATGTATGTATTGTATTGTATACCCCGCTCGTAACAGGAGCAAACTAAGCAGGACAACAGTACTGCAAAGAGAAGGAAAACTTGAATCAAACACTATATCAACCTGTCTGGCCAGCGTTGTATAGTTAGCCAAAACCGTCTTTCTAAGGAGCGATCTATGTCCAGCAGTGGATTATTAAAGGCTGTTGATGATGATGAAAATGAAGTGTCCATAGCACCTGTACTTACCAGATCACACGTATGTTCTTATCATGTATGCACAATAAATGTATTTACTTTATAAATTAGAGAATCAGTTATAATAAATTATTGTACTCTTTATTTATATAAATATTATTAATATTCAAACGGAAACAATGTTGCGGAAAACGAGTTCTTGAGTGGAGACCGCATCTCGGCCAACGTAGTGTAGGACACCCATCGGCCGGGTGGTGCGACGATTTACGCAAGATGGCTGGCAGAAGCTGGATACGAGAAGCCCAAAATCGATCTAAGTGGCGTGCAATAGGAAAGGCCTATGTCCAGCAGTGAACTGTGATAGGTTGACGATAAAACGGAGACGGCGGAATGTAAATCAATTATTCAAAGTAGTTTAATCTATCTTTACTAGTTGGTTCTGCCCTAAACATGAGTCGCCACTTTCTTAAAACATAAATATATATAAAAAATTACAAAAATAATTTTACAAGCCAAAGAAATCCGAAACAGAATATTTTGTACAAAACGAAGATATATAAAGGCATTATCACATAATGTAAACATTTAAAATAAAATTGCTTTTTCATAGCGTAACGAGAGCCTTTTAAACCGTCTTTAAGAATGTATTTTCTAATTCCCAACCCATAAATAAGCACATATTCCTGCCAGTCTATTCTTTCTACGTTAAAGTCGAAAATCTCTTTGTCAGTAGGAGAAAGAGAGTCGAAGAGTGTAGCTAAGTTTTTGTCTTGGAACTCCCAATCATTCGTTGTGAAGTACCCTAAAGCCGTCGACAACTTATACATTTTGGTGTAGACTTTCACGAGCCTGCAATATAACATAATTAATTACATTTGGATGGACGACCGAATGGCGTAGTGGTTTGTGTAACTGCTATTCTAAAGGTCGCGGGTTCGATTCCCGCTCAAGTCAAACATTTGTAGTGTGCATGAACTTTTAATGTTGGTTTTGTCTGGGTGTTTCTATGTATAGTATGCATGTATTTACAAAAAAAAATAAGTATATATGTATTTATAACAGTTGTCTAGTATCCATAGTACAAGCTCTGCTGAGTTTGGGACTAGATGGCGTTGTGTGAATGTGGTAAGATATTATATTATTATTTATTTGCAATAATATTGGTTTAACAGTAAAAAGCTCCCTTCCTATGGGTTTCCCGAGAAATTATGTAACTGGGTCACCAGTTTCCTTGCAGGCAGAAGCATTAAGGTCGTTATCGATACGATTGACGACTAAAACGAGAAGAAAATAATAAAATGAAAAAGCATGGCTTTGGTAACAGCAACCATAGAGGTACTAGACTCATAGAATGTATTTGAAAAGAATGTGGCAATTTTAAACACAAGAATAACATCAAAAGATAGACCTGGAGACACCAAATGGTATGGTGAAAAATGAAGTGCTAATCTCCAAAAATATGTCAACAACATGCAAGTGATTAATGTAAAGTATCCCAGCGACCATAGAATGGTAAAAGCCACACTGAATACACAGTCTTCAAAGAAAAGTCGAAAAATCTATGGGAACAACGTAAAAAGTACTTTAAACAATGAAATTGAAATATAAACACATAACAATTTATTTACGACGGCTTAGAACACATAAATACTCGACAAGAAATATTTCCAGTGCAATACCTTGACGATGAAATTATTTTTTCTATAAATAATAGCCTCAACAAAGCTGAAACAACCTAATAGTAACACAATTTCTGTTATTTCACCCAATACTAGAAAATTGTTGTTAAGACGACAGTATTTACAAAAAATGAAACCAAAAACAAGGAGTATGAAAAATTTGTTAAAAGCTCTCTACAAACGAATGTATTAATTTCGATTAAAAACTCAGTTTGGAAGTTTAAAGAGAGCCAATATAGAATAAGGATTATTATTTTAATTCGATTTGATGTATTATAATTGAAATATATTACTTAATACATGAAAATTATACTGAATTTATAAATAAACTACATAATTGTGAATATTATAAGTATTTTCATTGTAAATAATTGATTTAATTACTTAATATTGTGTAATTTTAAAGACCATATTGTTGTGCGATATATTCACCTGTTATTAGTTATGCAATTAGTTTTATGCGAATATTTGTATCTCTTGTAATGAATTCTTGTAAATATCTGTTAGTGCAATAAATAGATAAATAAAATATTACACAGGAACTGGATAGAAGGCTCAGAATCTTCAAACAAAAGAACTTGTCATAGAAAAGAAATACTTCAAGTTCTGTACTGTTTTGAAAACCATGATATCATTCAAATTATACTAAGAGACACAAAATTACAAATACAAGACATGGAAGAAGCGGAGGTAATAAACGCAATCGGTAAACTAAAGTCAGAAAAGGGCCCAGGGACCTTTTTTTTTTTTTTTTTTTTTTTTTTTTTTTTTTTTTTTTTTTTTTTTTTTTCCGTGCGGAAATCCCCTCGGATACCACCTGTCGGTGGCATGTCGGACTCGAACCGACTAAAACCGCACGCCTTCGCCGGGTACTAATAGCCGGGGAACCAGGTATACCCTAGAAGGGAAGGCCCTGGTGCCCCGACATACCTCGGGTCATCTACAGACGAGGGCCCAGGGACCTAACAAAATAACTAACGAAGCCCTGAAAATTGCACTTAGCAGGCCACAGTTACGGTTCTTAATACCAAGTCAAATGACTTGGTATTAAGAACCGTAACTATACCAAAACAATGGGCTGAATCAGACACACACAATATTAGTAATTACCGACCTATAAGCCTGCTGCCATCTAAGTATTTACAAATTATTCTCATCAATCATAGAAAAAACAATAAGAAGTATCATTGTAAAACATCAACCTATAGAACAGGCGGGATTCTTCAATTAAGAAAGTAAAACTTAAACTCACTTTCTCTCCTTTCCAAGAATCCAACAAACTCCATCGATAATATAAGCTGGTATCAGATGAAGAATCCAGGTTAAAATCCAGAACAGGATTTTGTTCGATGTCTCTATAACGAAATTGTACCAGACGAGTTTTGGAGTACAACACTCTATTGCGTTTCTTGGTCCATTCGTAAAATAACCTAGAAAGAGAAAACAGGATATGAGGATAGAAGTTGTAGATGGATAGATTGCTTGACAATATAAAGTACAGGATAAAATGCTCTTAGTTTTTTTTTTGTGTATCTGCTTCTTGGCAATCAGTTTAACAAACAATAGGCCACTTCTCTGCCCGATCCAGCTCTGCCATATGTAGTTCCATATCCAAGAGTTTTTGCATTAGTAACATCTCTTAAGATGGCTGAAATCTGTTACTAAGTCCAGGGACATCCATTCGATTCAGTCTAACATGTTGTGTGCCACCCTCTTCACTCAACGCTAGGGCAAGCTCGTTAGTATGCTGTGATAATCTGTGTTGATAGTTTTGAATGTATTGAGCTATTTCCTGCTTCAATGTTTTTACGTTAAAGTCGAGGTAAATGTATCTATTGCTGATGCAATGTAGGATGTTAAAAATTGTTCTTAATGTTTTCCTTTGAAATCTCTCCAGTATCGATATTACTAGTTGACTGTACCCGTAGTTGTATGCCATTTGTCCAGATTGGTTTTAAAATGGCTTTATGGTCATTTTACTGTATTTGTTTAGTCGGGAATGGCATCCAATAAGTCTTCTGTCTATGTGTATGCCCAGATATTTGAAATCGTCACCCAGTAGAATTGCCTCATCATATAGCCTACGAGGACAGGACTAAGAGTGAAGGTAAAGTGGGTAGACTTGTTTTGGGTAGCTTCTATACTCCATCGTTTCAAACATATCACATCATTTAATATGTTTTTGCAGGGTAATCGTGGTCATTCTTGGATTTCTATAAATTGATAGTAAAGCAGTATCGTGAGCATACGTTGCAGTGGTCGTGCTGTCCGTTGTATGGAAGGCTGCTATATAGATAAGATATAGTACACCGGGTTGCGGAGGCGCGCTTGCCAGCGCCTCATGCCGCCCTGAATGTAGCCGCGGGTGGACGGGACGAGTTTTCCTCTCCACCCGTCATAACGGCCAGCCGCGAGGAGGCGACGTCCGCGTGTGCCGGACGTCTCCTAATTAGAGAATGTACCCGACGGTGGTGCCCGCGCCGTTCAATTTCGTAAAGCTGTGAAGGTTCATGCTTGTAATTTATTTGGTAACTTCTTTTACGTCCAGAAAGACTGCAGAGCAATACATTCGATTGTCTAGACATCTGCTGATTACATCTGTAATATGATGCACCTGTTCTACTGTCCCAGGTTTTCCCTAAATCCAAATTGGTGTATTGGCAGGATGTTGTTAATATGCCTTATCAATCTGTTGAGTACTATGCACTCGAAGAAATGGCCAGTAATTGGCAAATGGCTGATTTTCGTGTGGAGGTTTATCAGATTTTGGTATCATTACCACTTGTGCTATTTGCCAATGTACGCGGCAATACGCAAGTCTTAGACAGGCATTAAATATGTTAAATCATGAGTCCCTTATGTGATAGCTGTATTAGCAGAGTCGTATCAATGAGGTCATAGTCGGGTGATTTATCTTCCTGAAGGTTTCGTATTTCTTTCAATGTGGGGCTCACTCTCTTCACAGGAAGACACGTTTGTTCTGCTGAATCGAGATATTATTTAATTTCTTCTGCATATTCTTGGCTAGTTTCAGGGAACAGTTGAAACACAGCACTGAGATGTTCTGCGAAAGCTACTTGTTCTTGGTCCGATCTAGCCCATTCCCCACAGTTATTGATGGGTATATGATGGGTGGTACCTGTAGCTTGGGATGCTTCCGGGTATTTAGTTGCTTTTCAGAGTGAATAGTTTGTATCAATGGTAGGAATTAAACTTGAAAGAAAGGATTGGAAATTAGCCTTTTCCAGTGTATCTATGAGGTTTTAAATTCTTCGGAGCATTTATTAAATATAGCTTTAATATAGCCTCGGCGCGAGGTGATCAAGGGGTAAAGGTTTGCGTGATGTGCCGAAAACAAAAGAATTCTTACCACAAGTTATTTTAGTCCTGGTTGAAGACAACACAGTATAAACCTTGGGTTCCATATCTCCTTTGGATCGTCTTCTTGCGGTCTCATACCCAGCAGCTATTACAGCGTTGTTCACATAGTCTGGAGGTATCACGCCAACCCTGGCTTCGGTGTTAACATAAGCGACGTGCATGACACCCACACCAACTCCTAGAGCGATCTAGAAGACAAAGATAAAATTCTGGGATGTATTTCAGGTACAGTGTTAACGAGCAGTTCGGTCACCTGATGGTAAGGAACTACTTCTACCCATGGGCATGTACAACTCTAAAGACAGGTGCGGTACCGCTATTTGAGTAAAAGAGTAAGGTTTAGGAGGGTGGGAGAAAGTCGGAAGGGTTGTTGGTGAAGTATATAAGGGGTGCAAAAGGGCACACAGGTCACGCGATAGTGCTATCTAGACCCTTTCCATACAGCAAAGTTTTCATCCCCACCACTTGCATAATATGCACTCCACCACTGTGCGCTTTTCAAGACACTTTTTGCCTCGCTCTTTGCCAACCTGTCTGCTGTATCCAAGTTATTGTCTGCGGTATTACAGATAGGACCTCCAAACCTTCAAGAAAAGAACTCCTTTCTCAAAGGCCAGCAACGCGCTTGTGACTCCTGAGTTGCAAGTGGGTAGCCGCTTTCCTTCAGGTGACCCATCTGCTCGTATAAAAACGTACTGGTCCATAAAAAAAAATTAGTCTGACTTAGTCTAGCTTCACGGACGTACAAATATTTTTGATACGAGGCATTCGAACCCGAAACCCTTACAGACAAATGAACCGCCAATACCTTAAACTTACTCTAGACTGAGTTAAAGTATTGCCACTTTTTTTTTGGTGACCTTCTGACGTTACAAGAATTTGTCAGTGAAAATAATCATTTTTAACATTATGTTCATAATTGCAGAATTATCTGTTGGCTCTTGATCTGCCAGGCGTGGATTTAATCTGGTCTGGTCAAACTACGCTGGACAACAGCAGTGCAAAAAGAAGGCAAACTTGACACAAACCCGATACCAATCCATCTGGCCAGCATGAAAACCTCCTTTCTAAGGAGAGGCCTAAGTCCAACAGTGGACTATTAAAAGCTGTTGATGATGATGATGTAGGGTCTTTTATAATCACAGAACTCCATCTTTTATGAACCGATTTGTATGTATTTTTATTTTAAAGGGTACCCGCATGGTTTTATTCCTATTTGAAAAAAAAGGCCCTTAAAGGTGGAAAAATCACAGGAAGGAAGGACACACAGTTTGTTATTAACCCTCTCGATGAGATTGAAGTCAGAATGTTAAGAACAGATTGTAAAAAGTTATCCCTGAAATGCTACAATAATTATATCAACACTATAGAGAATAATATGAATAGCGACTGCAAAAGTTTCTGGTCATTCTTAAAGGCTAAAAGGGGTGGGTCAGGTATTTATCCGGCTAATATGAGCGATGGAGTTGAAGTTGCTAATAATGGAACTAAAATAAGTAACATGTTTGCTGCGCACTTTTCGTCAGTCTACACACAGGACAGTCAAATAAATTGCTCTAGTAATGTATCCTCTCTAAATGAAAACTTTTCGAATGTTATGCCAATTAGCAATTGTTTTACTTCATTAACTATTGCGGCCAATACATTGTTAACTAAACTTGAAAATCTAGACACATCGAAAGGGGCTGGACCTGATGGCATACCTAATTTATTTCTGGTTTCATGTGCAAAAAGTTTAATTACTCCTCTCTGTATGATTTATAATAAATCGTTAAGTACCGGTATATTCCCAAACGTTTGGAAAGCGGCCAGAGTAGTACCCATGCATAAGTCAGGCAATAGCGCATTAATTCAGAACTATAGACCAATCTCTATTTTGTCCAGTCTCGCGAAGGTTTTCGAGTCTGTAGTGAATTTACATGTGCAGCATTTTTTTAGGCTTAGTCTCGCAGATCATCAACATGGTTTTTTGAAGGCCCGGTCTACTTGCACAAATCTTAGTACGTTTGTGGAGACTTTGTCGGCAGCCTTAGATAAGCAGAAACAAACGGATGTAATATATACTGACTTCAGTAAGGCCTTCGACAGGGTTTCCCACGAAATTCTTTTAAAGAAATTATCACAATACGGAATAGCGTTCACTTTTCTCAAATGGATACAATCATATTTAACGGATCGGATCTTTTATGTCGTATTGAATGGTTATACATCAGATACTTATAGGATTACATCTGGCGTTCCGCAAGGGTCACATTTGGGACCAGTTCTCTTTAATATATTCGCCAATGATGTTCCCAATTGTTTCCTAAATTCGACTCCATTTATGTTTGCCGACGACCTCAAAATTCTTAAAGTAATAAATAGCCTAGACGATATCAAAATGCTTCAAACAGACTTGGATGAACTATCCAATTGGTGTTTAAATAATAAAATGCAACTGAATGTATCTAAATGCCATCACATTAAATTTACTCGAAACTATAAAGTTATCCCTTCGGCTTATTACATTCAGGGTGCCAAATTGCAAGAGATTGATTGTGTAACTTTGGATAGGAAATTAACATTGGTGCCCCACATGGAGAACATAATGAGGGCAGCCTCCAAACTGCTGGGTTTTGTGATCAGAAACAGCAAGGTTTTTCGAAATCCAAAAACTAAAATATTGCTGTATAACTGTCTTGTTAGGAGTACGTTGGAGTACTGCAGTGTAGTATGGCGTCCGCACTATTGCGTACACAGTCTCCGCATTGAACGCATACAAAAGCGTTTTATGTGGCATTTAATAAATACATCTGGCATGCAAAATACACTTAAGAAGTCTTCATATCGTTTTAAATTGAAGCATTTCGGTATTGATTCACTCGAAAAGCGTAGGAAAGTACTAGACCTTATATTCTTTTACAAAATTGTTATATTCGTAACAATTTTGTAAAATTGTAAAATTGACTGCCCAATGCTTCTTAGTAAAATTAAACTACGAGTTCCAACGAGATATCCACGTTCAAGAATCACTCCTTTCTGCCCACCCCTACGAAGAACTGTTTTAGGATCAAATTCTCCAATTTGTCGTCTAACTAGGCTTGCTAATGAGTAGGTACAGCGGCTCGTTGGATATATTCAATGATTCTTTGTGTCATTTCCGAAAATGTATTAACTCCGTAATTGACAATTAATCTAACATTGAACTGGTGAACACAATAAACATTCTTCTTTTGTATATGTTAGTAACGTTGAATTTTTATAGTTTCGCGCGCCAAGATGATATACATATATAACTAGGTCTAAGGGCGGGAGTTAGCGCGATGGCGTAGTTGGTGTTGCATGCCTCTGTCTATGTCGGAGTGCCGGGCGGTCCGGTGTGTGTGGTGCCCTCGGATAATGCCAACAACCTTGTTTGTATGATTTGAGGTGGTGCCTGTTGCGAGGTCGCTTTGATTCCCGCTCGTATGTTTTCGGATTTTAATGTTTCCTGTTTTCATTTATTAACACTATGCATGTTGTGTTTGCTTAAATTGGTTGTACATTAGCCAATTCTACCACATGTAATTTATTATTATTAAGTAACAATGTTACGACTGGAAGCAAACCATAAATAAATAAATAAATAAATAAATTACATGCATGAGAATGTAGGTGCATTGAATTATTTAAGGGAGTTTTCGCCCATTTCCTTCTAATCATTGTTTAAAATAATAAAAAACTTACACCAGATGCGCCGTACATGTTAGAAAGGTCCACCCATCCTGGATTTGGTTCACGAATAGCAACTGTCACTGGAATTAAATAAAATTTCTGTTTAGATAGGTAAATAAAGAGGCCCGTGTCTTACCGAGTAGGTTAGCACATTGCATAGTTTTGTGATCCTAGCCAGGTCAGTGTACCATTAGGTCACCATTCTTAATACATGGAGACCCCAAGTAAAGCCGTCGGTCCCCGTTGTCATATAAACATTTGTGGCAATCGTTACGGTTAGTTCGAGGCTAAAAAGTCTAAAAACAATCTATCTACAGAACTTCGATATCGCCTAATACTTTAGCTGTGGAGGTGGCAGTCGCTCCATGTAAAAAAATGAAGTTCAGCTGAATCGTGGTAGACTGAAAACCGACCCCAATCTGGTTTGGGAAAAGACTCGGCGGATGATTAGAAATATACCTATTTCTTGCAATTTCATGAGCATTTAACCTCTCAAGAGCAATGAATTCGTGTCGAATTATAATAACAACTACCTGACCAACTAACAATAGGAGTGTTATGATTAAGTGGTATATAGTTGATTTTGCTCGTAAATAAAAAATTGCTGACATTTTCAGAATATTTTAGATATTTCATCACTATCATCATCTTATTGCACATTTCCAACTTGTTTTAATTTCGTTCTGTGTGATAAGCATTTGTTATGTGTCTGGTAAAATGCAAGTAAGATTATCAGCAGTTAGTTTACCATAGGGCTCTGCCTAGTTTGGTATTAGACGGCAGTGTGTGAGATGTGTCAAATTATAACAGGGGTTCATCAAGATCCTCCCCTATATTTACCTATTCCAGGTCTGACGACACAAATGGGCATCTCTTTGCCTGCTTCTTGCACCATCTTTTCGGTCACGGCCTTAGCAAACGTGTAAGTATTCGGCCAACCCTCAATTAAACTGTAAAACAAAAACAAATTTAATAAAAAGTACAGCAAGAAAGAAAAACAAGGAATTGAAATAGAGCGATAGGAGTCTAACCATGTGGTGACGGATTAAGAATACAGAGTGTCACCACCCCTATTCATCCCGTGGGTATCGTAAGAGGCGACTAAGGGAGCGAAATACGCAGGACACAGCACTGCAGGGAGAAGGAAAACTTGACACAAACCTTATACCAACCCGTCTGGCCAGCGTGGTATAGTAGGCCAAAACCTCCTTTCTAAGGGGAGGCCTATGTCCAGCAGTGGACTGTTAAAGGCTGTTGATGTGATAGAAGTCTTTAGGTTTTTATTCTAATCTTGTCCATAGGATGCTCATAATGGTCACGACTCACTCACTGACTCCTATTCTGGATAATCTTAAATAGCCGTGACTTTCTTGATATAGTCAGGTAGAAATATAGGGGCAGAGGACATTTTCAGAAACCTTCATCTCGATCGGTGTTAATTCCGCGCTTGACTTCGCTCCAGGTCTTGCCGGTGTTCTTGGCTTCATTTGCTACTATTAACGACCATGCTTGCGAATTTTTTGAGGATTCTATTCCAGTGCCTTCCTAAGAAATAACTACTTTACACCGGTTTTCTGTGAGGCCGTGGTGTCACTCCTGTCGAAACGTACTCTGTACTCTCACGTGCAAGTGAAGAAAAAGTGATCTTCTCTAATTTTTTGTGCTCAAAAAAATATCAGAACCCCTTAGTTTTTATCATCTGGGAATTTCTTGTTAAACCCAATTTTGTCGATTACAGTGATTCTACTTAGAACGAAGTAACAGCTTTCAGCATTTCTGAAGTAATTAGACCCAGGCCTGGGGCATTGCTGCTTTTGTAAGGTACGATGAATTTGCCTACTTCGTCACGTGGTGGTGGGTTGATGTTGATGTTAAGAAGCATAGGTGGCTGGTGTGAGTTACGGTACATCAAGCACATTGGATGTTGTATCTTTCGCCACGGTAGACCTCTTCGAAGTGATCACTCTTTTGTTGTAGTTGCCCACCAGACGTCACTATGAGTTGCTCATCTCTAGATTTGAGAGGTTCTGTGGCGATTTTAGAGGTGTACTAAGCGACCGAAATCTTGGCAGGGAATAGGCGATCAAAGTTCTTCTTCGGTCTCAAAGCTCTGTCAGATTGTCGGAGTTGGCGGCGAGTTGTTGCTACATTCATTTGTCTCTTTGCTGTAGTATATTTTTTTGCGAATCAACTCTGCTGCTGTCTGAGGTTGATTAGTAGCAGCTCATTGCTGTTTTGCAGTAGTTTCATGTTAGAGTTCATATGGTCGTTGATGAGCTGCCATATGCAGCATAACGCTGGTCTCTGTGTAGACTACTTTACTGCGGCGACGACTTCCACTCTTCATCTGTTGTGAGGTCGGAAAACGGTTTGGAGTACAAACCTTAACTTGGAGCAGGTGTCAGGGTCATACCAGACCCTCAGGCTGGTTGAACTATCGCATCCTTGAGCTGCAGTTCAGCAACCACTAAGTGGTAGTCGTTGTTATTGGCAGCACCTCTTTGGTTTAAAAAATAGCTACACTTGGTATTATTAAATTGCAAAAATATGAGTAAATCGCTGAAGTGAAATAAAATTGCATTGGGCCCTCTGATAAATGAAATTACCCAAAAAAAACTTAATTACGAACCTTTTAGTAATGTTGTTAAGTTTATTTTCCTCCAGGGTTTCAGCCATCCTGATCATAGCCTCAGGATCTATGGGACTTGGGTAGAAATCTTCAAAGACTTCATCCTTGATACGAGAAGATATTGCCTGAGAGTAAGCTGTTGATACGTAGACGAAAGACCTAAGGAGCAAAACTTAAGAAATTGATTTAGGATTTACATTTGAGAAGATGACCCTGATTTAATGACCAGACAAGGACCAGACAGTGAAGTCACACCTAAATATTTCCCCCCCCTCTCAAACTGGTTTCTTTTCACCGAGAAACTTTAACACTATTTTATTTTAGTTTATTTAGGTAAACGAAAAAGATTTATATTATACGATCTTTAATAGTCAGAATATCCATGATGCTGCCTAAATTCTGCAATAGCAGTACAACCAGAAGAAGAAGAGGGAGGTCATAGCACGTAATCCAGATACATGCTATGGCCTCTCTTATTTTTTTGTGGTGTAGAAACATGGCAAACAAGCAGACAGGTCACTGATGGAAGGTGAGGACGCCTGCAACTTTGAGTAACAGGCCTTTGTGGTCAGCAAATTTATTCGGGAGATTGGTTGTGCCAGACAAAAAGTTGCTTGATAAGCTCATACTAAACTTACTTTAGGTTACTGCACTCCTTCCCTAGCTTAAGAGTTTCCCTGGTTCCTCGGGTAATGATGAGAGTAGCGCTACGTAAGGGTTCGTCAAACCGCGTTGTCGCTGCCAAATGGAATATAACTTCTGTCTGTAAAATAATATAAAAGATCAGTAACATCAAGTTAAATTAGTAAAAAAAATAGAAAAGAACCATGAAATTTAGTACTTGAAATTTATTTCTGTAATTATCAATTCCATTAGGTGTTTGTATTCTATGAAGCCGTAATCTTATCTTATATTTGTTTGCGATAGAATATTATTTTTTTAAATGACAACTGACAACTGAAATGTCAATGTGGTGACGGATTAAGAATACGAAATATCACGCCAATTCATCCCGTGGATATCGTAATAGCCGACTAAAGGAGCAAACTACGCAAGACAACAGCACTGCAGAGAGAAGGAAAAGTTGAACCAAACCCTATACCAACCCGTCTGGCCAGCGTGGTATAGTAGGCCAAAGCCTCCTTTCTAAGGAGAGGCCTATGTCCAGCGGTGGACTAGTAGAGGCTGTTGATGTGATGATGAACTCCCGCACTAGGAATTTTTTCCTGTGTCGGGGACTTTACAAACATACATGAAACGGACACAAAGAACACCCAGACTAAGAACGACAATTTGTGGATCAAACAAAGTGTCGTACCATGTGGGGCAATTTTGATTTAATCGTGAGATATTTGACATTAAAGTATTTCTAGGGAAAATATTAAAAAAAAAATACTTTGAAAAATACTACTTTTTATTGCTTTATAGGACACGTAATTATATTAACAAAACTTGATTGTTTGCAACAAAAAACCTCAAAATTCTATGCTTAAAAAGAACGGAGAATTTTTTTTTTTGTTGTTTTAGGTTTTATTTTTTAATTCCTTTATGAGGAAGATTTGGTATGCTATTTTTACTATGGTTCAAAATATGCATCAGCAAAAAAAACAATTCCAAATGCCGTAGCATTTAGGAACAATAAATCTTCTAAAGTTTTTTAAGATAATTTTGGTTTTAGGGTTGATTTGGGTATACAATTACCCAACTTCAGTTTGTATTGTATATAGATGCCGCGGACCTCCACTCATCACCTCACCTGGTCGAAGAACCTTTGTGTTGGGGGATGTAATAAACGTTCCTCTACAAACGTAACAAACACTCAAGATTTTTACCTGGCTAGTCAACATGCTCCAGTCCTCGTCACTCAAGCCAAGTCTGAGTTTACCTATATCGCCTTCCACTAGTACTATCTTCTGCTCAAAGCCTGGATGCAGCTCTCGTACCAAATCATAGACCTGAAAACAGCATCAAATATACAAGGCAGACTACATACTCTGTGCTTACACCTGTTTCATCGAACACGTAAAAAGAAAAGATAGGCTGAAGACGCCACTAGGAAATGAATATCAACCATTACCAGACGGGCCGGTTGGTCTAGTGGTTGGTGAACCCGACTGCTAACCAGAGATCGTGGGTTCGATTCCCACCCAAGATAAATAGTTGTGTGATGAGCACGATGGTTTGTTCTGTGTCTGGGTGTACCAACCCGTCTGGCCAGCGTGGTATAGAAGGCCAAAACCTCCTTTCTAATGAGAGGCCTTTATCCAGCAGTGGACTATCAAGGTTTGTTGATGTGATGTAGATATGTATATAGAGGTATATAATGTATGTTTATCAGCAGTCTGTTTACCATAGTACAGGCTCTGTCTAGTTTGGGATAAGACGGCTGCATGTGAGATGTGTGAGGTTATTATTACACAAATCACACTTAACTTCTACTTACCGGGTTATCCAGCATTTCGTTTAGTCTTTGTGTAATTGGTATTCCTTTCTTGGACCTCATCAAGATGAAGAGTTTAGACACATTCGTCGCCCTGAAAAGTAAAATATTATACAATTGTCAATGTCATTCTGTAGTACAATAGTTATTGTCACATCACATCACATCAACAGCCTCTACTAGTCCACTGCTGGAAATACGAGTAGGCCTCTCCTTAGAATTGAGTTTTTGGCCTACTATACCACGCTTGCCAGTCGGGTTGGTATAGGGTTTGTTTCAAGTTTTCCCTCTCTCTGCAGTGCTGTTGTTCTGCGTAATTTGCTTGCTTAGTCGCCTCTTACGACACCCACGGGATGAATAGGGGTGGTGACACTCTGTATTCTTAATCCGTCACCATACGGACGAATAGCTATTGTATTCTGTTTATATTCACTTATGTTATTATGTTTGTGAATAGGCAGGTAAGTACATTTTTATGGTATAAGTTAGAGATGGAATAAAATCACAATCAAATGTTATAAATCATATGATCTACAGCTGGCTTTAATCATCTAATCACACCAGTGATAATTATAAAGCCACTGCTACTTATGATTATGACTACTACTCTACTACTATTTAAAAAAAAGTTTGAAAGCCTTTCTGCAAATATTTGTTTCGGAGTTTGGGTGTTTTCTATGCATAATATGTATGTATTTACAAAAAAAAATAGATAAGTATTCTATCAGTCAATCTAGCTTTCATAGTACAAGCTCTGCTTAGTTGGAAACTAGATGGCGTTGTGTGTCAGATGTCCGAAAAAGATATCATTTATTATATGTGCAAGAAGTTTAAAATAAATAAAAATATAGGCCCCTTAAGCCTCCTAAATGATTTAGAGGAGAGGGGAGGGGGGATTTCGAATAGATAATTAAATCTGAAAATGCTGTTCTTTAAATCACCAACTTCATAAGTAAGACCTATCGTGAAATACTTTCAATTTGTTTAACGTATTAATAGTTAAAATAATATTTAATAACTAATGTGAAAATATTCAGAAAATTTAAAATCTCTTTTGTGCCTAACTAATAATATATTCAGAGCTGTCAACCTCTGCCTGCATGTAATTTATCTAAAATATGTGTGTATTTAAAAGTTTAAGTATTTTTAGAGTTCCGTACCTCAAAAGGTAAAAAAGGAACCCTCATAAGATCACTTTCTTGTCCGTCTGTCTGTCCGTGTGTTACCTAAGAAGTCTGAAGTCTATGGTCCCTATTAGGTGTATAAAAATCAAGGTCCTGAGTCAAATATAAATATATCAAATAGTCACGATAAAAAGATTTAGGCAATTTTACCAAAATTTACCTTAATTTTCAACGTTTTTTACTAATTTTGGTACTTACAAATTTTCGCGGAAATCTACGTATAACCTGGGTAGGTACGGAAACCTCGGCGCACGAGTTCGACTCGTACCTGACCGGTTTTTTTTGAGCAGTCATCCGTGGGGTGATGGATTAAGAATACGGAGTGTCACCACCCCTATTCTTCTCGTGAGTGTGGTAAAAGCTGACTACGGGAGCAAACTACTCGGAACAACATTACAGCACTGCATAGAGAAGAAACACTTGACACACAAATCTTATACCGATCCGTCTGGCGTGCGTGGTATAGTCTCTTAGCAGTCCACTGCTGGACTCCTTAGAAAAGAGGTTATGGCCTACTTTACCACGCTGGCGGGTTACTATAGGGTTTGTGTCAAGTTTTCCTTCTCTTTCTTTTTCTCCCAAAATAAAACAAAAAACTTTTTTCTTAAGTTACTGTGGTAGAGCCTTATCATTGTTAGGTACAACTTGACCGGCCTGACCGGAATGAAACCATGGCCTCACAGAAAACCGACGTTAAGTTTTTTTTTCTGGTTTTCCACTCCTCCTCTCCCTCGACTCTTGAAGGGGGGGACTCAAAGTAAGGCAAAGCATATGTGACTCTTGAATTGCAGGTGAGCATGGGCTGCGGTAGTCACTTACCTTCAGGTTACCCGTCTGTTCGTTTGCCCCCTCATAAAATAAAAAGAAAACAGTCCGGGAGTGCCGACAGAAGTGAAAAGAACAATGGCAGAAACATATTTACCTAAAACTGAAGCGTTTAAAAAATTGACTAACACAGACTTACTAAATATTTTTTCTATGATTTATCATTATACCGCCATGTGTTGTATAAGTCTAATAAGAGATTGGATAATTTTAAAGATTTTATTTGACCTAAGTACGTAATGTCAGAATCGCCATCACGAACTGACTAGGGATGCGTGATGACATTATTATATTATGGAACGTTTTATCGATAATCGATTGTTATAACTTTGGCTTGAAATATCTATCGAAGGTTCACCTATTATGATTATGAATTTGCTTCTGCCCTCGGGTTTACTCATACGCTATCGTAACTAGTACTGTAGTGACTAAATCAACCTAATTAGAAATAATTAAGAATATTTTTAAAAGATTTTTGCTACACCATAATAAATAGAATATAGTTACGTTATTTTCCTACAGAAAAATTCTAAACCAATATACTGCTTAGTGTGATGAGAAGACATTTAAGACATTGTAGGTTGATACCGGCACATACGAGTAAATAGACATACCTACATCGATATTTTTAAAATGTCGATACGTCGTCGTCGCACTTACTAGTCTTGTCGTTTGACACTTACATACACGCATGACTTACATACCATTTCTCACAAGGCAATTGTAGTTTGTTTGGTTGTTTTACTTTTGTTTAGTATTAAACTCTCATATATGTTTATTTTAATTTTAATTTCATATAGTGTTACTCCAATATGCATGATGTGATGCCTTAAAATGTTGTGCATTAATCTCAATAAAATGGATGCATGCTTTTAGTAAATAATGTCACCACTACTGACTGTTGAATAACTAAATAAATAAATAAATGCTCCCGCCTTGTGTAAATGTGTATTGAGATACATTTATTCAAATTATTATTATTTATTTATTTATTTACAGCTAGTATTACACCTGCTATGTAAGCGAAGATTTTTTTCTATTGTTTACCAATGCATGCCAAGCAAATACCCTTCCTTCCTTCAATTATTTAGAGAGTCGGCTAACACTTTCTACAGCAAAATAGGGTTGCTTATAAGTAATAATAATGATGATGAATAATATTTTCGAATATATGACACACAACGCCATCTAGTTTCAAACAACACATTGACAATATTTTAGTACTTAACCTCGGAACATTCAAAATCCAATATCTTTTTTCCTAGACTTCTTTCGCTAGTAATTTTTTTATGAGAATGTTCAAGAATAAATTCTCAAGGGTTATAGGCATTTTTGATATTTAAACGCTGTCATTCCACTTCAAATAAAATTATGTATGGGGACCTGCCATTGTCCTTTATATACTTATATACAGAGGTGTCGGTAACGGTAACAGTGTCGCTAATTCAATTGCTTTATTCATTCTTAATAAATGCATAACGCGCCTATAGAAGTTTTCACTTCAATAAACGGGGCTAATATGTAGATACTTATATACAGAGGTGTGGGTAACGGTAACAGTGTCACGAGTTCCCATCTTCAAGATGTTTTTTGTTAAACCATCACATTAATTTGTTTGAAGAAGTCTTCTGTTCAAAATAGTCATACCTGAGGAGTTTCTCAATGAGCTGCTTCCCTAGATACCCTGACCCTCCAGTAACGAACACTGTGAGTCCTTTGTAGAACATCTGGACGTCAGAGTTTCCAGGTTTTGTGGCTTCATGAATAACCTCGTTGCGCTTCAGTAAACGGGCTTCGAACTCCTGCGCAGGATCTAAAAGTTCTCCATTTCCAAGTTCACTTGTGATGGCCATGACTGGTGACGACCTCAGGATGCTGTAGAGAAAAAGAATATTGTAATAAATTAAATTTATTTTGTAGTAAACGAAATACCGTGAAATTCAATTATTTCTACTTTTTTTAATTTTTGGTGTTAGCATAGCCAACCACGTGTTACTTAGACCGAAGTGTAAATCAAATTCAAATTATAGTGACGATAAGCGTTGCCCGAGGTTATAACAACAAACGCGGGTAACACCGCGGGTCTCAGCTAGTTCTATTATATTATTAAATGTCCAGCAGTGGACTATTAAAGGCTGTTGATGTGATGATGTGATGATAGAAAAACTCACACTTACCTAAAATAATAATGTAATTCGTAAGAACACAAATCTGTTTAATCTTAGTGAGTATTACTATTAACATACTATGAGTAAACTTCGTGAGATATTCTATATATTAGATGTGTTATATAGAGAGGCAGTAGAAACATTTACACACCTCACATTATAATATTTTTATTATTACTAGAATAAACAATATTCTCCCACATTCACACAATGACTTAAATAAGAAAAATGTACGGAGACTCGATCCTTCAGTCAAACCATCAACCCGGTTTTGGCGGACACATATTGTAATGTTATGTTCAAAAAAAATAAAGTTAAAGTTAAATAAAAAAAAGAACAAATTGCCATCTTGTCCTAAACATAGCAGAGCTTGTACTATGGGTACTAAACAACTGATGAACTTTTTTGATAAACATACATATTTTACATGGAAACATCTAGACAAAATCAGACATTAAATGTTTTACTTGAGCGGGAATCGAACTCGGGACTTTTGGTGTAGCAGTCCGTTACACAAATCGCTGCGCCATCCGGGCCGTCATAATAATAACATCACACATCTCACACGGCCGTTTGATCCTAAACTGGGCAGACCCTATAGGCATCTCCTTAGAAAGGATGTTTTAGCCTACTATACCACGCTGGCCAGACGACTTGGTATAGGGTTTGTGTCAAGTTTTCCTTCTCTCTGCAGTGCTGTTGTAATGCGTAGTTTGGTTCCTTGGTCGGCTCTTACGACACCCACGGGATGAATAAGGGTGGTGACACTCTGTATTCTTAATCCGTCACCACACGGACAAAATAATAATATTTACCTGATAAGCAAGCTGAAGTGGCAGTGGGCTGGCCATATTAGCCGCAGAACCGACAACCGTTGGGGAAAACGAGTTCTTGAGTGGAGACCGCGCCTGGGCAAACGTAGTGCAGGACGCCCACAGGCCAGGTGGCGATTTGCGCAAGATGGCTGGCAGGAGCTGGATGCGAGAAGCCTAAAATCGATCTAAGTGGCGTGTAATGGGAGAGGCCCATGTCCAGCAGTGGACTGCGATAGGCTGACGATGAGTGTAAATTGTTTATGAGGATATATGTTGCCTTTCTTTTCTGGCTATTATAAATTATCATATTATATAGTGTTAAAAGTAATAAATTGTTAATGAATTAAATAAATAACTCAATCCCACCTCTCCTACTCTACCTGGTAAGAGAAGTAGGATGTGTTAATAACAAAAAATGCAGTGAAGCATTTTCGTCATCATCATCATCATCAACAGCCTTTAATAATCCACTGCTGGACATAGGCAGAGGCCTAACCTCCTTTCTAAGGAGAGCCTTAGAAAGGAAGTTTAGGCCTACTATACCACGCTGGCCAGACGGGTTGGTATAAGGTTTGTGTCAAGTTGTCCTTCTATCTGCAGTGCTGGTGTCCTGCGTTGTTTTGCGCCCTTAGTCGGTAGTGACATTCCGTATTCTTAATCCGTCACTACACGGACATTTCGTAATTTAGCCTATTGATTCTCTTTGTAGATAAATTGATGAAGATGTTTTTTAGTGGGAGAGCCATGCTTCTGCACGAATGGGCTGACTCGACCGGAGTGATATCACAGCCTCACAGAAAACCGGTGTTAAGCAATTCTTTCGTTGCCTCTCACTAATTGAGTGAGGTTACCGGCACCCAAATCCACCCTCCCGCTGACTCGAGCGGGAGAGACTCCAAGGGCGGCAACGCACTTGTGACAGGTGACCCGTCTGCTCGTTTGCCCCCTTATACCATAAAAAAAGTTGATGCGTAATACACCTGATCATCTAGTAATATGTATATAATATATTGATAATCAAGGCGCCGCTAGCTCTCTGATTATATTTATCACAAATGTTTCTCATTACCATTTTCTTTGCTGATTGACCTATGCCTACTCATTGTATGGTAATTCATCATGAATATTGTGCTCTCTTTAAAGACATTTTTGGTTTTATTCTTCTAAAAGTTGGGGCAAACGAACACACACACACAAGCACCCTTTGAGGAAAGAGTATGCTCTTTTCTTGAAGGTCATATCGGTCCGGGAATACCGCACAAGATAATTTGTTCCATAGATTGGTTGTGCGAAGGAAAAAGTGTCCTTAAAAGCGCACAGTGATGGAGAGCCCATCATCCAAGTGATGGGGAAAATCAAGTTTATTTCGACTCTCCATGACGTTTTCCCGAGAAATATTCAGGCGGCCGGTGTAAAGGGCATCTCCCGTGCTATTATCTGCATAGTTATGGAAGGTACTAGTTAGCAACATGTCATTGATATGCAGAAGAAACAGTGTGGGTGATAGCACACAGCCTTGCGGGACCTAGCGAAGGCTGGCTGCTGCGTAGACGGAAGAGACCTTTCTCTTCTTTCTTTTTAAAAAAAGACAACTCCCGCATTAGGAATATATCCTGTGTCGCGGGGGACTTTACAAACATACATGAAACGGACACAAAGAACACCCAGACACAGAACAGTTTGTGGATCGCACAAAGTTTCGTCCTGTGTGGGGATCGGACCAACAACACTCAGCGTAGTAGTAAGCGTCGTGGCCAACGCTTAAACCACTACGTAATCCGCCATCCGTGCAGAGATATGCTGTTCTTACGCTGACCGTAGGTGCAGTGTGCTATGTCAAGACGCTGATGAGGCCGTAGGGGTAACCAGGCTGTAGCGGACGCTACCTGCGTGTGATCCCTGTTGAGGCCGAGGTTGCTGGCTGGCTGACTTGATTACTGCTTATCGCTGTGGGAGTGTACACGATGGTGGTGATGGAGCTGCTGCTGATTTGCTTCTTGAATTCTGCTTCCGATCACGTCGGGTTCACTACTATGAAGGAACGGATATCATGCCCCTCCAACTCAAAGCGGTTGATATTGGGAAGTTGTATATAGAATCGTTAATATCGCGATACAGAATTAGCAGTCACTCCGTAGTTCGGTGTGTAATCGATAGATGGCGCTGTAATATGTTTCTTAGTTGCACCGTATGTGGAAGTAAATAAAGATAAAGGAATATCATACCACAGGTAAGTATATGTTTTGTTCTAAAATGGATTATGTACCTATGGTTACGGAACAAATATTTTGTTATTGTTGTTGTTGTTTTGTTGTTGTAAGAAATTGTTTGTTTCTTAAAATATCACACAAATAAGTTGATGGATCTAACTCACCCGTGTGTCTTGTACTCAATGAAGTGACATGCGTGAGATTTATAATAAACTAGCAACGACTCTCGCAACGTCGTCTTCGTCTTTTAAAAGGAATAAATTTACCCCGTTTTTGCATCATTCTTCATTGGTGCTCCGCTCCTATTCGTCTTAGCGTGATGATATATAGCCTATAGCCTTCCTTAATAAATGGGCTATCTAACACTGAAATAATTTTTCAAATCGGACCAGTAGTTCCTGAGATTAGTGCGTTCAAACAAACAAACAAACTCTTCAGCTTTATAGTATAGATTGTATTGTGACGGAAGAAGGTCACAAGTGTTGCTTAGTTAGCAAGCCTAGTTTGTTACCTTAGGTCCATACTGTACTTATTATCAACCTCTAAAAATAAGTGAGAGTCAAACACAAAAGATATAAGAAATTAAAATTTAAAACAATTTAAACTTCCTCAAAGACTTCGCAAACTTGGGGTCGGCATTAAGTATACTACGATACGGCTGAACTTACGCGGTGCAACTACGAGTACCACCAGACCTCCAAAACAAGACTGTAGCCGGACTTATTAGGGCACCAACCACCAGTAACGATTGCCAAAAGATGTTTGTATGGTTATCGAGGTGGGCGGCTTAAAGTGCTCTCCGAGGTACGGAGGGGTTCAGACCCCTGGGACAGCCCATGGATTTGTGACCATTCTTGATACATTCAGATGTATCAAGAATGGTCACAAATCCATGGGCTGACTTGCATAACTTTGCAATGTGTTGTGTGTTTGCAATAATAAACTATTACACACAAAATGCTTAGCTGCGTACATAATAGATAGTAATTATAATTCAGAATGTGTAATGTAGCAGCTAGATGTTTACATAATGACATCTCACTAATATTTTTAAGGCGAAAGTTTGTATGTCTGTATGGCTGTTCATTACTCTTTCACGTAAAAACGGCTGAACATATCTGGATGCAATTTGGCACAGATATAGATTATAGTCTGGCATAGCATTTTATTAAAAAAAAAAATGTAATGTTCGCGTGGAATAAGTTAGGTACAACTACAACCACGGGTAAAAATAATGCCATATCGTAAAAATAAAAACAAATTATCCGGAAATGTAAATTAATTAAAATATCAATTCTAGGTCAGCTGGCGGGCTTGGTGATAACTCACATGGGTATACTGGCTGCCGGGGCATAGGCTGCAGATCTATGTCTTCAAACGGCTTACGGCTATGCTTGTTGTTGTTGGGAATTCAATTTGAAGAGTGGATCAAATGAGCTATGACATTTAGACAGCGTGCAACGCTTCTCCACGACCCTCATGACTGTGGCAATTCCCACAGTTGTTACGTCATGTACGCCCCGTACACCTACGGGATGAATATGGGTGGTGACACTCCGTATTCTTAAGCCGTCACCACATGGACACCAAACTCCGCAAAACAACATCACTGCGAAGATAAGTAAATCTTGGTACAAACTATTATTATTAGCTATTGATGATGATGAAAGTATTACATATTATTGTAACAGATGGCGCTGTTGTCGCTTAATCACAGTTTCCGTCTGACATACACAGATGGCAATACTATCATACTGTTGATGAGGATGATGATAAAGGCTTGAAGCCAGAAATAGAAACTAGCTACTCCCTTTTTACAACAACCAACCCTGGCTGATGGTCACTGGTAGAAGGGAAGACCGTCCACCTGCGGCCAGTGTTAGGGTGTCATAAAGCGCTGGAAGGCACGTCTCCATTTGGGTCAAGAATTGAGTCCGAAATTTTCCACCAGCCGCCTTCTTCTACGAGATGACATCTTCGCAGCCCTCCCGACCGCTGAAGAACTTCTGTCGCTACCGCTATGGAGCCTAGTACGGCCCCTAGTGAGATATCCTCTCTGATAACAGCACTGAAGACCCGACGGTTCTAAGTTGTGTAACCTGGCGCAACATTTGTAAAAGTACATTTCAGTGTTTCACGCATTCCTTCTTTTAGAAAAGACAACTCCCGACCTAGGAAAATTGCACCACGTGTAGTGGGAGACCTCATAAACATATTTGAAACGGAAAAAAGAACACCCGGACTCAGAACTACAATTGTGGAGCACACAAAGTGGGGATCGAAACCACAACACTTAGCACAGTAGGAAGTAGAGAGGTGACCGCTTAAACCACTGTCAACCATGTCAATCTGTCATGGGGAGCCATGCTTCAGCACAAATGGGCTAGGCTCAACTGGAGTGATACCACGGGCTCACAGAATACCACAGCTAAGTTATTTTTACGTGACTTTTGAGTGAGTTTACCTGAGCGCAAATCTTCTGCCCCTTTTCTTGGAGGGTTGGGAGGAGAAGACGGCAGCAACGCACTTGTAACTTATTTTTGATTTTATTTTGACTTTTATTACTCTTTATTTTTGGTTGTTTAAGTGGTTTTTTAATTACAGAAATATTTGTAATTTATAGATTCATAGATATATTTATAAATAATAACCTGTAACATTTGGTTCTAATAGGCAATGTTTTGACTGTTTGAAGTAGTTTAACGTCTAACTAATTATTCAAAAGAACGAATTATTAGAGGGCTCGTAAAACGTTTGCCCCTAATTTTTGGAAACAAAAACAAGGTTTTGAGGCGGATGCGTCATCAGTTCCATATTTGAACTACTATATATATATATATCCCTAAAGCATAAAAATAATGCTCAATACACCATCCCTTTGATATCGTACAAAAAACTTAAAAGTGCAAGCTAATGGTTTATCTATTAATCACTTTTAAAAAGGTGTAACATTCATTGACTCATCTGATTGGCTATGGTCACAGCTGTAGAATCTGTTATAGGATTTTAAATTGTGGTCATTTGGAAAGGGGACCATTGCTGGTTTTCGAAATATTCTAACACTAGCTGACCCGCGCAACTTCGTCTGCGTCTCTCAATAGTAATAAATTTTCTCCGTTTTTGAAACATTCTTCATTGGTGCTCCGCTCCTATTGGTCTTAGCGTGATGATATATAGCCTATAGCCTTCCTCGATAAATGGGCTATCTAACACTGAAAGAATTTTTCAAATCGGACCAGTAGTTTCTGAGATTAGCGCGTTCAAACAAACAAACTCTTCAGCTTTACAATATTAGTATAGATTAACTATTGAACGCAGCGTGACCATTTCTTATTTCCAACTTTGAAAATGACGAACTGAAGTTCACACAACCGTTCATCCTTTATTTTCCACCCTTAGGTGTGAAAGTCAAAGTCAAAACAAAAACCATTACCATAATACCTACGACACTTTGTTGATAGTATTTACACTACTTGAAAAGAAAAACGCTGTTAAATGGTAACACAAAACTGATAAGTAAAGGTAATTAAAATAATCAAATAAGCTAATAATATTTTTCCTTTCTTTCCTCGAGTCTAACTGACTTATTAGAATAAGTTTCCTATGAATGACATTATAAGACGCAATAGTAAATAAAAAAATCGCCATTGTTCTCTATGCAAAACTGTTTTGTGAGTTAAAGATATTCCCATAGTGGACAAATACAATGATTTTGAAGCGACTTACCTCATTTAATACAATACATATTGCTTGTAATTTATAAATGAATTATTTCTCAGTTAATCCGTGAGCAAATACAATAAAAGGGCGCAAGGTTTGCAGCGCGTGGTGAGCCAAGAACCGAACAGCTTCAAACAAAACTTTTTGTGAAATTCTCGTACACAATAGCTTGG